CACCCTGCCGGGACCCTTACGGGCGCCTTGCATTTCACTCGACCGTTTTTCTCCGGGCACCTCCCGGGTGCCGCAGAATATGTGACCACACATGCCGTAGAAATGAAAATCGGACGGGTCCCGTACGGTCTCTAATTCCACGGCAAGCCGCCGGGTAGGGAAAATCGCACGGGGCCCGGTTTATATGTGACCTAGGCATTAGGAGGGTTGAAATAACACTGTTGAGAAACAAATTAAGGATTTAGAAAGCGAAGTGGCAGTAAGACCAACTAAATATATAGCTGGTTGAATTGAGGAGAAAAGGGATAAATTAAATAAAGTGTATGATTCTTCTCGACAAGGCATTTAGATGAGATCTAGAGCTGCTTGGTTTGAAGATGGAGTAGAAAAAAAACGCAATGTTTTGAACAGTTGTTAAAATCGAATAAAAATGGGAAAGCTGGAATTACATTTTTTTTAAGTGGAAGTTGCTTAGTGTTAAATAAGATTTGTTTCCTCTCCACCGTGAGTTTGTTAAAGTGTAACTCCATTTTGCAGCCTGGTTAAATAACTTACTTATTTTGTATATTTTGCTTGAGTTGAGAATGTTAGCAGACATCCACTGAGTGAGTAGTGTGGGTGTGTGTCTGTGTGAGGAGGGGGGGGGGGGGGGGGCAGGGAGAATCACGATTTTGTACAAGTAACATAACCTCCATTTTTTTGTTTATATAAGTGAATAACTTGTACAATTGACTTATAAATTATGTTTATGTACTTTATTTTTACTTTGTTGCTCAGTTATGTATACTGCAGATGATTTTTTGTTTGATATGTTTATGTATAAGAAATTAATATTGAAGACGTTTATTCATTTTATTCAATTGTATATGTTGTTTTTGTTTGTATTACATTTGGAGGAATAAAACAAAATTACTATAAAACATTAAAAAGTGTGTGTGTGTGTGTGTGTGTGTTTGTTTGTGTTTCTTGCCTCTATCTCGACATCTATACAATGTCTTTGTGTGTGTGTGTGTGTGTAAGCTTGATGTGCCAAATATCATGTACATCCTCTATTTTTGTCTGTGATTTCTTGTTAATTCATATACAAAGCCATCAGATTAAAACAAAACTTTCACCTTTTTATGATGTGTACAATGACAGTATGATTGTCTATTCTTTGCTTGATTTCATCAGTGTTCTTAAAAGAATAACATTCTAGAGGGTTAGTTTTAAACCAATGTGTGACATTTTTCGCATGTTTTCGTATTTTTATGTCTATTACTGACATGTAAAAGGTACATGTTTGTTTTCTTTCTGATCGTCTTAACATCCTTTATCCAGTGGCGTACCTGGGGTACTCCGTCAGGGGGGGGGGGGCAAGCGATCGAAACAAAACAAAAAAGGCGATGCTAATTTTCACTTCTGGCGAGCGAGCGGGCAAAAAAATATATTTAAGTTACGTTTGGAATAGAAACCGGTATCGTTGCAAGTCTGGGGTGGGCACATTCATTTGTTAGCCACGTTAATTTTCATTTTTGCAAGCGAGCCTAGCGAGGAAGGAAAAAAATCCCTTCTTTTTTAATAGTTGCCACTTAAACTTGGTCCAATTGTCCCATGCCGGGTGCGGGAACAATATTGTGTTTAGGGTGATTTTATACCCATTTTAGCTAGCGAGCGAAAATACACCTTTCTCTTAATGAATTGCTATATAAAACTTGTTTCATTGTTGCAATTCGGGGCGGGCACAATCGTGTTTAAGGCAATTTCAATCCCATTTTGGTGGGCAGGCAACCCCCCCCCCCTACATTCCTCTTTTTAATGATATTGTATAGCAGGTCAGTGGTGGGCACATAATTCCAGGAGCTAACGAAAAAATCACTTCTCTATGGTGAGAACATGGTACATAAACTTGATTTCATTGATCCATGTCAGGGACGTAATTATTCAAAGCGATGTTATTTCTATTTAGGCGAGCGAGCGTAGCGAGCGAGCAAAATTTTTGTAATGATAGTTGGTTCATAAATTTCAGGTTTTTTTTGTTGCAGGACAGGGCTTACACAATCATGTCTAAGGTGATAATAATTACGCTTTGGCGAGCGAGCACACCAAAACTTCTTTGAATAATGTTTGGTACATAATATATTACCTAGTTGTTACAGGTTAGGGCGGGCACGTTAGCGATGTTAATTTCATTTTGGCGAGCAAGCGTAGCGAGCAAGAAAAAAAATCGCTTCTTTTTTTAATAATTACCAATTAATTTGGTTCGATTGTCCTCAATGAATTGGTACATAAACTTTATTTCATTGTTGCAGGTAGGGGGTGGGTACAATCGTGATTAAGCCAATGTCAATCCCATTTTGGTGGGCAGGCAAAACAAAATTAATTATGATTGGTGCATAATTTTCAGGTTTTTTGTTGCAGGTCGGGGCTTACACAATCATGTTTAAGGTGATGTTTATTCCATATTGGCGAGGGAGCGTAGCTAGCGAGCAAACCAAATTTTCCTTGATTAACGTCTGATACATAATTATCAACTGGTAATTTGTTGTAGGTTGGGGTGAGCATGTTATTTGTAAAGACAGCGTAGCAAGAGAGGGTAAAACAAAAAACAAATCAACTCATATATCAATCACTAAAATCATTCAATTCATCAATTCTGGCGAGCGAGGAAACAATATCTCTCAAAATAACGTTCGGTACTTATTTACTGGAATTTTTGTTGCAGGCAAGGGGGCGCACATATTTTATGGTGAGCGAGCATAGCGATGCAAAAAAAATCAATTCTCTTTTAATAGAAATTAATACATAAACTTGTTTTTATTGGTCCAGGTCGGGATGGGCGCAATCGCGTTTAACACGATATCAATTCCTTTCTGGCGAGAGGGCGAAATAACACTTTCATTTTTAATGATATTGTTGCAGGTCAAGGGTGGGCACAATTGTTTTCAAAGCGATGTCTATTTCATTTATTTGCGAACGAGCGTAGCGAGCGAGAAAAAATGAATTAGTCTCTTTTAGTAACATTTGGTACATAAATTGGGTGTTATGGTTGCCATGGTTGCAGGTTGGGGCCAGTCGGGGCAGACACAATTGTATTCTAGGCGATGCTAATCCTTTCCTTTTTTCAGGGGGACGAGCAAGTGAAAACAATTAATACAAAACAGGCTAGCAAGCAGCTAGCGCCAGCGAAGAGTGTCGAATTTGTTAAAATTATCACTTATATTTTCCTATTTTCATTTGTCTTTCACTTTGCCGTATGCTGAATATTTTTCTAATGGGGGAGGGGGAAAGATGCATGAAAAGTTTTTGAAGAAACTAAAAAGCAAAAGGAATGAAGGGAGTTCGAGCGACCGAACTGGTCATGAGGGTACTTTTGCATTTTCAAAAGTAGAATTGAAGGATGTGGTATAAGCCTTCACTACTTGCGAGCTTTGTTAAACATTTTCGGGAAAAAAATGGACGTTTTCAAAATATCTGGGGTCAACTGCCTTCCCCCCCCCCCCCCGGTGCGTACGGCCATGGTCTTTTAAAAAAATCCCCTTTTTTTTTTCTTTTATTTTCTTTTCCCTCTTTCTTCCTTTTCTCTTCTTCTTCCTTTTTTTCCCTTTTCCTTTTTTCTTTTTCTTTCCTTTCCCCTTCCCCCTTTTCCTTTTTTTCCCCTGGAGCCCGTAAGGGTGGGGCACTCTGCCCCCTTGCCCCCCCCCTCAGGTACGCCAGTGCCTTTATCTAATTTATATTGGACCTTTGGGAGCAATTAGTATGAAGTGATCATTACGTAATTTGATGGAAAATGAGCGTGAAAGGCCTGTATTTATGCTTATAATAGTTGGTCTTGTACGATGCATCTTAAATATAATGAAATTATTTACAGCATGCCTACCTTCTCATGAATATGAATGACTGAGGAAATGCCGAGGCCATTGGCATATGATTTTGATTGCCCATTTCTTAAACGGTATACTCCCAGTTTAAATGTAAAAGATTCGTTAAAAAAAATATTGCATGGATCATGAAGTCGAACGATGGAAAATTATTTCCATCGCCTTCTCATGCTTTTCATATAAATTCAATTGACTCACTAGAAGGTTATTTTCGGCACCGATACCAAATTCGAACAAGAGAAAATTAAATTGAATGACTATTCGGTAAATTGTATGATCCTTATTTAAATTTAAATGACTCAATTAAAGAGTTGGTTGCATGAATAACGAATTTGAACGAACGAAAATGCAATCGAATTAAAATTTGCCGAGGCGTTCAAAACATAAATGAACGAACAGACTGCTAAAATTGAGCGGGAAAACGTAAATTGTAACGTCCTTAGGAAGAACAGCTTTTATGCTTTTATGCTGATGAGGCTTCCATGGGTAAAAATAAATACTAATAATGATTATCATTATGGTAATGGTTATGATGATAATAATGATAATATCATTATCATAATTAATATTATTGTTATTATCATTATTATCATCATATCGTTATTATAAACAAATAAACTTACCCAAATCCCAGTTGCCCTGTGTGAAGGCACTCGCGATTATAAGCGGAACAGCTAATCCAACGTACAGGGAATCTGATATGGCCATGTTGCAAACGAGAGCGAAAGTGTAGTTGTGGCCCTTCAGGTAACGATCCTGGATGATAACGAGAATGACGATGATGTTGCCAACCAAAGCGAAGAAACTCATAATGGATACGAGCACAACCCATGGCAAGGCGATAGCGGTCGTCGTGGAAGTCATTGCCCAGTCGATCAGGCTGTGTTAACGATAAAATATGCGCTTTTAATTTACTCCACCGCCAGCCTCCGTTACACGTGTCGAGCTAGAATCGGGTAATGCATGATGTGATGAATCCGTAAAGCTTTTAAATTAGATAGACATAAGTACGAACAAACAGAGGCGGCGCTCAACGGGGGGAGGGGGGGGGGGGAACACTTTTTCAGCAACCACGAAAGTGTCGTTTTTCTTTGTAAGAACTCCCCCTTCCCTTTTTAATAAGTGCCTCTTTTTCTTTTGATAAGTGACCCCCCCCCCCCTCCCCCTTCATAAGACCCCCTTCACTTTCTCATAAATGTCCCTTTCCCTCTTTTCACCTCTGATAAATGCGCCTATTAAAATTTGATAAGTGCCACTTTTCTTTTGTGATAAGTGTCCCGTTTCCAATCCCATAAGTGTCCTTTTCATCTCGTGTAAGTGCCCCTTTTTAGGTACAAGAAGCAGCCTTTACCACCTCTGAGAAGTGCCTCCTTCACCTTTGATAATTATTGCCCCCATCCAAATCTGAAAGGTACACGTTTTACTTTGACAAGTGCCCCTTTTCGTTTGTGATAATTGCCCCCTTACTCTTCTGATAAGTGCGCCTTTTCTTCTGTGATGAGTGCCCCTGTTCACCTCTGATAAGTGCCCAGTTTATTTTGATACGTGCCCCTTTTCCTTTCTTAAAAATGCCCATTTTCCTTCTCATAAATGTCCCTTTTCCCTCTCATAAATGCCCCCTTTTCACCCCACTAATTACCACTATCAACATCTGATAGATGCCCCTTTTACTTTATAATAAGTGCCCCTTTTCCATTCTCATATTAAAGTGCCCATTTTCATATCTGATGAGTGCCTCTTCTCGGGTGCCCTGCAAGAAATTCCCCTTTTCACCTCTTAAGTTTTTGCCTTTTTTAAACTTTGATACGTGCCCCTTTTCCCTATTTATGAAGTGCACTTTTTCCTTCTGATAAGTGCCCTTTTTCCTTTGTAATATAGAACCCCTTCACTTTCTCTTAAATGCCACTTTTCACCCAGTTTAGCGCGCGCTGACCCAGTTAACCATGTCCATTCGTTTACGTGCAGTTGTCTAAAAGAAAACGTAGATGGCGTCAACCAGTATTTGCCATGATACACTCCCTTTAAGCAACATCTTGTACCGCGTAAAGGTAGAAACAAATATTGATGTTATCCATGTTATTAAAATCGCAATCCTGACGATGAAGGGTTATTTACCAATAGTGTATGTTCACTTTGAGGTTTCCCTTTGTAGGTGCTCCCCTACTTTGAAAGACGCTCCGCCGCCCACTCTAGCATACACGCCGATGTTATGAACACTCTTATACGGCTTCGAGGGTTAACAAGATAAAAAAAATAGATAAATCTCTAAATCTACAGGCAATCTTTTTTTTTTCTAAAGAGAAGAGAGAGGGAGAGAGAGAGAGAGAGACGAAATAAGATCCAATATGACCCAGTTAACCATGTCCATTCGTTTACGTGCAGTTGTCTAAAAGAAAACGTAGATGGCGTTAACCAGTATTTGCCATGATACACTCCCTTTAAGCAACATCTTGTACCGCGTAAAGGTAGAAACAAATATTGATGTTATCCATGTTATTAAAATCGCAATCCTGACGAAGTAGGGTTATTTACCAATAGTGTATGTTCACTTTGAGGTTTCCCTTTGTAGGTGCTCCCCTACTTTGAAAGACGCTCCGCCGCCCACTCTAGCATACACGCCGATGTTATGAACACTCTTATACGGCTTCGAGGGTTAACAAGATAAAAAAAAAAAATAGATAAATCTCTAAATCTACAGGCAATCTTTTTTTTTCTAAAGAGAAGAGAGAAAGATAGAGAGAGGGAGAGAGATAGAGAGAGAGATAGAGAGACGAAATAAGAGAGCAAAGAAAGAGAGAGAGAGAGAGAGAGAGAGAGAGCAAGAAAGAGAGAAACAAAAGAAGAGAATGATAGAAAGAGAGAGATGATAGAACATTAATGCAAACGAGAGAAGTGAGTGAGAACATGTGTTATTCGTATATAGAAATAGTCAATATCAAATGGTTTCGTATTTGTTATTAGTATTATTATTAATCATCATAAGCGTAAGGCACATGTTTGATGCTTCTTAGCAGATGAGAAAATTATCGACAAGGCAGCGCATATACATATATATTTCCTTTACTTTCGCCCATGAGTAGGCCTATGTCACGACAGATAGTGGCGCCACAATAGTACACCTCAATTAACTATATTACGTCACATTATCCGAGCTAGCGTCATCAACAGCCTCAAAACAAAGGAACTCCTAAAAAAAATATGGAAATGACTGCAAAAATATATATATCGCAGTCATTGATATCATTGATTATTATAACACTGATTATTATATGAAGAAAGAAGAGAGAAAGGGAAAAGAGATAAAATGGGATGGAACTGGAAAGGGGGGAAGGGGAGACGAGCATAATCAAATCTCCTTTTTACTCCAACGCCCCCCCCCCCCCCACCCGTGATCGGTAATTTTACTCCCACACACTTAATCAACTCCGTGAGGTCCGTCATTCCCAAGAACCCTTATCCCACTCTGACTGAGCCTACGCTACTCCGATGACAAAAAGAACAATGTCATAATCAAACAAGAACAGCATTAGCGCCTTAGATTTCTATTGAGAAAGATTGACAATTGTCTGCACAAGGCTACCTTCATTAGTTGGAGGTAGAAACATGCCTTATCAATGGATTATATATCATTCACAGGTTTTTTTTTTCATGCATTGATTCGTACGTAGTCCCGAATTACCGACAAAGAATGCTGTCCGTAGTTTTAACAATGAAATATTATTCGTAATTTCACAGATTACAAAGGGCTTATAATTCCCGACATGTAAGGTAAAACAACTTTTAGAACAGAAATTGCCTGCAGGGGCGTCGCCAAAGGGGGGGGGGGGTGCGACACCCCCCATCTATCAGGATATTGTCGGTAAAATTGCGCTGCCGTCGGGAAAAAGAGAAAAGGGGGAGGGAAAAAAAGAGAGGGAAAAAGAGAAAAGGGGAGGGACAAAAGAGAGGGAAAAAAGAGAGGGAAAAAAGGGAGGGAAAGGGAAAGAAAAGAAAAAAAGAAAAGGAAAAGAAAAGAAAGAAAGGAAAAGAAAGGAAAGAAAGGAAAAGAAAGGAAAGAAAGGAAAAGAAAGGAAAGAAAAGAGAAGAAAGAAAGAGAAAAAAGAAAAGAGGGAGGAGAGGAAAGAAATGAAAAGAACGAAAAGGAAAAAAGAAGAAAAAAGAGTGAAAGGGAAACAAAAGAAACGGGAGATGAAAAAGAGGAGAGAGAGGGGGTTGTTGGGTGGAGTCGTCTCGTCGAGGGAGCAAGAAGGACACGGGTAAATATGTTGCTGTGTCGGGTCAGCTGTGTAGGTATTCTTGCTCGATCCTCGTGTACTATATCAATGCAGAAGTTTGAAGTCGGTGAGATGTATTGTATATTGTCGGTCGGCCGACAAGTTTTTTTTCCCTACGAACTGTGACTTCTTATCCGCTGTGATGACTTCGAGAGTGACTACAACTACAATACTTGTATTTTCTCGAAGTTTCCTATAACATCAGCTACAGAAATCAGAGGTTTAAAACTTTCGGGGAAACTAAATTCAAACAAGGTTTAAGAGTCAACAACGGTACGACGAATCGTCTTCCTTTCTTTATATTGTGATGAAACGCCGAAAATTCCGCGATTCGCGCGAAAGGGGAAACTTCATTTAGACGAGTCGAGAACGGTAAAATGAATCGTCTTCTTTCTCTAATAATTTAAGGAAACGTCAAGGCTCCCGCGCTTTGCGCGAGAGGCGGAAAATGAGTTCAGACAAAATTAATAGGGCTTATTTAGAGTCGAAAACGGTACAACGAATCGTGTTCTTTCTCTAAAAATTTGAGGAAACGTCAAAGCTTTCGCGCTTCGCGCGAGAGGGGGAAACTGAATTCAGATGAATAGGGCTTTAATAAGATTCGAAAACGGTACGAGGAATCGTCTTCCTTTCTCTATATTGTGATAAAACACCCAAAATTCCGCGTTCTGCGCGGAAGGGGAAAACTTCATTTAGACGAGTCGAGAACAGTACAACAAATCGTCTTCTTTCTCTAATAATTTAAGGAAACGTCAAAGATTCCGCGCTTCGCGCGAGAGGGGGAAACTGAATTATGACAAAATTAATAGGGCTTATTGAGAATCGAAAACGATACGACGAATCGTCTTCTTTCTCTAACAATCTAATGAAACGTCAAAACTTCCGGGGGAAGCTTCATTTAGATAAGGATTAAGAGTCGAGAACAGTACACCGAATCGTCTGCTTTTTCTCATAATTTAATGAAACGTCAAAGCTTTCGCGCTTTGCGCGGGAGGGGGGGGGAACTTCATTCAGCCAATTACCAGTCGAAAACGGTACAATTAATCGTCTTATTTTCCTAATAATTTAAGGAAACGTCTAAGCTTCCGCGCTTCGCGCGGGAGGCCATTCACCCACACCCCCCTTATGAGCGCGCTTTTAAGTGATTCTCTTGCTCACTACCGCCCCTCCCTAAAATAAGATCCTAGCTCCGCCTCTGCATTAAGATATATAGCTATGATGCTGACTAAATTGAAGAAAGAATTCGTATATTTATGTCGTCGAGGAAAATGACTATTTTGCCCATATGCAAGTACATGTACTATAGATAGTCCATAGGAAAAACAATTTAGCCTTCGGCCCCAGGTTAATAGGGTTGAAATTGTAGATATTGGACATTTAATTTTGTTGGTAATTGGTGGCTAGTTTTGTCGGTAATCGTTGGCCTCTACACCCCCCCCCCCCCCCCCCCCACTGAAAAAGGTCTGGCGACGCCCCTGATTGCCTGTAATGTTTACCTTGGAGCTTTTACAAGGTGGTCAAATGTTTTGTTAATAATTGTAAGCGCCTTGTTTCCATCTTTGGTAATGGATGTATTCTTGGAATTCAAACTTTTACCGATTCTCCTGTTTCATGTCTACGGTTGTTTTCATATGGCCGTCTTAACCATTTTAACTATAAGGAAATAAAACGTGCTTTTTAGTCCATATCATCTTCCATTTAACAGACTTCAAAATACATGCTTTGAAAAAATGTCACCTCTTGAAAAACAACTGAAGGACAAGAACATGCATGCTATGAATATTTTACCTTAACATATTTTATTTTGCAATTTATTGTCATGGTAACGAAAAAGACAAGAAAACATGCGCTCTTAGTCGATATCATCTTGAACATAATGTAGTATATAACGGTGTTTCTTCAAATGTCCTATCGATCAAATGTGGTGTTCCACAAGGGTCACTGTTCGGTTTTTTCCTTTTTCTATTACACATTTTAAAGGTAATACAAAATTTTGGTATGGGGTCATGAAATTGGTTCAAATGAACATATTGGAAGCATATGCGATCCTACAATATTCAGTAATCGTTGACGCGGTTGAAATCGAGTCTTAAGTTATGAAATTGTAAATAATAAACTCTTTATGTTGTATAGCTCCCTCTCAAGGTCAAGATATTAATTAAGCCATAAAACATTTTTTCTTGACTAAAATCGACCGATTGGCTATTCCCGTTTGGAAATTTATACCACATCTACATATTCTGAAATGTTCATGGACACAGCTACTATTGTATGGCTGTAAGCGCTACTTGGAATTTATCAACATTTACCGGGAGCACCGGTAAATTTTTATATTCAATTTTCAAAATTCAAATCTTCTAGTGGTCATAGCACATCCACAGGGTCATCCAAATACATCAAAATTGTAAGGATTCCCTATCCAGCCATCTTTCAAATTTTCCCGAAACTTTGAATTACCTTTAAATGGAAAGTAAACCCTGATATTAATCTGGTTTTAATAGAAACAGAAAAACAAGAGGACATGACATAGAAAGTTCGATTAAAAATAAGAATGTTATAAATCTTTGTAGTTGCGAGCAATCAATCACAAATTGGCAACACTGTGAGGTTTCTTGCGAGTTCCTCTTCAATTGTCCTGCACAAAACAACAAAAAAAAAAAAAATATGCCCATGGCTGACCTAAAAAAGGTGACTTTACCCCCCCCCCCCCCAACGAAAACAAATGTCAAATTTCAAAATTTCGAGACCAAAAAAAAAGAGAAAAAAGTATCCTCTTACCCCCCCCCCCCCCCCCCCCATCCCCTCCCAAAAAACCCTCCCCAAATTAAAACACAACACAAAGACGAGGCCTAAACAAAACAAATTTTCAAAAATGTAGATCAATAAATGGGCGATATCATGTCGACCGATAGCAAGATCTACACTGATATTTTTACAATCTATGAGAAAAACTTTCAAAATATAACCTTGAGGAAAACATAAAATTAGTGTAATCTTTATAGAGTTTTACCAGCTTAGTTTCAGTTGGTCACAATTTTAACGTAATTTGTTTTTATGTCCTACTGAGCTGAGCAAAGCAATATTCGTCATATTGGGCCCAACTCGATTGAACCGGGATAGCCAAATCTCCCGGGCCCTCTTGCATACACAAGTTACGTTTCAAAAAGTTTAACACAACTTGATATTTAATCCAATCCAATCCAATCCAAAAGATATTTGATATAGCGCCTTTTCCTTGCAGTTACCAATCAGGATCGCGTATTTGGGACTTGCGTTTGATTTTTTTGAGTTGCGATTAAACTCAACTTTGTATGCAAGAAGGCCCTGATCAATGGCACTGTATGATAAGTTCACTCCAGCCCCCTCAACGGTGAGAAAAATATATATCCCGTTTCCTCTCATCTACGCGCGCTTTGCTAGAAGTTACAACGTTGTTTTAGCTAGGGATAATCATCATGCACGTCCTATTCAATAGGGTCTATAGCGCCATAACCGATAGGACCTCTGTTTTATTTTGTGTATTATAATAATCTTCTTTTTTTTTCTTCTCGATCTGGCGATTCATTTTGAAATGCAAGACGCTGTATGTGTGTTTGGGAATCTAGTGTTGGAGAACACATGCTTCGCTGATAATTAATCCATGGCCAATAAATCGAGTACAAAGAGTATTATAGAAGCTTTTTATATCTCTTATATGCTTTTTAGAGTACTTTTTAGGGGGTAACTTGATGCAGAAACGGTAAATCATTTTAAATGCTTACAAAAATGTATGTTATGATCCATATTTTTTTCTTCCCAAAACGTTTCCTTTTGTACGATATACTAAATAATCACATTGATCTATATATATATATAGTGTATGCATCAAAGGGATGTACAATCCCTGGGATATATGAGGGCGCGCAAGCATCGACTCTGTCAAAAGCGTTCGTAGCCGTCTCTTGGATTTATGGTGGCATTTATTGGGGAGAAATAAAAAACCGTTTCGCGGCCCTTCTACCCGGGCCTTGCTCTCGACAGTGGCGGATCCAAAGGGGGGGGGGGCCGGGCCACCCCTCCCCCCTTGAGAAAAAATCATGCAAAATCACGCGATTTTTACCTTTTTGGGGGGTTGGGCCCCCCCCCCCCCTGGCGCTCAAGGGGGGGGGGGGTGCAAATTTTAAAATGTCCGAGGACCCCCCAAAAAAAATGTGCTCACTACCCCTCCCCCCACTGAGCGACTTTTCGGCTGGCTCAGTCGTTGCGATTTTTTTTTGGACTCCAAAAAAAAAAAAAAAAGTGTCCGCTTACCCCCCCCCCCCCCCCCCTCCCCCCCCTCCCCCCTCCCCCCCCCCCCCCCCCCCCCCTCCCCCCCCCCCCCCCCCCCCCCCCCCCCCACTGAGCGACTTTTCGGCCGGCGCGATTTTCAAATTTTCGGGAGCAAAAAAAAAAAAGTTGGGCCCCCTCCCCTAAGAAATCCTGGATCCGCGCCTGGCTCTCGATCGTGCAAAAAATCAGACTTTGAAAAGATAAAAATAACATGATATATAAATACTCCAATAAAAATACACCCAATGAGATGCAAGTAAATTGCCCTTTGTTCACTTTCAGTATCAATATCACCCCGAATATAAAATATGGGAAATACAAAATTAGGCCCCGTATCCTATACAGACGATACTGTTGTCTCGTAAGACCCGCATGCAGTAAAGAACGCACTGAGTACACTAATTCAAATTTCCTCTGTCATCACGTTCGCCTTCTCTCATAGATCTTATATCCTCAGTAGCCAGACGAGAATTCGTCCTACAAACGAACATGCCTACCCGTTCTCTCGGCTTTTTTCTCCTCGCTTGTCTTTTACAATGTAGATTATCGTACGAAGCTCGTATCTTACTGACGACGGGAACAAACTTCGGCAGCCATTTCTCAGTTTTTTCGACTGTCGGGCATGCCCTGGTCGACCGAGGTCATACAGTCACAGCGTTCATTAGCGATGCCTATGCCGAGAAGGCAAACGACCCGCGCCTTGAACACCTCCAAATCGAAGCCTTTCACGATAGCAATGGAGAAGCCACTAGGAAATATTCGGACGCATTTACCAAGCATCTTATGGATAAAAAGTCATCTGGATTTACCCGATTTTTTAAATGGATGCCACCGAATCTCTATTCCTCCATCGAAAGTTGCAAGGACATGATCAATCATTTTGAAAACAAAGAGCACCACTTTGATCTGGTCTTGTTGGATGGACACAGTTCCTGTTCAGTCTTTCTTGCAAGTCGACTAGCAATTCCCTACGTTCTTCTCATTCCAAGTGGCATTAAACCTAGCCTAGCTCGACGTCATGGGATCCCGGACACCACCTCTTACTATCCCGAAATGTCGACGGGGTTGTCGTACCGCATGACTTTCTCGCAGCGTGTCTCCAACACCGTCAGCGGCCTCGTAGCCGACATCGCGATCTTCTTCGAGTACGACGCTCTTTCTTTTCTACTGAGCATGCGTTATAACATCACGAAGTCAGTTCGTAACCTCGTGTCAAATGCTCAACTCATTCTTATAAACTCTGATTTCTCGGTGGATTATCCATTTCCCTTATATCCCAATGTGGTTACAGTAGGGGGGCTTACTACTCGTCCAAAACAACCATTAAGCGAGGTAAGTGGTATGATCTTACACCGAATCTCATTTTCACGTGTCGTCTCTGAATGTCGGAATTGTCTATTGTCATTGTTTTTCTAAAAATTAGTTGTCCATTTGCTTTCCGTTAACTAAAAGCATTATCATTAATGTCAATATTATATTATCGCAATGATCTTTCGAGCAAATTAAATTTGATATTTTCAATCATCTCATCCATCACTTTTTGGAAATCATTGTGCGAAATGTACAATGAGTCAATGACATATTACGTAATGCTGACCTATAGGCAATAAAAGAGGGTATTGAATTTGGCCTGAAGTTGATTTCGTGACAGTTTTTATGATCATATATATTTCTTTCACATGGTGTGTATCAATCATCAATCCACAAAGATTTTTACCATCAACAAAGGCTGGACAAATGTTAATATTTCACAAACTCATAAAGAAGTTGCCATTCGTCTTTAGCACAATTTAAAAAGAAATGTCACAAAAATGCTCTTTTGGATTCGAATCGATCTCTTTTCGTGTTAAATATAAACAAAAACATTTTACGTATCAATTCAATTATTACATGTTAATGTTACATAATGTAGAATAAGTTCATAAATTTGTACATCAAACAAATATAAAAGTAATGAAAATGGATCAATTATTGACTAAAACGTATTCATAGTATTTACATTGAAATTATTCTGCACCGAATCGCCCCTCAAAAGTACCTCAAAAGGCAAGTGAAAATGACAACTTATCAACGATTACACTTACATGTACACTGTCGCTCATAACGTTGGAATATTTTTTCTTTTACCCCAATTTATGGAATTATTTTGATTATAGTAGCATACACATGCTTTAGCAGTCGCGCTAAACAAACACTGGCAAATTATCATTCAGTAAAATCTGAGAATGTATATTATTATCTAGATCTATTAGGAATAAATCATTATCAAAATAAATCTATAAATTTCCAACGTTATGAGTGACAGTGTATAATAAAGCTGATTGCGTAAAATCCGGTCGCAAAGATTTTCGAAAAATCAATCTAAGACAAATTCAATACCCTTGGCCACTTTTTATCTAAATGTGTGAACATTACAATTAACCAAAACAACATTTACCTTTCTTACAAAAACAACGCTTTCGGTTGTTTTATTCGAAAATGAGCTTACTTCAAACAATTTCGTTAAGAATAAATAAACATATTGATTTTATTGAAATTTGGGCTGCATCATCTACATCGAAAAACATAGTTTAAGGTGACTCGGTAACACTGTCGAAGGTTGATTTAAAAAAGATTGTATGAAATATTACTTATTATATTCCTTCTACTGTATTAACCCTCTAACATTCTAAAAAATCCTGAAAAAAATTTATCAAACTTCAAAGATATTTATGGTTTTCTTTGAAGGCGTCACAGTGCCACACCCTCTATTGACAGTAAATTCTCCCAGCCGTTTTTTAATGAAAATAAGACATATATAAGCTTTTAAAAATCTTCTACATTTAAATGTCTAGAATGATATAGAGCCAATTCATTGTTTCGTGACCATTTACATTCACCTAAAATGTAATTAAATTGTAATAATATATATATATATATATATATATAGTTGAGAGGATTAAGGAATCGATCAGATCAGTGTTCCCCAATTTTTATCATTGATAATGGTTTGTTTTCACTCAAACTATCAGATTATCTTTAATTGTACATCCAGCATTGAAGTCACTACCTTAGCACCCTTTTCTCTCATCTGAAAAATGTTACAAAATCCCTTTAAAGGAAACCTCCCATCTCCCTGCTCAGACCCGGAAATAAATGGAGCTATTTTGAGAGATTAAAAGTATTCTTGCCAAGTAATATAAACAATTCCCACCTAAACCGTATGTTAGAGGTTTTGAGCAAGAATAATGTACAGTTTCTCAGCACGACATGGCCATCGCCGTTTCTTGATAGCGTGATGGTTTTTAAAAGATAATTTATGATAGGCTAAGATCCCATTTACTGTTGATTTACTGGTCAGTAGTAGTGAAGACAGCTTTTGCGACCTTAGCAGTGATTTCCACAAACAGGATGGCAGTGAGAAGAAAGAATGAAAATGAAACTAAATACAGATTAAATTTATCTCATCCAGTTGATTTAATAAAATTACATTACTTTTTACACATATTATTTAGGGCTTAAACATTTTTATGGACTCTGAAGGCTTATTGCCAGTAACACGATTCTCGGCACCCATATATCTCTATTTTTTAATACAGATTATATTTTCCTCATCCAGTTGATTTAATCAAATTACATTACTTTTTACACCTATTATTTAGGGCTTAGACATTTTATGGACTCTGAAGACCTATTGTCCGTAATACGATTCTCGGCAGTCATGATATCTTTTTTTCTTCTTCGCCGGACGCCTGCAACTGATGGGGAGGGGTGCACGCCGGCTTGAATTTTGTACACTCCTGAAGATAGACAGGTTACCTAGACTGAGTGATATATTTCTTTTGAAAAAGAAAAAGATTTTAAATTGAATGTAGGCCCTCTGTGTATATTCATCAAACAAACGTGCGAACTAGAGAACAATTAAAAAGGAGCCAACTTCATCAAAATAAACTAATGCTTCCTTCCCAAATGTCCATGTCCGGTATACGGTTTTTTTTTTTTTTTTGCATAGCGACAGGAAATTTGAATCAAGAGCAGCCAACTTCTGATAAAAGTTAAACGAACTAATAATTTGTGACGTTTTTCACCCTTTTTATTCTTACATGGATCCAGGGTACCAATATCACATGGAGATAATTTCTCCTTTAATGTCCCCATATGTGTATATCAAAAGAATACAACTGGAATAGTTTTGCACTCAATTTTAAGACGTGGTCCCATATAAAATGTATTTACAACACCTGCCAATGTATACGTGTATCAACAAGACTGAGTAAATATGCCACCATTTTGATGATTCCCAAAATCATATAGTGAGTCGAAAATTATTTTAGTCCAAGCGCATGCGAATGTGAATTCGGCGTAGCTCCTTAAGTCGCAAATTCATGTGATAATGGACATAGTTTCTAAATATCATTTCAAAATTGAAAAATGCAGGTGACCGCCATTTTAAGCTACAGCTTCAACTTAATGGCCACAAGAAAGGAACCTGTTTGGGCGACCAAACTTATAATACATATAATCAGAAAGATATTAATCATAACAGCCACAAAGTATAGAAAATTATTTTGGTTTAAAGGCATGAAATGAAAAGCGTTAAGTTTAAATGTATATAGTTTAAGTGTAAGTCTTTGGGAGTATAATTGGCTTTCGTGAACACCACTGTTCTTGAACTTTGACGTGTATAATGTACATCAGCGGAATAGAATGCATCGGAAAACCGGAAATTGGTCCAATATAGGAAAAGAAAGTTCAAAGGTCAAAAGTATTATTCGTATATGGACCATAATGAAAGACCACATTCTTTGGAATAGCGCATATTACATTTTCCTGTATAGGCCTACATTTCGCTTTAAATTTGGACGTAAGTTCCTTGGCTTGACTTTTATTTTGCAGGTAATATAGAATGAAACTTTTATTGACATAATAACAATTGCAAAGTCCATGGTTTTAACTCAACTCCTGACATGATGCGTGTTCAGCACAAAAACATAGTCATAAAAAATATAGCCCATAATGAATCATGTCATTTTGAACTCAACGGAGAATGTCAACGAACTTTTGAACAGTAATGCGTACGTGCTTCTTCCTCTCTCTCTTAGTCATAACTCCCAGCGCTCTGCGTGCGCATTTAAGTACTGATGAATCGCTTCCGGTGTTACGATGGGTACTTATACTTCCATACAAAGAAACGGGTACCGTTATAATTTCCCTCCGAATATCGCATTATTACGATAGGTAAGAGCAGTTCGTTTGGTCTGCGCTCAACCCTCACAGATATCGTACTCACGTATACAAACGTGTATATTATGCAATATAGCCTCAACCTACGAAACAGTAAACTTTAATAGGCCTATATCGAAGATAATTATGAAAATAGAAATAATGCAACAGACTGACACAAGACAGTGTCATTATGTGTGAGCTTTCTGAAGAATTGTTACCTTTAAAATGATGGCTCTTTATTAAAATGCCCCCATGTTCGAAATGATAAGATGTAGCATGCGCATAGTCCCAAATTCCCTCATTTCGTATTTTGAATAGCGGTCCTTCACGTAAAGGGAGTTGCACGTTTTGAAAAGCGGTCCTTATGAATAGCGGCCCTTATGGCTAGAAAAGTTACCCCACAGCTACAGTCGGTGTAATACTATGATACTCGATCGCAGTAGAGTATATTCATATATAGTTGCTGTGCTATATAAATTGACCTCTCATTATTAGTATTCACAAACCTCATGGTAGGCCTATACACCAGTTGTTGATTATATTACATAATCAACCCTTTCCAATTACTTTCCGGCAGTTTCTTTAGGAATGTAATCGGATTACCTGGGCCCCGTCTTATATAAAGAGTTGATATCAATCGCAACTAATTCATAAGAGATAGGGGACTACAAACTTGCGATTGATTTGGATTAATCACAACTCACTATAAGACGGGGCCAGAACTCAACATAGAGTATCAGACGATCGGTCAAGATTTGTAAGGTCAAGTGGTAAGGCGAGATGCGTCAGGACTTAGGACCATTTTTGAAGTATTTTTTCTTACACTTACGGTTTATAATTAAGGTCGATAGTCTATGACATGGGTGCTGGTCAATTACCAAATGGTTGATGTATGATTAAAAAGTCTTCATTTTCTATAACTTCTCGAAAGAGTTACATAAATAAAACAGAATTACATGGTATGGCTTAAAGGACTCCATGAAAATAACCGAAATGCAATTAAGTCAAGTAAAGTCGTGGAATATTACGGCGTATCCAGACGTTGGCCTCAGAAGGGGCGAACCCTTAGCGCAGTAAGACATCACTTTTTCTTGAGAGCCATGGGCCCCGTCTCATGAAGAGCTACGATGGAAACTTGATATTGATAACAATTTCAAGATTTATACGACGAGGCCATGGATTGAGTTAGAGGATCGAGGAGGGTTTTTTTTTTTTGGGGGGGGGGGAGGGGGGTGGGGGTTGGAAATCTTTCATGAGGGGCTCCCCCCCCCCCTCCTGACCTCCTACAAATACGTCCTTAGCTCGCTGTATAACAGTGTACAGTTATAATTTAAATATAATCCCCCATTTATTGTCATATTTGATTGTCTTGTCAGAAAACTTAAATAAAATCATTCCCCGAGAAAACAGGTATTCATCCTTGTCTCGATTACGGTGTTTCTTAATACAGAATTTGTCCCGAAAAATGAAAAAATGGCCTCTTTTGAAACTTTGTTTGGTCCATGCAGTCTTGAATGTAGGAAATGTCCACGGAACAATAGTCTCCGGAGTATCTCATCCCGACCTCGTCACGTAGGAGAAAAAAGAAGATTTTTTTTAATTTTTTTTTATATAATTTGTGATTTGTATCATTATTTGTATGTCAGTTTTGATTTTTAAAAAGCTTTAGAAATGTCTCATGAAAGGGATCATTGTCAAACTTCGACAACAAATAGCAGAAATGTTTGAACCAAACATTTGTTTACGGTGTAGTCCTGTATAAACGATGTGTGTGTGCAGAGCATGTGGTCTTCAGCATGAGTGAAAATCGTTTCATTTTTAGAATTCCAAAACTTAACAGTGCATGTCAGTAATCATGTACTAGAATCAACCTTCCCTATCACGCCTAGATCCCTATATAATTCAATAATTCCTGCTACTTAATTTCAATTTAATTTACCTGCTTTACATAATAGCGTCTCTTTACATGTAGATAGAATCCACTTTGCACACATTAATTGGTGCTATGTCTGGCAAAACTCTGCCAAAACGTTTAGATGTTAGAAGAAACCTATCTTCAAGAAGTATGATCCAGACAGTTTCATTCACAATGCAATGTTATATGAGCGGCATGCAGTATACTGGATTTTGTCTTTGATTGTGTATATGTCATTAGATCTCATATTATAGAACTCGATCTCGCTTCAACTGATACTAAACACCCTAAATAATTATCCTGATGTTGCCTTGTTCTTGCAAAGATCATATAATTGTTATGGGCAGAGGAAAAGAAACTTCTCTCATATACACAGTTAACAGCTGAATTACCAGGTTTTGTAATTTTTAAGTGTGTGAAAATTGATGTTTCCTGAGAACAAAGGCCCTAATTCAACTCGTCCCTCCCTTATTCTTCAGTTACGAAAAAAACACACACACACACAAAAACAAAAACAAAGTTACAAGGGGTATGAATAACTTAGTTGTTAACTGAAGGAAGGAGGCGAGTTGGCTCAGTCGGTAAAGCGTCTGCCTGTCGAACCAAAGATCCCGGGTTCCGGACTCCCATCCAGGCGGATGACTGAAGTCTGCGCTGTGTGTTAACGTGCCCCTTCCCTTGTTCATAGACGCAGGTTATGTCAAGTGGAAAACACTCCGTCCCCGTGTACAGGAGAGTCACCACCCTTGCACGTTAAGAACCCATTGCACTATTCGTATAAGAGAAGGGGGAAACCCCGGTGTAATGGTCCACCTGCACACCCCAATCAGGCCGAGTATACGGCATCTGCAAGAATCTTCAGTATTGAATGAGGCAGATTATCTTGAAGAAGAAAAACTGCATTTACATGTGCCTGAGTAACTTCACATGTACAAATTGTGTGCTTAAAATGTACTAAGTAAGCCACTACACAAATCTATCACAAAATTGGTTTTGTCTGCCAAACTTATTTATTTATTTCTTGGCGATAATCCAAGGATCACTCATCACTCAGGTGAGATATTTCCTGGATTGTCAAATTGGCAATCGGCAAACGGTTAAATAATTAGTCTACAGGTGGATGGGGGATCAGGTTCGAGCCCCCCTTCCATCACCCCTTTAATACTACTGGCATCATTTGATTACATTTTGATTACATTTTGATCACACGTTTCTTGTTGGAAACGGACACAAAGTAGCTTAAAGCTAAGTGAATGAGCAGCAATATGAAGAAACTTGAAGAAACAAAACTGGTTCGAACGATTCAGAGCTGTATGAAAGGACTAGTGTAGGCCTATGTAGAAATATTTTTGAAGGATAGTAAATTTTAATTTGATGAATTATTTTGTATTAAAAATGATTGGTTTGATTGAGTCCTCAATTTTTCTTAAAATGTCAAATCAACATTATACAAGGGCTGAGGATTACCATCTTTTTCATAATGAGAGATGAACACTTATAAAAGACTGGATTCACCTTTCCACTGTTACATCCAGAATGTTAATTTACCACATTGATAATGTCGTTATTCTTCGGCTCTGTTAAGTGTTGACATAACGGTAAGTTGTTTTTTATCATCTAGAATGAAACTCTATTTCGTTGTGTTTTATCTTTTTTGTTTATGTACAGACATGGGAGGAATTTATGGCTTCCTCTGGACAACATGGTGTGGTCCTATTTACACTGGGGACCTATGCTGGTTCTGCTGCAACGCTACCATTGTGCGAGATGGAGAAATTGTCTCGGGCATTCAGTCTCGTACCCCAGCGCGTGGTCTGGCAAATGAAGGGAGAGCCACCCCGTCCTTACAGGTCGGCGAGAACACGCGAATCGTTCCATGGATGCCCCAAAATGACCTGCTAGGTAAGTGGGCTTTGTTGGCACTGCATGCATCCTAGGCTTCCGCTCCCCGACAGCCCTGCGACAAAGAAGCTGGCTAGGTTGAATGAGCCATATCCCTTCATGCTCAAGAAAGGAGTGTACTACTTGTTGCCCGGCGAGATCGGGCTGTAATGTTGCCTCCTACACTTTTACTGGCAGGGGAGATTCTATGACTAGGGCCCCGTTTTATAAAGAGTTGATATTAATCGCAACTATGTACAAACGCGATGCAAACTTGCGATTGATTGGAGGACCTACGATTGATTTTGATCGATTGCAACTTTTTGTAAGACAGGGCCCAGGCATAAAAAAAAATATTCCAAAATGAATGCTCAACCTATCTGCATCAGCAGGTGAAAGGAACACTGTAATGATTTGCTGCTCAAGTCTACCCTCATATTAATTTGTTTTTTATAGAAAATGAGAGAAACAGGTGAGTGAAAGTTTGAGCAAATTTTGATTAAAAATATTTAAGTTATTGATGACGGGATGGATTTCTTTCATACAGGGGTTTTATATAAAACAACATATTTGCAACGATTTTATTTCGGGTTATTGTATGACTGAAAATTTTCTTTATGGCAAAAATATATTTGTTCTGAATTTGTAGTACCTAGCAAGTAGGAGGGGAGCTCGAAAGATAATAACTTTCTTATTTGTAATTAAATTTTGCTCAAACTTTCACTTACCTATTCCTCTCATTTTCTACTTTTATTTATAAAAAAAAATCCTATTAGGGTGAACTTTCCCTTTAATACTTCTAAATCATCTCGGTCACCTTTTCACTATCTTCACCTGATTGACAAAACAAGAGAAGGGGTCATATCTTTCATAGGTGAAACGGGATAACTATTTCGACAAAAGTGATCATGTCCAAAATAACGTACAGTGTATTATATACTTTATTCACAACTATGCCAAAGCCTTTCATTTCGTCGATAATTTCTTGCATGAGACAGGAACAGCTCTTTCAAACAGGTCACTATTGATATCAGGGGCGTAAATCCGTACCGAGGGGTGGGGGGATGATCGGCGATAGCCATCACATACTAGCACGAGCACACGCGCGCCCACACTAATTTACGCAAGCGCGCGCAATCGCGCACGCACAAACACACAACACACACACACACACAAACGAACTCAGTTTCTCGCGCGAAGCGCGGAAGCCTTGACGTTTCCTTTAGTTATTAGAGAAAGCAGACGATTAGGTGTACTGTTCTCGACTCTTGATTCTCGTCTGAATTGAGTTTCCCATTCCCGCGCGAAGCGCGAAAAGCTTAGACGTTTGATTTAATTATTATAGAAAGAAGACGATTCGTTGCACCGTTTTCGACTCTTAATAAGCCCTATTTATCTGAATTCAGTTTCCCCCTCTCGCGCTAAGCGCGGAAGTCTTGACGTTTCCTTAAATTATTAGGAAAAGCAGACGATTAGGTGTACTGTTCTCGACTCTTAATTTTAGTCTGAATTCAGTTTCCCCTCCCCGCGCGAAGCGCGGAAGTTTTGACGTTTCATTAAATTATTAGAGAAAGCAGACGATTCGCTGTTCCGTTCTCGACTCTTAATAAGCCCTATTTATCTGAAATCAGTTTCCCCCTCTCGCGCGAAGCGCGGAAGCCTTGACGTTTCCTTAATATATTAGAGAAAGCAGACGATTGGGTGTACTGTTCTCGACTCTTAATTTTAGTTTGAATTTAGTTTCCCCTTCCCGCGCGAAGCGCGAAAAGCTCAGACGATTGATTTAATTATTATATATAGAAAGAAGACGATTCGTTGCACCGTTTTCGACTCTTAATAAGCCCTATTTATCTGAATTCAGTTTCCCCCTCGATCGAAGCGCGGAAGCCTTAACATTTCCTTAAATTATTAGAGAAAGCAGACGATTGGGTGTACTGTTCTCGACTCTTAATTCTCGTCTGAATTCAGTTTCCCCTTCCCGCGCGAAAAGCTTAGACGTTTGATTTAATTATTATAGAAAGAAGACGATTCGTTGCACCGTTTTCGACTCTTAATCCCTATTTATCTGAATTCAGTTTCCCCCTCTCGCGCGAAGCGCGGAAGCCTTGACGTTTCCTTAAATTATTAGAGAAAGCAGACGATTGGGTGTACTGTTCTCGACTCTTAATTCTCGTCTGAATTCAGTTTCCCCTTCCCGCGCGAAAAGCTTAGACGTTTGATTTAACTATTATAGAAAGAAGACGATTCGTTGCACCGTTTTCGACTCTTATTAAGCCCTTTTTATCTGAATTTAATTCAATTCATTCAATATAAACAACAAATTAATTCATTCATAGACCTACACAAACATCACATGCATTGCAGCCCTTAAATATCATCCCCTTGTCCCTTAAGTTTTAGGTGCGAACAAATGACAACCACCGAGTAGGACTTGGGCAATGAAACAGTTACCGTATTATTTATCACTCTCAATCAGATGCGTTCACAGTTTTCACACCTCTTAAAAAATGTTTCTGGAATTCATATAATGATACATGTACTGTGTTTATTATTTAAATCTAATGAATTCTTTAATTTCCTCAGCTAAATCCTGTTTCAAATATAAAAATAATAAGAATGTGTACAGGCTTACCTTGAAATAACCGAAGAGACAAGCGGCCACTGTAAGTCTTGAACACGCCAGGTCTGGAACTTCAGTCTTCATCTACCCCCACCCCCCCCCCACACACTCCGGGGTCGGAGGGACCGCATGCGTGTTCCTAAAATCTCCAGGAAAGGGATATTTTTTCGCGCGACATAATCCGGCCCGAGAATTGTAAAAAACAAGGGGGTGTATTTGACTTTTCACCCGGAGATGTCTTTAAAAAAAGGGGGTGGGTTTTTCTCTCTCTCTCTCTTTGGACTCCTGAGAAATGTAAAAAGGGTGTTATAAAATATCTTGAATATCATAGAAAAATTGATCGAATCCCGGGATCAAATTCATGAAACTCCTGCTAGCTTTGAAAGCTCATTCAGGATTATTTCATTTTGAAAAGTAAAAACATTGGCCCCCAGCCCCCCAGTCCCCCTCGATCGACTAGAGCTTACCTGAAATGGGGGGGGGGGGGTGGTACACTTAGCAGTGTTCCGGATTTGGGGGGGGGGGGTCTCCAAGGCAGGAAAAGCCAGCGAAAAGCCGGCGAAAGGGGGATTCAGAAATGTTGGCAGTCCTGGGGGGGGGGATAGATAGGGGGTGCTTTCAAAGCAGGGAACGATGCAGCCCCCCCCCCCATCCCCCCCGGGATTTACGCCCCTGATAGACAGTGGTACGGACACACACTACAGTTTGAGTCAAACAAAAGTTTACACCTAGAAAATTGCTAATTATTAAAAATATCAGCACTCTTACATAAGATGTATAACAATTTACTGTTCATAGATGATTTTTGAAATAATTTTCTAGATGTAAACTTTTTTTGACTCACACGGTATAACCCCATTGATCTCCATGGGCTTTGCTGGCTTGAACAAATTATTGTTGTTCTTTAATATTGGGAATTATATAAGTCTATAGATCTGTGTCGGAGTCAAGCCTATACACAAGTGCATGTGTAATGGTAAATCAGACCTAGACAAAAAATGAGAGAACCAACGTTGCTGGATGAAAGGAGTTGCGGCGGGAAAAGATTCTCCAAAACCTTAATTTGGGGGAACTTTTTTCGGTGTAGATTTTAAACTTGGCGGTTGAAATGAACCACGATAATTTCGATCGCTCACTTGCTCAAACAAAAAATTAAGTTTGGTCAGTCTACTTTTATTATAAACTAACCTTTTGGTATATCTGGGTGACATAGCTTTATATTTATTTGATCTACAATACAGGCACGTAGCCACGGGGGGGGGGGGAGGGGCACGTGCCCCCCTAACTTTTCAAGATCGGTTGAACTTTTTAGACCCCTTTTTTTTACCGCGATCGATTACATTTGTGGTGCCCCCCCCCCCCCCCAAACATCAAACTCTGGCTACGTGCCTGCTACAATATCACCACTGCAACAGAAAAGGGGAGGGGGAGTGGACGGAGGAAGGAGTATTTTGAGAGATGGATCACTGCAATATGTGGCCAGCAATGTAAATGCATAAAAGAGACTGTATATGCTAATGTTTGAGGTAAAGAATTAACGAAGAACTCCTGTCGTATACAATCTGCATGTAAATTCATTTTGTCGGGTGTGTTTTGGAGGGAGGGGTGGGAAAAACTGCAATAGCAATGACAAAAAACATCAACATTTGAATCAATAATTACTTTAAGGTTCTGTATCCAGGCGCGTACGCAGGATTTTTTGAAGGGGGGGGGGGGGGGGTTAACATTTTTAATTCGGGCCGAAAATTTCGCACTTTTTTGTGTGAAAAATTTGACATTTTGCTCCGTTAGGGGGGGGGGGTAAGGTCAACTTTTTAGGTCAGCCATTGGTATAATTGTTTTGTTATAATTAAACAAAAATTAAACAATTAAAAAAATCAAGGGGGGGTTTCATCCAATATACACACATTAAAAATACCAAGGGGGGGGGGGTTCAACCCCCCCCCCCTGCGTACGCGCCTGTCTGTATCATTCACCATTATTTTGATTATTGCATACCGATTTCGCCCGTCAAAGTTAGCGCATTCAACTTCATTTTACTTCCACAACATTAACCGTTACATGAACCCTTACAGGTCTCATGTTTTTATGGGTTTATTTTCATAATAAAAAAAAAAAGGATTTCTTCTTTAAAATAGCAGAAATTTATGCAGTTAAATCTGGAGTACGTGTCATTAATCGTTCTTCAAATACGACCACATGATAATAATTGATAAATTCAAGGCCCTGGTCAAGGTTATTACAATCCACTTCAGACTATGCCCTTTTGGTATCTATATTTTAACAATAATAGTTACATGAACCCTTACACATCAAATGTTTTTTATGGGTTTATTTTCATAAATTTATTATTTTTCGTTTTAGTATAGCAGGAATTTATACCATAAAATCTGGAGTAGGCCTACGTGTCATTAATCGTTATTAAAATGCGACCACATGATACTCAATAGCTAATCAAGTATTTTGAGAAAGAAAAAACACAGGAGGAATTAACGTAGAAAAGTATCTTGCGAAAGGAACTTTTAAGAGAAATCGGAAGGGAGAAATGAAGAGAAGAGGAAAACAGATAATGATATATATATAGAGAAGGAAACATCTCTATGTATTCAAGAAAGAAATGAAGACGGGAGGGGAGGAAGAAGTTAGCCACAGTATAATAGTAGAAGTAGTAGTAGTATTAGTAGTAGTAGTAGTAGCAGCAGTAGTAGTAGTAGTAGTAGTAGTAGTAGCAGCAGCAGTATAGTAGTAGTAGTAGTAGAAGTAGTAGTAGTAGTAGTAGTAGTAGTAATCAGGCGCGTACGCAGGGGGGGGGGTGGGGGTTGAACCCCCCCTTCAACTTTGTTTATGTGTGTGTTTTGGAGGACCCCCCCCCCCTTCAACTTTTTTTTTTAATCACAAAAACAAAAATATCGATCGGCCAATTTTTCAAATTTTGGGACACACACACACACACACACTCGTAACCCCCCCCCCCCACTTATTCAGCGGTTGGCTGAGTCGTTGCGAAATTTTTGGGACCAACAAAATATAAATATATGATTTGGGGGGGGGGGGGTCTCCAAGGCAGGAAAAGCCAGCGAAAAGCCGGCGAAAGGGGGATTCAGAAATGTTGGCAGTCCTGGGGGGGGGGGGGGATAGATAGGGGGTGCTTTCAAAGGGAGGGAACGAGCATACTCGTACCCTAAATAACACTGAGTGGGGGGGGGGGGGGAGCCGGGCATATACTGTACATGATTGCACTTTTTAAGCGCTCGCGCGCTAGCGCACTTTACGTCTAGGCTATAATAATACCTTGCAAAATAACGAAAAATTATTCTGAAGTTTATGAAGTGCTTGTTCGCGCACGTCGCGTTACTACTCTTAATGATCGTGACATACTGTATATGTGTAGGCTATACAGTTATACATACATTTTAAAAAAAAATTGTACAGGCCATCCCCCCTACTTCAAGCCAGGGGGGGGGGGGGAATGCAGCCCCCATCCCCCGGGATTTACGCCCCTGATTGATATCCTCTTTTGAAAAGACAAACTTTCCAACCACCGACATTTCGTTTGGCGTGATAACTGCTAGATCATGTGAGGAGCTTAAAGGCCTGGCTTGGTGCCCTATACGGTTATACGTGTATCTCTAAACGCATGTGTGTTACGTCACTAATATAGGATTTCCCGGCCAAATTCGCGAGTTTGTCATTCGAATTAATTGTCTTGCGTTCAAATTCGACGGTTTTAGTGCAGTCAGGTATATCTCGGGCTTATATTCCCTTTTCTAGTTTTCAAATCTATGGAATTTTCGTTAGAATCTACGTATGTTTCATTCAAATTAACGAACATCGCTATTTGGTCATTCAATTTGGCGCAACACGATTTTCTGACAACGCGACGATGTACTTCTAGCATTCTAATTCATTTGTAGCATTCAAATTAGCACTTTGTGCACTTAAATTGATGGTCATTATACATTTCTCGTTTATTACACACTTTTTATAGCTCATTCTTTTTCTTTCAAGATTGTTTTTTCATGTGTATTTCATCATATTTCATTTTCTTGCATCTATACACTTATACTTATTAGATCTATCTGATATTCATCAGCATTTAAGTTTGATTATTAAGAAGAAAAAAACGACTTGTATCTACGGACCTGATGGTCTCGGTATATTTGTAAACGTTTATGTAAGGAAGTTGTTTGTCTTATGTTTCATCATAAATTGATCATAATTTCATCATAATTTCATTATGGAAGAAGGGTACAATATTGTGACTGGTGTGGGGACTAGAGTCAACAATTTGAAAATGATTCATTATTTAGCCATGTCTTTAGCCATCGATCTGCTGGTGGGCAAGTAAACTATGAAACTCTTTAAGAAAAACAGAGGGGTGTGCTGGGTATAAGAGACGATGTGAATTACTTTTGTAAAATTCCGAGTCTTTAGTAAAAGGGGGCGATTGAGGGTACCCCCACCTTTCCCGGGTATATGAACATGTCCGTGCAGAAATGCCATATCCCTTAATTTCGCCCCTTCTTTACTTTATGTCTGATTACATCCATCTGCATTGTCCTGAAAATAAATAAATGGATTAAGAGCTTAGAACCCAATGACAAATCATGCATTTTAACTGCATTATTTAAAAACTGTAAAAGTTTTTTGCAATTCTTCCCCCTAACATTCCTAACTTGAATAAAAAATATTACGACTACGAATGACAGGTGTTAATTTGAATGATAAAAATTACGCTTCGACAAGTGAATATTAATTTGAATGCTTGTTAAGCAGTTTCTAAATTGAATGACAAATCTATGAAACCCTTCGGCCAAAATCCTAAATTAAATACAAAAGCTGGAAAATTGAGTGATAATTGGCATGGCAAAGCCAATCTGCGCTAACTTAAATGCAAAGTAAATGAATTCGAATGACAAACACGCGAATTTGGCCGGGAAATCCTATACATAGTTTCACTTTAAATATTAAATGTAGCTTGCAACACAGTATATAGAGATACGACTGCCATGAGAGGCCTGGCTGTTTTATAGGCTCAAGGGGACGTGCACATCTTCAAGAGCCAACAGCCAGGCCTCGAATATGAAAGCAGTCGATGTTTTATTTATATACCGAATGGACACAAAAACGTACCAAGAATTCTTACCTTATCCTTTTCTTTAGTAAAGATTGGTTAAAACATCACGGAAAATCTGAGACACTGTCTGTCAATCTTCGCTAGAAAGATGACTGAATATTACCGAATCATTTCGGAATCGCAGACAAAAAGCACTGTAAGGCATCCGCGCTAGCACAGATAATTTTAACACGTAAACCAATAGGGATCGCAGCAAAATTTAACTATTTTCCCGGTACCCGGAATCTTGCGGGAATCTCATTCATGAACTATTGACCATTACTGGCATTGTTCTTTTCTTTACGAGAATGGCTAAAATCACTGTAGACCAATCAGATGGCTAGATTTCTAAAGAGAGGTAAGCCTATATAACATATTTATTTTGTGTTTGAATCTCTCCGTGACCGCCTCACAACCACAGGTGACCCCAGACTAAAGGCACTGGTCTTCCACGGCGGTAACAACGGCATGTACGAGGCCCTCTACCACGGGGTACCTATGGTGGTCTTGCCGCTCATCTTCGACCATCCCGACGTCGCCGTCCGGATCGTCGACCGCGGGATGGGCATCGCAGTCAACTTCTTCTCGTTCACCAGCGAAGAGTTAACGAAAGCCATCAACGATGTCATCAATAATTCGAGGTTAGAGAGGAGAGACTTATACGATGATAGTGATAATAATTATAGTAAAATAATAGTATTAATGATAGTAATAGTAATAATGATAGTAATAATATTAACGACATGAATATATTAAAATGATGATAATAACCATAATAATAATAATACTATCACAAGAATAGTTATAATATTAATAGTAATAATGATAATAACGATAGATAATGTTCAAGCTTGTTTTTAATTTTTTCCATATATTTTTTTCTTCTTTCAATTAATTATAGTATCCAACTATTTCTTTTCTTATACATCATTCGTTCATTAACTAAAACAATAATAATAATTTGTCCAGATAATAACACCATGATAATAATTAAGCATACAAGTCGATTACAACAAGGGACATATTAATTTATTTCATAATTCTTTGTATGAAGTATACTGGAACATGTACACCTAAGTGAAAAGTGGCATTTGTCGAATCATGTCTTGCCAAAAGGCCGTGAGTCACGAGCTGGGAAGTTAAGCGAATAACACATTATACCACAACCCCTCTAAAAAGCTAGCCGGATTCAATGCAGAATCTGAGTTGTTACTTTATTACCGCTATCATTCACCACAGTCATGACATTGGCAGAGCGTGGCTCAAGCCGCATAGAGGGTGAGGGGGCACTTGGCACCATGGGGATGGGGGTTGCGGCCTTACTTGGTGGATGAACTATGCATTTACAAGTCACCGATCACAGTAGGATGACCTACACACCTTTTCTCTACGTTCCTTTGTCCCCCCCCCTTTTTTTTAAAATATAAATTAAAACACAACCAATCATTGAATATGGAATAAGAAATCATGCCATTTCATATAAAATAATACATAGTTACAACTTGAAAGAGATTGTTCAGGTTTGGTTCTGGATGAGCTCCAATAAATATAAATGGAAATTGTCCACATTTGTTAACAAAAGAAAGCGTTTAGTCGAGAGAGCTTCCCAAGTATTTATTTTGTCGTGTTTGTTTCGCTATTTATTTCTCTATTTGTTTCGCTATTTGATCTGAAGAGGGGGCATACCCTTGTACCCCTGTAGCTAGTAGCTACGTCAATGATTCACCTCTCTCAACCATTAGCTGATTTATTGAAGTTGTTTCTCGTAACTCCCACTACTTATGCCTATACGTATCTTCACGAGCGAAGTACAGTAAATCAACCCGCAACATAGGACAAATAGAAAAAACAGCTCTAGTAGATCATTTACATTTACCTTCGTTCTCCTCTTCCCCTGAGGAAATAAACATGGGAAGAGGCCTCTCCCCCATCTTCTTTTATAACCCGTTTGTATACTCTCGCAAAAGATATTTCTTCAAGTACATCTCCGAAATGGTGTCGTTAAAGCCTGGCCAGAGAATGTGGAAGTGTACGCGAGGAAAGGCTCGATTACAAGTTTCGTGTGACTACGATATCGAATATAATGCTGTTCCAGCAATTGTTTATTTTACACATGAGTTACAATCCTTTTATATTTTCGTTATTATTTTCAGATCTATTCTTTTTAAAATAATTTTGAATGTTATCATTACTATTCAGGGGGCACAGGGGGCACGTGCCCCCCCCCCCCCCGTAACAAGGGGGAAGGGGGAAGGGGGAAGAGGAAAAGGAGAAAAAGGAGAAAAGGGGGGGGGGGAGTAAGAAAAGAAAAGAGAGAAAGAAGCAGAAAAGAGGGAAGAGAGAAAAGGGGAGAGGAGAAAAGGGATGAAGAAAGGGGAAGAGAGAGGAGAGAAAAGGGGGAAAAGGAAGAAAGGGGGAAAGACGTAGGAGAGAAAAGGAGGAAAAGGAGAATAATGAAAAAGGAAAAGAAAGAAAGGGGGATGATATTATAAGAAGGTGTTTTTTAACCGGGAAAGGGGCGGGGGCACGCAATTTTGTAGTGTGCATAATATGGGGTCCCTCTTGCCAGGCGTGTAGCCCTCCCCCCCCCCAAAAAAAGGCACAATAAGAACAACAAAAACAGAGATGGAAAAAGGGGGAGGGAAGAGAGAATTTTTGTAAGTTAAAGGAGAAAGGAAAACAAATGAAAAATAAATTAAACAACGATAGAAGAGAAGTGCGAGAGCAAGAGGAATTGCATTTCTTTATAAAATAATAATGAGATAACAACCAGGGGTGTCCCTAAAAGGGGGTTGTGGGGTGCGACACCCCCCCCCCACCTGTCAGGATATTGGTTGTAAAATTGCGCTGCTGTCGAGGAAAATGAGAAAAGGGGGAGGAGAAAATTAAGAGGAAAAGGAAAATAAAATTTTAAAAAGAAAAGGAAAAGAAAGGAAAGAAAGGAAATAGAAGAGAAGAAATAAAAGGAGAAAAGGAAAACAAAAAAGAGAAAGGGGAAACAAAAGAAACGGAGGATGGAAGAGAGGAGAGAGAGAAGGGGATAAGAGCCTGAGAGAAGAGGGAAAATATTTTTCCTACGAACTGTGACTTTTTATCGGACAAAAAGACATTTCTGATAATTCAGACATGATTAAGAATCCGAACAACGAATCGTCTTCTTTCTCTAATAATTTAATAAAAAGTCAAAGCTTCCGCGCTTCGCGTGGGAGAGGGAAACTGAATTCAGACAAGGATTAAGAGTCGAAAACAGTAAAACAAGTCGTCTTCTTTCTCTAATAATTAAATGAAACGTCGAAACTGAATTCAGACAAGAATTATTAAAGAGTAGAAAACAGTATGACGAGTCGTCTTCTTTATCCAATAATTGAATGAAACGTCAAAGATTAAAAAGACAACAGAACCGGTCACCAATGGAAGTACACGCCGTGAAACAGAATAACTAGAGAGAGAGAGAGTGTGTGTGTGTGTGTGTGTGTCAGACCCGTAGCCACGGGGGGGGGGTTGCAGGGGGGTTGCCCCCCAAATAATTCCAAGATCGGTTGAAATTTTGTAGACCCCTCGATCAATTACATTTCATTTTCGTTTCATTTCGTTTATTTCCATTTCCAACATGCATGAGCCCCCAAACAGCAAACTCTGGCTACGGCCCTGGTGTGTGTAGCAACATAACCCCCCCCCCCCCTGAATCTGGTCTGCAAGCACAGACACTAATTTGACACTTTATCAACAAATCATTGTGCCTTGAGAGAAGCCTAGCCCAGCTAAGTACATGGCCTATGGTAGTCGTATAGTGCAGACTCACATTTACGACTGACCAGGGTTTGTGCTTGCAGACTACCCTGAATCCGCCACTGATAACGTGGTATAACTTTGAAAGTAAATGTTAAGGTGACGCCCCTTGCCCAGACCTACCCCCGCTCCCCCGCCGCTGACGCCTTGCTCCATCGTTTTTCATATATTTCACCCCATGCGATTTTGTGCCCCCCCCCCCCCCCCCCCGGAGAAATTCCTGGATCTGCCACTGATTAGTAACAGCAATTTTCCGGGAGGGGGGAGGGATCAATTCGTCCCTTTTTTTCACGAAGTGACGGTAATGAGGAAAATTGCATATAATTTCAGTTTTTTTGTTGTTGGACATCATTCACTAACATCTTAAACCTCACAACATTTCGAATCACAATAATTTCTTATTATGTCACTATGACGATGACGTAAACAAGAAAATACCTAGTAAAAGGATTTCCTGTTTTCACGAAGTGACGGCTAAGTACGGCTAACTTTCTTTTAATTGCGCGCTCATCCGGCACTTCGTGAAAATAGGGACGAATTATCGTTTTGTTGACAAGAACAAAGAATTCTGTAGGATTTATCCTTTCACCACTTTGTAGGTGACTAAACTATTTTATCTGTAGTTACAACGAACAACACAAATGGTAATTTATATCGACGTGTAATATTCAAACCATCAGTTCATGTATCAAATGAAAAGCATCGGACAGGGATGACTACCCGGGCAAGGATGCATCCTTTATAAGGCTTGACGAATCAAGATTTAATCACTATGTTTTTGATCTATCTAATATTGTTCTACAGCTACAAGGAGAACGTACTTCGATGGTCGTCCATCTTCAAGGCCAATCCGCAGCTTCCCATGGAGAGAGCTGTATTCTGGATCGAGCACGTCCTCAAGTACGGCGGCGACTACCTCCGCACATCTCGGACTGAGCTCTACTTCTGGCAGGTCTGGTCCCTCGACGTCTACGCCTTTCTCCTCCTCATAGTCTATCTATGCTACCGGGTTCTCAAGTTCATGTATATCCGGCAGTATCATCGCATTCTATCGAGCGGTTGCTGTCTCATCGTCGGTTATCCGCTCCGGAAGCTTTGTCCCGGTCTCAGATTCCGACTCAACATGAGCGGTAATGTGGGGATGCGTTTCTGGGGAACACGCGGGCCTCGGAACAACGGAAAAGTTTGATATTTAAATAGCTTCTCTTTCTCTTTCTCCCCTCTCTCTTTCTCTCTCTCTCTCTCTCTCTCTCTCTCTCCCTCTCTCTCTCCCTCCCCCCCCCCATCTCTTTCTCTTTGGGCGTCTTTCGAAAATCAAAGAAACACCAAAGTTATGCTCTTATGGATTATTACCGTGCTTGATGTATTTTTTCTAAGGTAGTTGTACACCAATACTTAATATGACTTCCAAGCGTTACTAGTTCAATGATGACGAGTCTACTACACCTGTTTTGGGGTGGACGTTATTGTTCAAGAACATCACGCAGTGATGAAACATTGCCTACTTGATCCTCATATAAATAACCTAAAGTCATGAAAATAAAGCTTTTTAACCGCTGTCTATGACGTTTGCACAAAATTGAGACCTCCAGTATAGAATGATGTTAATATATGCACAGAAATATCGATGAATGTATAATAAAAATGATAAATATAAACAGGGGCGGACTGGTCGTGTGAAGTATAAAGAGCTGCTCAGTATCACACTTAAAATTGGACCCCAATTTTTAGGGGCATCTCAATTTGAATATTGGTATGGTAATACAAAATTGTTAACAAAATTTGGTTCATAGGTTAGATGGGGGTAGAATCGACTTAACTTGTTTCTGTTTCGGGGGGGGGGGGGGCTCTAGGGGCTATATCCGACGGCTATGCTTTGGCTGATAACTCGGGTCACATCCTGTGTGCTCGGATGGCTTGTTTGACTATTTCGATACAGGCTCTCAAGACTATTTGAAGACTACCCCCCCCCCCCCTCCCCCTCTCCCCAGCGCTCCCAGGCTTAGCATATTATATATGGGCATGTGAATAATTTCGAAACGCTGGTATTTTAGGTCGATTCGACCGGCCTCTCGGACATTCCGGGGTCGAACTTTAGTTCCAGTCCGCCCCTGATTATGTATGCAAGTCTCGTATTGATGTTCAACATGTAAAAACAAACTGCACTAGATTCGGTGCATGATTGATTTTGAGTTGTATTCTTAGCTCATGGGCCGGATGTTCTAAATGTCATTACCAGAGTATGTGATGTCATCTCTCTTCCAGAACGAACACTTAAACTGAAATAAAATGTTTGTTTTTTAATTTAAGGAAATAACACGTACTTATGACATATGCCAATGAATTCGATTGATACAAAATATCGTTGAAGGTGTGTTGAAGTACAGGAATAACAGAATTACGGTTGTATGTGGATGTTGGAGTAAGTGAAGGTGTTATTACATTTACTTATTTTAATATTATGTATTTGTTATTGTTTGATTTTGTGTTGTATCTGTTTATTCATAATGCATTCCATCTTGTATTAGGATATTTCATGTTACTAGCTAAAAATTAAAATTATCATTTTATGTCGAGCAGACCTCGGCAAGGTAAGAACGAACGTGATTTCTGTATGTTAATTTGCTTTTGCTTGGTTGTTTTTTCGCCTATTCAAACGTGCGCCACATTTTGTGTACTAGTAATATATAATTATGTTACACTGTCACGCATTATGACATTGACTTTGTTTTTAATAATGCACCAATACTGAATTGTTTCCAAGACATGCTCTGAGTTAAGAAAGGGATGAAGTGCTATTCAATGAGCAACATTAAACTTAAAGCACAGGATTTTATCGAATCCTGTGAACATAGTGCTTTTTTTATTGATTGATGCCTTCAAAAGAGCAGATACACAGAATGTTAAGACTGTTATTAAAGCCGAGTCTTTTCAAACAGAAATACGGAAAGCTGTCGTTCTTTTCTTAATTGTCGTTTAAATATGTGAAATGAGTTTGACAAAACGGATAAAGGAATAAGAACCTGTTCTCCGATTCTGCTTACCGAAACGATTAAGCTCTTTTCTTTGTAATGCAATATAACGTATAATTAATTTCCCCGTTTCTGCGTGGCTGGTTGGAATGAGTCGTGGCAAAGTGTGGTTAGCCGTGGTAAATTGTAGTGAGCTGTGGCGAGTTGTGGTGAGTTGTGGTAAAGTATGGTAAGTCATGGTGAATTCTGGTGAGTTGTGGTATATTTTGTAGAAACGAGGTGAATTGTTGTGGGTTGTTATGAATTATGATGAGTTGTTAGTATAGTGGTGAGTCAGGCGCGGATCCAGGATTTCTCAGGGGAGGGGGCCCATTTTTTTTATTTTTTTTTTTGCTCCCGAAAATTTGAAAATCGCGCCGGCCGAAAAGTCGCTCAGTGGGGGGGGGGGGGGGGGGGGGGGGGGGGTAGTGAGCACTATTTTTGTTTTGGCCCTCGAAAATTTGCACCCCCCCCCCCATCCCCCAAAAGCTAAAAATCACGTTTTTTCCCAGGGGGAGGGGGCGGGGGGGGGCGGATCCGCCACTGTGGTGAGTCGTGGTGGCCTGTGGTCGGTTCTGACCAATTTAGAGCTGTGGTGGGTCGTGGTAAGTTGTGAATTAGATGTTTCTGATGACTTGTGATGACTTGTGTTTAATTGTGGTGAGTTGTGTTGGAATCGTGGTAAATTGTGATTTATGTTCAATGGTTGGCTGTGGTTGGTCGTGATGAGTTGTGGTGAAGTATGTTGATTTGCAGTGGTGAGTGACTTGTGGTGCATCATGGTGAGTACCGTAATTAAAACGAGATGATTTTGCATTTTCGAAGATGACATCGTTCCGCTAAAGGAAGCGTATAGAAGCAAAACTCAACCTAAATCAATAATCTTGGTGTCATTTTCTTCAGTATGAAATACATTTCCCGATAGTACCTTCTTTTTAGGGGAAGGTTTATAATTCCTACATGAAGCATGAGGTAATGCATTTGTTTTAAGGGACTGAATAGGGGGAATGGCCCCTTTGCCACCCCTCCTGGCTACGCCAGTGCAAGCGGGATCAAACCGTCTCTTGCCCGTCGCTATGGTACGTTCGACACCATCGCCTACATGTATATCCAAGAGATGACTTCCGGTTTGCCTTACGAGATGGGATTCCTCCAGCGTTTCTCAAATGCGGTAGCAGCCATCTCGGAGGACTTGTCCATTTTCTTTACCTACGATGTCTGCTACTTCATGTTTTCCTTCCAATTCTCATTCTCGGCTGGGATATCGCATATGTTCTCTACGATGCGCAGTTGATTTCGATCAACTTTGACTTCGCAGTGGATATTCCTTTCCCTCTCCAACCTAATGTCATTTCTGTAGGAGGATTGACTTCCCAACTAGTAAAATACCTAAACAAGGTATGACATTTTATTTGTACAATCAAATACTTTACTGCCATCATTATTCTTGTATACCTTTGTTATTTGCAGGCAAAGTCCATTTAGCACTGATCACCAATTATTATTCAAAAAGGATTTGTTGCCCTCATTTATAAGCAGACTACTTTAATAAAGAAGAGAGGTCTTGAAGCTGTGTCTGTCATAATCCTTTCAGTGCCAGCAAGATTTTGAAAAATGGTCACGAAAGGCCTTGCATTAAAATTTTACTTAAAATACACGTTTTAATGTTGGATTGGGCATATAAAATATCCCGTGCGAGTAAACTGTAACATGAACCTATAATTTTTCTCTTTTCAGGAAGAAAAGCGTAGCCATTCTTTGCCAAAACACGTGGTCAAACACTTTTATTAGTGGGCGGGATTTTCCGCCAACGGCAAATAAATGATTGAAAGAATAACCACACTTCATGGGGTTAGGTGTTTAGAATAGAACTAATAGATCTTATTTAACATCAATCCTAACTTGTCTTGTCATAATTGCTTCATATATGTCAAGTCAAGTGAATTAAACCCGGGAATTAAAGTGGATATGATGTCCCTTGTTAAATGTGCTTGATTTCATGCAAGGAAGGTCTCCCTAAATTCTGATGTCGGATATTGACGTTGTTTATGTTGTGTGGAAAAGCATGTAATAATAATAATAGCTCGTTCTTATATAGCGCTTTACAGATAAGTATATTATTACCCCGGTCATTGGATTCAGGCTTACCCGCACACAATGTATGCACATTCTCCACTCCCTGGGGAGCATTCCAACCAGGCGTCATTTTTACATGCGCACACTAACCTTGCTAATCCAACCACATTAGCTTTCGCATCCTACCGGGTACCCATTTAACACCTGGGTGGAGAGTGGCAAATGTAGATCAATGTCTTGCCAAAGGACATTAGTGCTGCGGCGGGACTTGAACCACGGACCTTGTGATCCACAGTCCGGCGATTTATCCACTCGTCCACAACACCTCTACATGTATATACACATCGCCACTTCTTGTCCTGTGTGGTAAAACTATTTTTAGATGTTATTCATAAATGAAACCTGGTGCAGATCTCAACAAGTAATGTGAAGTGTACTATCAACAAATAGAAATACCGTTTTGGAATTAACTAATTGAGGATATGAAATTCAAGCCTTGAATTAAGTAGTATGAGGATATAAAATTCAAGCCAGCAAATTGATTGATTCTTGAGAGAGAAACAAAATATGGCCTTGAATGTATCTGTTATAGTCGGAATGTGATTCCGGTTTAAAGGTAATACAAAGTTTTGGTACATTTTGAAAATTGGGTGGATAGTGATTCTTTACAATTTTGATATATTTGGATTCCCCTGTGGATGTATTATAAGCACACAAATTTTTAGCCACTAAAACACTTCTGCTTTCGAGAAAAATGGAATATAAAAATTTACCGGTGCTTCCGGTAAATTTTAATAAATTTCAAATAGCGCCTATACGGCCGTACAACGGTAGCTGCGACCATGCACATCTCAGAATATGTAGTTGTGATATATAATTTCCAAACGGGAATAGCTAATCGGTCGATTTCAGTCAAGAAATATTGCTTTATAGCTTAATTAATATACTGACATTGAGAGGGAGCTTTTCAACATAAAGAGTTTATTATTGACATTTTCATAACTTTAGACTCGATTTCAACCGCGACAACAATCATTGAATATTTACGGATCGCATATGCTTCCAATATGTTCTTTTGAACCAAATTCATGACCCCATACCAAAACTTTGTATTACCTTTAAGTGCACGTGCCTACCTGCAAAATTAATACAAACAATTAAGTCAATTATGCTGGCACGAATCATCTCCTGATGACCATGGTATTTCCTGATCACTCTCCCGAAGACGATCAGATCATATTTATTCCTGATCAAAAAGTCGAGAACCATCTTAGCGGAACTCACAAGCTGCAGGGCTCTTATTTCTTTGAGAAAATAATTACATGGTGTTTTCCCGAAAACCTACAATTTTTAATGATAGATTTTGTCAATATTTATCTTATCATGTTTTTTCGTCTCCATAATAAACTTTTTTTCTCCATATAGCCCCGAGTCTGGAATGTGAGAGCGAGCAAAACAGCTTTAAAAAATTCGTTATACGTGATAATATAAAGTTATGACTCACAATATTGCTTACAGCCTTTCTGCACTAGTTTGGCCAGGATGGATTGGACCTCCCTACATGGTCACTGACAGGTGGTTATCTCATCAAATCAGCTCTCAACATTAAAAAAAGGGGATCATTGGGGACCAACGAGTACCGTTTAGGAATTGTTTGATATATAGAGGGCGCCAGACGCGTACGCGGGGGGGGGGGGGGGGAGGGGGGGGGGGGGGGGGGGGGGGGGGGGGGGGGGGGGGGGGGGGGGGGGTTAGGGTTACCCCCCCCCCCCCCCCAATTGAGGTTTTTTTTATGTGTATGTTTTGTGTATGTTTTTTTGGAACCCCCCCCCCCTTTTTTTATTTTTTTTTATTTAATTTAAAAAAAATTTTATGCCATAGCTAACCTAATAAAGGTGACCTTACCCCCCCCCCCCCCTAACGGAACAACGGAACAAAATGTCAAATTTTCAAATTTCGAGACCAAAAAAAAAAGTGTTTGAACAACCCCCTCCTGATCGATGATGATGGTGGTGGTGGTGGTGATGATTTTGATTATAGTTGATTTTTCTTCTTCTCTTTTCATTTTTGTTGCATACATGTAATTATTTCCCATGAGATTTGTGTTGGTTTTTGCAGATCATTGGGGCCGTCGACAGCTAGTTCCCTAGCCTGCTTTTAGTCTTACCGATAGATGGCGCTTATATTCTATTTTTTTGTGCTAATCCTTCCGGCGGACAATTTGAAGCTCATTATTTTGTCGAGGAAATTGCGGGAGATTTTAGTCAATTTGATAGGTGAGTTTATCTATAATCCAAGTTGCTTATTACGCTTGATGATGTTGATACTATAATGTGTGAAAATGTTTCAATCTTTGTCAGTAACACTTGTTTATTCGGCAGTTTGTTTATGGTCGAAGTCACGCAGCTTAGCGGGCTTTCAATGTTCGGGCTCCCCGGAACTCCCGGCCTGGAACGTTGTAGATTGTATGTAGCATAGCGTTGGAGGGATCGGGAAGAGGGAATAAATTAAAACTGCAAAAGTTACGCACTAACTTAGAGTCTACTTTGCTTTGAAAGATAACAAGGCCTTGTCCTTGTTTTACCTTGGGCAGAGTTATTAATTTAAATTAGTTCTGTATAATCTGAAATAATATCATCCTCATTTAATTTAATTGACAATTCATTCGTTTTCAGGAATTTTTCTTGACCAGCGATGTGGCTGATCTGATAGCTGGTCTATGCCTTTTGAAATTTGAGAGCTGACCAAGACAATTATCTACACAATGACGACTGCGCCAGAGAGAAAGTACACAGCGCTACGTAAGAGGCTTGATCAACTTGGGTACCGACAGGCTCTGGGTATAGAGTCTGTGCCGCTTGTTGAGAAACTATTCAGTGATCTCATTCATACCACAGAAAGTCTGAAGAATGCCAAATTACAGGTGAACATTCTAGTTTTATATGCGAATTGGAGCCTTTTAGTAAGGATGAGAGATTAGCAGTGTAGATCTACATTCCAAAATCTAGATAATTTTATTTGTTCATTTTAGAAATGAAATTCAACTAGAGTCTAGAATCATTTACAACCATAGGCGCCGGAAGTGGGGGGGCAGGGGGGCAGTTGCCCCCCCAGTCAAAAAAGTGGGGGGGCAAAACGCATTTTTGCCCCCCCAAAACGCCCCCCCCCCCCTCCAAAAAAAAAAAAAAAGCAGTAAAGGAACAAACATGGATTGTATTTTAACCCAAAAGAACATAACAATAATAAAAACCTGAATTAAATCACATATACCATTCCATTCAAAGAAAAGAAAAGTTCACAGGGATTAAATTTCATAAACATTGTGCATGCTACCTATACGGTTTATGATAGCGATACGCGCATATCGTGGACATATTGTGCGAGAATGGGAAAGCGTGTCTGTTTTTTGTTTTGTTATAGGGGTGAGAAGACATGAGCCCCTGAACGCTGGCGTACTGATGGGGGGGGGGGGGGGGGGGTATCTATACGATACCAGTGATTTACAAATGTTGCTGTTATGACATGATTTTCCGGTATTTTTTCTCCATTTTTTTTGTAAGTCATACCTTTTTATGCGTTTGTTGGAAAATAGCAAATTCCCAAATTACAGTCGGGCGAAAAATACGCTGATTTAGAAGCCTTTATGTAAAGGTCTGCAAAGTGGCTGGGCTCGAGCCCCCCCCCCCCCCCCCCCCCACTTTTTGAAAAAGTATGTTAAAGACAAAAAAAAAAGAAAGACGGAGAGAAAAAATAAGTGACCTGCCAATGTCACAAATAAGGTATAAAAAATGCTCATCTGACCGTAATTAAATGCCTAAAACCCCAGAGCTTACGGGTGCTGCGCACCCGGTCCCCAACAAGGGCCCTAAGGCGGTCCCCTGGATGCTCATCTGACCGTAATTAAATACCTAAAAGCCCTGAGCTTCCGGGGGCTCTGCCCCCTGGACCCCACTAAGGGCCTTATAAGGCTGGCCCCTGGATGCTCATTTGACCATCATTAAATACCTAAAACCCCTGAGCTTCCGGGGGCTCTGCCCCCTGGATACTCATCTGACCGTTATTAAATACCTAAAACCCCTGAGCTTCCGGGGGCCGTGCCCCCTGGACCCCACTAAGGGCCCTAGGGCGGCCCCTGGATGCTCATCGGACCGTAATTAAATACCTAAAACCCCTGGATGCTCATCTGACCGTAATTAAATACCTAAAAACCCCGAGCTTCCGAGGGTTATGCCCCCTGGACCCCACCAAGGGCCCTAAGGCGGGCCCCTGGATAATCATCTGACCGTAATTAAATACCTAAAACCCCTGAGCTTCCGGGGCTCTGCCCCCTGGACCCCACCAAGGGCTAGAAGGCGGGACCCTGGATGCTCATCTGAGTGTAATTAAATACCTAAAACCCCTGAACTTGCGGGTGCTCTGCCCCCCTGGACCCCACCAAGGGCTCTAAGGCGGGCCCCTGGATGCTCATCTGACCATAAGTAAATACCAAAAACCTCTGAGCTTCCGGGGGCTCTGCCCCCTGGATGCTCATCTGACCGTTATTAAATACCTAAAACCCCTGAGCTTCGAGGGGGCCCTGCCCCCTGGACCCCACCAAGGGCCCTAGGGCGGCCCCTGGATGCTCATCTAACCGTAATTAAATACCTCAAATCCCTGAGCTTCCGGGGGCTCAGCCCGTTGACCCCCTGCCGAGGCTGGACCCCACGCCAATTTACACTCTACCTGATCGTTAATACTCCATTTTGAAAAACGTTCCGCGGGACCTGCATGTAACGTGTAAGACTGGTGGTGATGCAGATTTTTTTTCGTCTGCCCCCCCCCCTTCCGAACGTTTTTTCTCATTACGTCACTGCCCCTGGAAGGTGAGCCCCCTAGAATGTTTGCCCCCCCAATCCCAAACTGCTTTCGGCGCGCCTGTTTACAACACTCAGCAGTAAATAAAGGAAACTCTAGCCTTAATGTTAATGGTAAACTAGGGAGTAGGGTCTAGAGGTCTGCATGTAAATGTTCTCTTATTTCTCTAAATAAAACCAAACAAATCAGAGAAGCAAACTGGTGAAAGTTTGTACAAAATCAGATTTTTTTTAAATATAAAGTTTTGATGTTTTTCTTCTTCTTCTTCCAGTTAAATACAAATTGCCGTTGACGTATGATCGTACTTGATAATGTTATATTTTTATAATCTCTATATATGAGTACTCCAATTGGAGTAGAAATGAAACTTACAATTACACTTACAACAAGATTCACTTTGATGCTAATGTACTTTTTTTCCCCATCAGTATCTAGTAGAAGCCATTACAGGTATTTTTAAACACATGCGAAGGGTTGAAAATTTGAAATAAATATTAGGAAGAATATTTTATGATTTTCTAATAGACCCATCTGATCTCCATGAAAGCTATCAGCAATGTCTTTCATATTATTATTCATCAATTTCAGGCAAATAAGACCGTAAGAGAAAAGGGCAACTGGGAGGACCAGCTTGAACCCTATCGCAGTGAGAACACAAAGCTAATCAGGGAAAACAACGAGCTTCACACACAGCATATCCGTCTCAAAGATGAGCTTGACGCTACATCCAAAGACCTCAAGGTAAGCATTATCAGTCAAGATGCTGTACAGAATCAAAATGGAAAAAATATGCCTCCTGTTTTACCTTCCATGTATTTTTAGTTCCTGTAATATTTTATGTTTTGGGAAACTTTGGGCATTTTAACTAATTTTTGATGAATCAAGAAATAAAAGGTAATTAAATTGCACAAGACTCGATGTCAGGCAAAGTTCTAGGATAATAAGTTATGGGGGCTGTGCATGGCTTGAGGGAAGAGGGCTTGGAGTACTTGCTTCTTTTCTTTATATGTACATGTTTCTCAGTTAAATATATTTATAATCAAGAACAACTGGGGGAGAAGGCTTGAAGAAAAAAGGGCCCGAGTCCCCAAGCCCCCCCCCCCCCTCTTTATATTTGTATCAAATGGTATTTTATAGTGTGTAGCCCTAATCTGAATTTCAGGTTTGAACAAGTGTTATCTTATTCCTTCAATTTTCAGAGTACGATAAGGAAGCTTGAGCATGAGAATGCGGACCTGCGCTTCCTGAACTCGCAATACGTCCACAAAGTCCGAGCCCTGGAGAAGGAATGCAAGTCCAGGAATGATCGTATCAGTGACCTCCAGGAAAAGAACTTTCACGCCGTAGTCCAAACTCCAGGTATGGTCATTTTGCTTTTTAAAGACTCCAAACTCTGTTTAGTTTGCAGGCACAAACCCATGTCAGTCGTTGCGCAACAGTGTCTGCGCTATGAGATTACAATAGGCTCTGTACTTAAAGTGCTCCTGACATGGCCAGAGACTGATATATCTAGGCTCTGCTCAAGGCTTTAGGAATTATGGTAAAGTGTCAATTTAGAGTGCCGTATGTGCTCGCAGACATAACGCTGTAAACCACATATCTGTCTTAACAAGATAGGTAAAACAAAAATCATGCTGCTTATAAGTATCGGCTTGCATGGTGATGTAGATATACAGTAGGCTTGCACTATGTGAGAGAGAGGAAGTATTGGCTCCTGACGACGGATAGTCAACCTGTTTGAAACGTCGAGCCACTCCGGCCACCTAGTTCTGCTTAAAACTATAAGCTAAGAATAACCAAGTCTTTTTCAGGACTACACCACCAGTCCTTTTCAGGACTACACACACTCAAGAAAGAAAGATTATCGAGAGTTCTTTTCAGGACTTCCGAATCCTACCTCTCTCTCACATGGTGCAACCGCAAGCCTACTGTATAAAAAATAATTTAGTAAAATAGTTAGTATTCATATATATACTAGTGCATGAATTAGATTTAAATGATATTTGTATGATAAATATTTATCACGATTACAGCTGACCATGATCAAGTGGAGGAAAATAGGATGCTGTGTAGTCCTAGCAAGGAGTATAAAGTTTGGTTCAGTATTGCTGAAGCCTCAAGTTGTTGCACATAAATGTATAAAGGTTAACATTACTTGGCAAAACTGAATAAGAGCAGCATTGATATTTACTGGTATTCAGTTGTAATTTTATATTTGCAGAGACCACAAAGTGCTTTTTCTAAGTACTTTCCTGGGTAAGCAAAAGCATACTATTGACTTGTAGAGGTACTGTACTTGAAAAAAAAGAAAGAAAGAGCTCACAAGGGTTTTCAAAGACCTCATAAGAACATTGATTAAAGATATCCTTACATTTTATTGATACAGGTGGACGCAAGAAGAACATTCCTTTCAGACGTCAGCGTATGGATATTGATTGCTCTGTCCCTCCGCCCAAGTTTTACTCCACCACCCCTCCACCCGGAGTGGACGACCCCTACGTTGCAGACCTGATTCACGTTGCCGATGAGAAACTTGATAACATGCAGAGGGAAGTGGATGATGTGAGGGACCAACATGAAGCAGACCAGAGGGCCATCAAGAGCCTTCGGAAACAGGTAAGCAACGTTCCCTCTTACTGACTTACTGTAAAACCAAAAGTGTTTCAATTTAACTTTCAGATTTGTAAAGGAGACGATTTTGACGACAAGAAACTTTCATCCATAGCAAAAAGTAATTGTTGATTCAGTTAAGTCAGTGGCATGAAATTTTTGTGAACCTGAACTACAAGTGTGAGAAATTTTGCAAATATTCCATTCACACAAAAGTTTACTTTTTCAGTAGATTGTATCATAATTTGTATGAGTGTATGATACCCAACATAACTCCTGTCAACAACCGTTGAATTGTCTTTGGGTCACCTTGTCTTATGCTCGAGTCACACCTTTGCGTATTTGGCTTGCATATTGCTGTGTATTTATGGCAAGCCATTTTAACATTTAATCCTATTTCTTGATATCAAGAAATAAGAATAAATGTTAAAGGTAAAGACCAGTTTTGGAACCCCCCCCCCCTCTCAAAATATGAAATGGAAGCTCTTATTACCAACCATGTGAAAGAATATGTTTTGACTAATACGTGATACAAATTTTGCCGAGAAACTGCTGATCAACCTTTTCTGATCGATTCCACAACGTTTCTTTCACAATGCAATTGCTTGAGCATAACTGTTCTTTATCTTTAAAACGGCTTGCCATAAATTCGCAGCAATACGCAAACCAAATATGCAAAGGTGTGACTCGGGCATTAGGGTCTATTGCCATGTAATTATTTGTCCAAGGAAAGTGCTTTGACATAAAACTTCTTTGTCCTGTTTAGTGTTTACCCTCCTCCTATAATATTATCTGTACATCCTTTGGTTTGAGAAGTGTTCCAAATCCAGCAAATAGATAACTAATTAAGAAAAATATTGGCGTTTATGACAGCTTATCACTTTAAAGGTAAAGACCAGTTTTGGAACCCCCCCCCCCCCCTCTAAAAAAATGAAATGGAAGCTCTTATTACCAATCATGTGAAAGAATATGGTTTTACTAAATACGTGATGATACAAATTTTGCCGGGAAACCGCCTACTAATTGATATATTTGGTAAATTATCATATCGATCCGGCCTGGATAGATATCGCGAATGCACTTCGACATTGAACATTTAGGCATTTATTTCTGCCTATTTGCAATTTAGGTTGAAGAATTGCCATCTTAACCGCTGAAGGCAATATTTGAACAATATTGAATGGATATTTTGCACCCAAAACCCTTGAACGGCAATTTTACCACTACCGGTCTATATGTATATCTTGAATCAATCTCCCTTTATTGTAACTATCTTGTTTTTATCTTTGTCTCTCAACTGGGGTTTTCGGGATGTGAGCTACTGTCATAAAGGACTTTATTTTAAACTCTAGATGTTTCAAGTTAAAAAAAGGAGAGAAAATACACTTTTTTAAAGCATGTTTTTGGGGTGAGAGGCCGTGATCCATTTCATGTATGGACTGTTTTGTATAGAGTAATGTCCTTGTTAAAGACAACAAAACCAAGGTATTGGCTTTTTATCAGAATTGTTATTGCTGCTATTCATGGGAAATAGTGAGTGGATTGGAATTACTGTACGGATGACTAACCAATAATTGCTAAATGCATTTAAAGTATGTGTGGATGACAGATAGATAGATAGAGAGAGAGAGAGAGAGAAAGAGGGGGGAAGGAGGAGGCAGATAGAGAGAAAAAGGCATGAACAATAAACAACATGCACAATTTTGTGTACAAAAATTCACCTTAGAATTCTAATTATTCTTAATGTTATCAAACATTGACTTCCCCACTTAAAGTAGTCACCCCCCAAAAAAACTAATGACAACTGATAATTATGGACAAGTTATATAGATGGAAACATTTTCTCTTGAAATTGAAAAACACTAAGAAATAGCTGAAAATCATGTACATGTAGATATCATGGAAAGGCGTAAAATGCAATTTTGTGACTTCATGTAGCTGTGTCTCACGTGTGACATAACGAATCTTGACACTCTACGGAAGACCGCTGTAGGCAGAAAATCGGATCTCAAAATTAACATTTTTGTGAGATGATTACTGCGGGCCCCAAACATATAAATATGCAAAAAGTGAGAGTAGGGAAACTACCTGTAGGTCAAACTGTTTCATGCAATCCTGAAATAAAATTGGATAGACTTGGTATTATTGTTGTACATTAAGTTCCATGTTTATTCTTTCCAAAAACAATTCAAGTTAACAATATCAATAAACAACCAATGTAAAAATGGTCAAGCATAAAACTGGCAAAACATTGGCAAGTAATAAATTAGTACAATAATTCAGTGTATAAACCAGAAGTAATAGAGTACTTGTTACATAAGCCCCATAACCCGACAAATTGCTCACACATGCAGCAAGCTCATTACAAACTTACAAACACATTGGCATTAATCTGTCAGATTAATACCTGTACTGTGTGAGTCGAAAAAAGTTAACAACTTGATTATTATTTTGATAATCATCTATTAACAGTAAATTATTATACATCTTATGAAAAAGTGTTTTATCCCAAATCATTTGGTATCATTTTTGTGTGGTACCATGCTTGGATAAACAGGAGACATTGTTTAAGAGAGTGCAAAAATCAACTTGCGCCAAAGTAATACATGTGATGTTTGAATAAAACAATTGGGATTTGGGTATTGATTCGGTCTTTGCATATCCAAATAACATCTCTAACAAAATTAATCATCAGCCACAAATATCAAATATCAAAGAACATTTGCGTGCACGTGTTTGTGACTTTATTTCTGCAAAAAGCAAATGCAATGCATCTCATTTGATTTTGATACATTCAATTCATTCTCTCACTCTGATACTTTTGTGCAAGTCGATTTTTGCACTCTCGGAAACAATGCCTCATGTTCATCCAAGTGTGAACACATACATGTACATGTACCACAAAAAAGGATGCCAAACGATTCAGGATATAACACTCTTTCAAAACATGTATGATAACCTTTTGTTCATAGCTGACTTTTAAAATAAATGACAATTATCTGAGAGAAAACTTTTTTTTGACCCACACAGTATTTCCAGCCAGGTTCAAGGATCTATTTCTTTGTGTTCTGTGAGTTTTGAGATGCTGATCAAGTTACATCTTTGCGCCTTGACTTGACAAATCTCTTCGTTGTTCCTGCTGGCACATCATATGTCTTTTCCAACATTTCCAGCCCCTGTTCTGTCAAATAATTCTTCTTCTTCAGTGTCTTCAGTACTTCCTGCAGAGAATCAACCTTTTTCTTCAGTCTCTGTGCTTTAGCCTGAGATGTCTCGAGTTGTCTTCTCACGGAGAACAGCTGATCATTTGCCTTTTCTAGTTTCCGCTTCATGCTCCTTGGACTTTCTTGGATGGAGTTTGTATGATCATGATTTGCACAACAATCTGCTCCCTCCCAACATGAACACTCTTCAGAGCAAAAGTCAGAGTCATCTTCGTGTTCAGGCTCAGGTGGTAATGGAGGCTTGCACTGTTTGACAGTCTAAAATGAGGAGAAAGAAAAGAGAGAGATGGAATTTTATCCTCAAATGTTAAATAATAGCAGCTTTAAATGTGAACTGTATTTAGGGAAATTCTTGTCAATTTTCAGATGGCGTATGTTGTAATCTCAATGCAAATTACGGTAAAACGGGGAAAAGGAGATTGAAAAGACATACAAAACTGCAAGACCATTGCCACAAAAATACAGTCAGTTTTATATTTAAAGATGATCAAGCTTGGGTATATAGTGGGCAGCATACAGACGTGCGATACCTATACCATCTTGCACATGGGAGAGTACATGTAATACCTGTTGGCTCAGTGTTATGTAGTAATCGCCAACTTGCCTACTTCACAAACGACCGAGATTATTCGTGCCGCGCCTGATTTATCACAAATTTCGATTGACAGTTTGTAATTTTCTTTTAAAATATCAATGTGATTAATTGAAAACATCTAAAAATGCACATTAGTTTTTTACATGATATTTCACTTTGTATGCACTAGGGCTGCGACGAGTAGTCGAAAAAACTAACATGTAAGTGATGTAACATACATGTAGTAAAGTGGAATAAATACAGGTGGACAGGGACAAGTCACAGTATCCATTCTTGTTATAAATATACATTCATTTGAACTTTACAAAAAAATGATATGAATTGATACACCTGTACTTACTCTAACCGCACACTGCACTCCTTTTGAGCATTCAAGAATGTCTTGGGCTCGCTCTTCATCCGCATGTCTGACATAGTCAATATATAGTGCATCGACATCCTGCAGAAGGAAAGAGATCAAATTGATTATGTATAATTTGGATTCTTAGGACGGGAAAAAAGGGGGAGGAAAAATAATCGTCCCCTTTGGTCATAGCTTATTTAAAATGTTGATACAATCAAGTTTAGCTGGGATGTTCACCAACATTTCATAAATGCTCAATGCCAACTTCACATCATGATCACTAGAATCTACTGGTACAATACACTAACACTAAGTAACAGTCTCATTAAAAATCAAATTCTTACTCTTTTTCTGATGTATATGGATTCCTTGCGGCTTCGCTTTGGTATGTCAGGCTCATGCGATGTATAAAGAGGACTGGGGGAATCACTTGAAGGAGGTAGATGTTCGTGTAAGGCAGGTGTAGGTACTGTACAGCTGGTACTGGTTGTGGTAGAGCATGTACCTGTAGGTGATGATGATGATGATGATGGAGATGACAAAGAGAATAGAGAAGTTGGGGAAGTCAAGAACCAGTCTGATGGGAACGGCTGTTCGGCAGTGTTCAAAGAAGGCAAGGAACACTTCTTCAGGGAAGGGGGCCGGGTCCTGAGTCCTCTTCTGTACATCTCGACTTGACTTTGCTCATAGTCCTCACGCACAAAGTGGCCACTGCAGACAAATATCTTGGAATAAGTGTTTGCATCCTTCGCTTCAAATTTTCGTTTTTTGCCGATGAAAGTTATCCACTGCTTTTGAACGTTGTCGAAATGTTCCTGCCCAACTGGCATCTTTCCTGGCATTAGGTGCATGATGAAACCCTTATACAAGGTATTGTCACAGCCATATGCAATGCAGCGGGAACCAGTTTTCCTCTTCTTCCTAATGAATTCCTTTGGCTTGTCTTGGTCTCCATCTTCTGTCAAATCCATCTCCAATGCTTGACTGTGAAGACAAAGAAAAGGAAAAAAATAAAAACAAAAGAGAGTCAATAGGGCTACTATGGAAAAAATTCATTGGTTGATTTAAAGTACTGTGTCAGTATTGGTGTTGAGTATAGAAAGACAATTTAGATCATGTTATCGATAGCACAGTGAGTGACATAACGTCTAATCAATCATCTTAAAATTCCACGCAAAGGCTTGTTGATGAGAAATGGTATTTAAATTTCATCATGTTGACAAATGAAAATCAATCGGCATTGAAAAAATATCATCACTCCTTAAAACTATATACTTTGACTGCATGATTCCCGACGATTTGCAGTCATCTTAACTGAAAGTAATTTGTCAGTATTACTCTAGTCTGTAGTGTTATTGTCATGAATTTTAGCTAGCCCGTCCGACCAGGCCAGGCGAATCGCTCGCGACAGGTCTGAGTTAGTTACTAGTTAGTTAGTGCTATATTTCGATCTATTCATATATATTTTTAAAAGTTACATGAGTATGACATGTTAAACATTTTGAACATTATTTCATCATAACAGTTGCAATTTGTAACATGTTTACCTTGATTCTAATGTTGACTGGCTGAGGCGATGCGCTGGCCGCCGCTGCACCTTGGAGTGTAGTCAACGAAACGTGCAACATCAGCTCCCCGGAGCGACTCCGGAACTGGAACCGGAACTGAGCTACAGTCACAGGCCCCGCTATAACTGGAGTCGTCAAACACGCAAATCTATTCTACTAGTCTGAACCACGTTTATAGCCTATAATTCCGTCATAAAGAGTAAGATAATACCACAAATGTTTTCTATAACGTTTCAAGATGACACACTCCTGAATAAATTGTAAACTAATGCGAAAGAACGACAAAATTAGTAACGAGCAAATTGCCGTAGATATATATATAGGTGAACAATCTAGCTGGCCATCGTGTCCAGTATGTGACGTCACAATTCCGAGCTCGCCAGCTCGTGTGTTAGGCTTATGTTCCGGGGTTTAGGGGTCCGAGATTTAGGGGTCCGAGAAGAGTCTTGGCAAAACTGCATTTTACGCCTTTCCATGATATCTATATGATTTCTCAGCAAGTTATTCGTGTTTTTCATGAGATAATCTTTCCATCCATATGTTATTTGTTCTAATAATCAGTTGTAATGGATTTTTCTTGGTGTGATTCCTTTAAGAGCTATAGAGTCAGTAAGTATAATAGTCTGATTTTCAGACCATTGTACCGAATAGTACGTTTTATGCTGCGCAAAGATTCATTCAGTTTAATTTTGGCCATCACAAGAAGTGGGTTATTGATGTAGACAAATACCCATGAACCCTTTACAGCTCAGTCACTCAATAGTGTCTGACAATGAAGTCTAGCAAGTAAACGGGTTTCCTTGCATAATTTGAAGATAAGGACACTGCTAACGTTTCAATTTTACAGATAGGACATACATAATTATAATTCCTGCAAAGTTCTACAGAATTTGATGTTGGCTGCAAAAGGGACATATATATCTTTCATAAAAAAGATACATGTAATAGTGATCTGACAAATATTTCTTGAGACGATCTATTCTAGAATCGTATAATCATATGCAGCATTAATTCCCAGTCACACGACATCAAATCGATTCGCAGATTATATCACCCTGGATAAAATGAGTCGGTCAGTTTGAAATCGTCGCGGAGTTGGGTTGGCGGTGAGACTAGTAGTAGTAGTAATACAATATAATTTACAAGGATATTAAGGGGCCGTACTCGCCTCAAAATTGTGTGTGGGTATAACCAGGGATTTGTAATATAACCATGGACCTAGTAGGTCCATGTGGTCGTACGTAGAGCGACTATGTGCCATTGTAATACATGTACTAGTATTTCGTGACCCACCCCCTCCCCTTTGCGCAAATGTTGTACTTAGCCGCAAATAGGGACTTTTAGATTTGCACGAAGACAATGTGGATTGCTACGGTCGACGTCCTTTTAATGCACTGCCTTGAATGGACGTCACACGTATCAGGCTACGCAAATCTAAAAGTCCCTAATATTTACAGTTACAGTACATGTATTTACTTAGCGTCACGTAATCCCCCTATAGATTAATGGATCAACCCACTGATAAAGTTGCTAGGCAGGAGTATACATTTTATGTACTGCATGGCGAAGTGTTGCCGCGCTGTGTTTCATTGATGGGAAATATTACTATTAGCCATTTTTTTTCAACGTCCACCTCTTTTACTTTGCTCATTTACATAATATATGACAATATGGCTAGGGTAATAAATCATTCTTTTCTTGTTGGGGATCGTTGAAGCGCGCGGTGTCCTTGGCAAGCATTGGTCATCAGCTGGGAATGAATGAAGAGAACGAGAGAGAGAGAAAAAAAAATCGATGGATCTCTGTTTACATTTTACAATAGGGAGGGGTCAAAAGGTACACCGCGATCGTTGAATGCGGTGAAAAATTCAGTTAGGATTTGAATGCAAATACAAATACTACTAGTACTACTACAAGAACAGCTGGTGCTTGTGACTGTGTGTGGACTGTACAGCCGAGTGCACTGTCGGCTGCTAGTACAGCTCTATTTTATACTACAATTTCCTTTGCATGGATTTAATTTTGAGCTCTCAAAATGTCAGAACGACAGAGGAGCGGAAGAAAATCAAAATCGAGGACTAGGGTGAGATAAAATGTTGTTTTTATAAGCTAATTTGTAGGATGGTAGTCTAAGAGAAATTGATTTCATGTGTGCTGCAGTACCGCGGAGCGGAGACCGTTGATGTGCGCTGTACTCGGTACGTTCACAGTTTGATGGCAGGTGTTTTTCTGCTTGGCTATAGCTATTCAATTCAATTTGAGGCACGGCGTCTACTGCACTGTATACATTTATCTTGGTATTGTAGAGTAATATGTTAAACCAAAATGATGAACGAAAATTCCAAGTTTCTTGGCAGGGCCTTTTTCCAGTTCCCCTTTATTAGTTCTAGTTCAAGTTGAGGCAAAAATTTATACTTTATAGGCATGTGAAGTAGGGTTATTTCTATTTTATACTTGATATTTCCACCAACATTATAAATAATGCTTGTATGGTTATAGTATAATCAATAGGTCCATACGGTGTCAATGAAGAAAAAACTCCAAATAATTATTCTTCCCCCCCCCCCATTTTTTTTTTTGGGGGGGGGGGGTAGATCTATTTTAGATGGTCTTTTACATTGGGAATTTAATGTGGAGTGTTTTTGACAATGGATATAACAATTACTAATACAGTCTGTAGTCATAAGACGATTCTCTAGACATGGCATATGAATGGTACAGTGGAACCTCAGTATAAAGAGCTCTGACATAATAATGAGGTATCTGTTGTGACAAGGTGATTTTGTTGTTGGTCCCAGCTGTTTATATATATATATTTTTTAAAACCTGATATAACAAGGTAATTTCCTCGTTCCCAAGGACCTCGTTATAATGAGTTTCCACTTTATAGGTGGCTTTCTTATCGAATCTGATACGGTTTTAACAATACTATAGTGATATCAGTATGATATAACCGACTTATAAAAAAAAGTTATATAGCTTGATATCAACTACAAAATTATATAGTCAAATTAAAGAGCTTTTTTCTCTCCTCTTTGAGATAATGATACTTATAATTATGATAATGGTAAATTGGCATAATTGTATTCTGCTGAAGTACTTTTTTGTTCGTTTGCAAAGTCAACCTCTTCACAAGAGTCTTGTGTTTATGCACAGAAAAAATTGAGACATTATTTTCTCTTTGATTTTTAGCTTTTCTGGAGCGTAATCATTCTTTATTTCAGTTCATTTTTACACTTTCTGTCTGTTAAATTTTGAGTTGATCACTGCCTCTTTCTTTTGCTCATCCATCCGTTTCTAGGTTGACAACCGGGATCAAGAGATATCCCGGCTGAGCCGTCAGCTAGAGGGCGGTAGACCTCTTGATGTGATGTCAACGGAAGCCAAGTACCGCAGCAATGAAAGGCTTGTTTCCCATCTCAATATCCAGGTACATTTAAATCCTTTCAAAGTAGTTACTTATTTTTTATTCATTATTATTCATTTGACAAATCTTCTTCTTCTTGAATCACAAAGTAACAATGTTCACTCTTGATTATATTTTCCTAATCCAGTGTTGAATGCATTGCATTGCTCAGGGGGTCGATGCTTTAGGGCCCTGTTTCATAAAACTTGATATCAATAACTAGTTACAAGCTACTGTTATAAGCTACTGAAATCATGGCATCTGATTGTTGAGAGCAAATTTGACATAGAAATTTAGCAGTTGTTATAGATAGCAAGTTTTATGAAACAGGCCCCAGATCTTCTAGGGTGCAAGGGTCTGGTAGATGTGGGCAGGCTAGGAGATGTTGTATACAATGTGGCATACAGGATAAAACAATACATTCATAAACAAATTAGAAAATGAGTGATTGAAAACACTGAGTGTAAACTATCTTGGTTGCCTGGGTATTGAAAGAGCTTCGTTCATAACCATGACTTTGCTCAGGTCTCCCCCCCCCCCCCGACTTAATCCTGACCAAGCTAGCACAAAAAGGGTAGAAGTATACCATCTGAATGTGATCTGATTTTGGGGCAAATAATGCAATGTCATGAGATTCATTGATGTAAACATGGAAAAAATTACTGATTAAGGTTCCTAATAATAATATAAATAGCTGGGCCCTTTCTCGTGAAAGAGAGCTGAGATTGATCCAGTTTGATCATTATTTGTCCAATTAATTGTAAAACTTAAACACTCTGAACTCTTTAATAGAGAGTTACACTTGATATCGAGGTGTTAATTTAATCATAGTTTTGGATCATTTGCAACAGAACAGATGAGGTTTTGCTTCTAAATTGTGGGTTGTTCATTTTTGTATATATTGAAAACTTCTTTCCTTACATCTTTGTATGCCACAAAATGATTTCCCAGACTACCAGTTGTTTATTAACGTCAACTTTAACCTGTCCGTTAAATGTTCTCAAAGTCAAGTTGTATTTCTTGTGTGGAATAGATCGAGTACCTTCAGCAAGCAAACCGTGAGCTCGACCGCGAGTTAAAAGACACACGCCTGGCACGTGAGTCGGCCATCGAGGAGAACATCGTGCTCACGGGTCGCAATGACGAGCTTGCGGGAGAGCTCCGTGATGTGGACAGGCTCGCCAAACGGCTGCAGGCGGACAAGAACAGCGTCGTGACCCTTGCGGATAAGGATCTGTTTGAGGCTAAGGCGGAGATCAGAGGATCAACGCGGGAGATCAAAGACCTAGAGGTGGAAGTAGAGCAACTGAGACAGGTAATCTTCAATATAAACAGGGGACCATGGGGGTGTTTCACAAAGATCCTAAGTTGAACTTATCTCTAAGTTGGACTTCACAATTATTGAAAGATGTTGACTTCTATGAAAATATTTTGTAAAAGTTATTTTAAAAGGTATAAAATGTTGATTCACATCTTTCATATTTTCTATTATCAAGGAGATTTCATGTTCTTGATGTGGAATTTATGAAAAGTCTAAAACACTTCAAATTTAGCTTTTGAAAATATTTAATTTTAAGGCTACAAATGGCTCTCCATAATGTTTAGGTCTAACTTAGAGTTAGGTTTGACTTCGGATCTTTGTGAAACAACCCCCAGGGGGCCAGTATGCACATACCCCGGCCTCACTATAGCTCCAGACCACAATATATCACATTTTTCAACAGGCACCTACTGTGCCGGACCCCCAATATTTTGCTCCTGACCGCCAGGAAAAAATGGTTTGTGAAGAGCAAAGCATAAGATCATCGTTGCTATGAACTTAAGTGTAGACAAAGTTGCATTTGTATACCCATCGTTCCAACATGACAATGTACACATTTGACAGTCCATTCCTTTGCCAATCACAAGACTACACTAGTCCAGTTCAAAATTCATTTGAATGTCAGTTAATTTATTGATCAAACAAAGAAAAAAATACTCCAACTTGATTGCACATGTATATGCAACAAAATATGGACAGCTACATGAATGATACTTCTTCATTGCTTTACATGATTAATGACACGACTCTTAATTCCTAAATTGTTTTATTCCGTATAAATATAATTAATGGCATCATAATCAAGCCAAAAGGAAGCTGTACCAAGTACTTATTGATTGACTCTATCTCTAATCCATTCTATTTCGTATGATTGTGTATCAGGAGAGGAAGAATCTTCTGGATGATATTGATTCACTGAGGACAGACGGTGCTGTCAAACACCAGGACCTCAAGAGGCTTCAGAATCTGACGGACAAGATCCAGGAAGACAAGAGGAAACTTAGCCATCAGGTCAACAAACTCACCTCAAATGGTAAAAAACATAGAGTCCGCTTTGACATAAATTTTAAACAAGGCGGATGGTCCTTTGGTCCATCCTTCTAACAGGGAGGTTGAACGCCGCTTCCGACAGTTGCTTTGGCTTCAATTTTGAACACTTATCAAACTTTAATCCCACACCCAACTTTAATCTAGCTCTAATCATTAAATTGCAACCAAAGCTTAACTTTCATTGAAAACACACAGCCTCAATCTCTTGTATCACTGATCTTACTTGTGTTAAGAATTATGTCTAAATTGAGAGGATGGTCCCTTGTTTTGTATTCAAACTGTATTTTCGTTTGATGCCCTTTCTTTCAACAGGGTATTGATAAAGTGTTTTAACATGAGATGTGGGTCACAAAATATTACAAGGGCATAGTAGGTCTGTAACCATGGGTTACCGGTAAACATTATTTCAAGCTCATATACAGGCGGCGATTGCGGCCCCTTATCTTTGTAAATCATACCGTAGTCACACAACCAACCTGACTTCACGCCGATTCCAAACCGACCGACTCCTTTCCATTCAGATTTATTATGTAATCCTCTGTTCGGGTTGATGTCGTTGTTGGTACATTCCTTATCATATACTTCATATTTTATTTCGTCATATTATTTTCTTGTTGTTGCATCGTTCAGAGCGGGAGTTGGTTCTCGAGCTGGAGAGGATGCGCAAGAAGGTCGGAGGAGGAGGGGGCAAATCCAAGAAGGGCGTAGCCCCTTCCTCCAAGGTGGAGAACTACATGAAGGCCTTGGAGGAGGAGAGAGACTACTACAAGGGGGAAGTGGAGGTGCTGAACAGGATCATACGGAACAAAGGGTTACCCTCCCCCACCCTGTCATCGAGCAGGGGTAGGAGCCCCAAGAGGAGCGGGAGCCCTGGGAAGGGGAGCAGGACTGGGAGCCCAAGCAGGTCATCAATGGCAGCTCAGGATGCAAAGAATAAGGTACAGGAAAGTCGATCACAGTCAATCTTATTACAGTCAAACCTGCTTTAGTAACCACCTGTTTACTAAGACCACCTGTCTGCAAAGACCACATTTAGTGTTTCCCTTGAAAATGGTTTCTCATTGAAACATATATTAAAGGAAGCTGTCTACAAAGACCACCTGTCTCCAAAGGCCACTTTTTGTTTTTCCCTTGGGTGGTCTTTATAAACAGGTTTCACTGTATATATATATATATACTTATTGATTATTATGATTATTATTCCGAAATCAAGAAACGGCGAATTCAAAACAGCAGCAAGATTTTATAAAGTGAGTCACATGAAAGCAGGGAAAACATATGCTACTTGTAGCATTCAGGAAATAAGCCAGTGAATTTGTGATAAGTAAACAATTAATAGGCATGTCAGTATTAAAGATAGCATGATATAGATTTAACTTTAGACTTTGTAATCAATTGGTCTCTCAACAGAGTGTCACCCACTATGAGGCTATCATCAGGGTGCTGGAAGATGAGAAGAGCTTTTACAAGAGGGAATACGAAACCCTCAAGGTGCTACGAGTAGCTCAGCAGGCCAGCCCTGCTAAGAAAGATGTCACTTCTTCGTTTAGAGACTTGGTAAGTTATGCGACAATGCACTTTGACCTCTGGCATGGGGTGGTAACAGTTATCTCTCTGGAATATGGGAGAGAACTACATGATTCTTCAAAGATTTATATTTGACTTAAAACCTATCAGTACCTGCACTAGTTTGGCCAGGAGGGATTAGACCTCCCTGCATGGTCACCGACAGATGGTTATCTCATCAAATCAGCTCTCAATTAACGTAAGAAAAAGGGGATCATGAGGGACCAACAGGTACTGCTTAGGCATTGTTTGCTATATAGAGGGTGCAAGTACCTACAAGTAGTGCAGTCCCGCTTTATTATACCTACAATTGCTAACACTAACTCTTCTCTGTAGAAGAGGCGTGATATTCATTAGGAATTATTCAAGGGCAATCCAACGCAATTGAACAAAACCTTTGTGCAATAACACTTCATGCATTTCCATGTCCTGTGTATAGAGCATTGCTGACGAAGCTGAGATGGTGAATCTGAAGAGAGAAAGGAACGAGCTTCAATCGCTCGTGGACAAGTTTGAGAGACACATGTCTGAGGTAAGAGTTTGAATGTGCATCATTGAGGCTAATGTCCTTTGAGTTGAGAGTCCTGCTGGTGTGTCCGAGGCGGAAATTCCTGGATGACTCTCGAAACTTGTAGGTGCTTCAGGTGATTTGTAACTGTTTTACAGCTATCAATATAGCTCCTTTAGGACCTCGAGTAGGCCCACCACAAAACAACATATTGTTACAAATCTTAATTATTGTCGATTATATTCATAGTCATGATTATGTAAATTTATGCGCATGGGCATTCAATGATTTGGTGAATGGGAGATCAAACTAACCACCACAGTCATTGGTAAATCTTATTTGTTTTTCGTGAATATTTTGCTGTTTTGAGTAGACGTGTGTTGTGTGAGGTGAGAGGGATAATAAGTCAAGAATGTAGAACCTTCTCGTCGTAATAATTTCTATGAATTTTCTTTCGATTTCATATATTGGCAATTTTTTCGGTATTAGTATGTGCTGTCCTCAACTATTTGCCAACTTTGGGGCTTTTGAAAAAAATTCGAATTTCAATATGAAATACTTATGTACTTTGACAACTTTGACAAATCTTCAATTGTGTTCCTTTTTTATGTCCATTTTTTGATGAACATTTTTTCAGTAAACATTGTACAGCAGTCTTTTGAACATCACTTTGTATACATATATTTTAATAGACCAAATTGCATTGAATTGAATTGATATTTAGTGTGATGCCTGTGATATTGTGTTTAATAAGCATTTTTCACTTGAAAATGTCCTTTTCTGATCACAGATTCAAACCAATGTCAAGGTCCTGACTTCAGAGAGAGATAAAGTCAACTTGTTATATCAACAGGTAAATATGATTGTAGATTTACATGAAAAACATAAAAGATAATCATTCAAACAACAAAGATTTTTTTTTAAAGGCCCCTGTTTACAATGTAGTGGGTAAAGAAATGACTTCAGAGAGAGATAAATTCAACTTGTTATATCAACAGGTAAATATGATTGTAGATTTAGATGAAAAACAATTTAGATGAAAGACGATCATTCAAACAACAGCAATTTGAGAAAAGCCCTTGTGTACAATGTTACAATATATAATATATATATTGATCTTTGATGGTGATCTCAATTTGCAACTTTATTTCAAGAAACAAAACAATCCACCAAATATATTTATTTTGTTTTGAACATTGCTCATACACGTACACGTTTCTTATTGTTACCGTTGCCTTAAAAAAAATCATTAGTGTTGATCAAATCATACTTCAATATGTTATTCAGGCTAACGATGAGCTGCAAAGATTGCGGCAAGAAGTTCTCAAAACCCCACAGTCCTCCCGAGCATCCCTAGCGGCCCAGTCCATCCTGAGGAGGGTGGAGAACGAGAGGGACGATGCCGTAGCTGATTTACGTCGCATAACAACAGAGAGAGATAGCCTGAGAGAAAGACTGAAGGTAAGGGAATTAGTATTCCATGCAACCTTCACTTTGTTTTGAATTGTCAAGCCCTTTTGTATAAATCATTTTGTGAGAATATCCCACCAGTATTATACACAAAGGAAATATTATAAATATCTTTTTTATCATATCATATTCATATTACAAGTATACAAATATTTCTTGTCAATAAGTTTTTACACTTTTTATAAGTTTTGACAACCTATCTAAAGTAATTAAATTGTTATTCTGTATAGAATTTAAGATGTCATAGGTAATCATGCACATAGACAAAGATTGAAGTGATGGGTTAAATTATATTTCCAACGGCTAAGTTAACTGAATCAGTGAAATTGTATGTGGAAAAGTAGTCATGTGTTGCTCCTTGAAATTTTGCAGATTTTGCCACAAGCATGGTTCACTTTACTTGATCTTAATTTCTTGTGAGTTTGGACAGTACTGTTTTCTAGTGCTTGTTCAGACCTGTCCTCAGGGTTTCAAAGTGTAACTCTCTTTAATCACAGATATCAACAGATACTAACCTGAGTGACAAGGCAAGGCTAGAGCAGAGGGTGGAGGATCTAGAACACCTCTTGTTAGGGGTAAGTAAGAAGCTTCCGCCTATACTCCATTTGCCTTCTCAAGATATGTTCCAAATAATAATAATTATAATAATATGTCTTGTTCATCGGTATTAGTACTGTTCCGTCTGAAGGCTCTGTAATCTTATCATTATTCCGGCTTTAGGCGAGCTACCATGAAAAGTCACTCAAGCATTCAGGGAATTTCTTCCTACCTGGTACCCGTTTACCTCACCTGGGTGGAGTGTGGCAAATGCAGATTAATGTCTTGCCAATGATAGTGTGATTCCAGAGTGGTAGGGCAGTGATCTTGTGACTGGACGGTCTTGTGTTCTACTCCAAGTTGTTGCGCTGGTACCATGTTCAGGAATGAATGATTCAGGGTGACAGATTTCTGGGTCTCAGGAGATACTATTTACTCTCTTAGCGTCCTGAATAACATTAAAACAATACATAATATAATTACAAATTTGTATGCATTCAGGAGGCAGCGTGAGAGAAGAATGGTGAGCATTTTAGGGTGTAGTCCTTGCTGACCATTAACAGTATCCTAGAGAAATAGGTCTGCACGAAGGTCTTTAGGATAGAGGAGGCTACCTAATGAATTCATCCCTACATATCTTAATGATCTATTCCCTCTAATAGGATCATAAACTGTAGGTCCCCTGGGTGCTAAAGATCAAGCATTCAGTCAAAGTATCGAAACGTTGATTGTTTCTCATTCCAATTTGGCAGGCGGAGCAGGAGCGGAACAGCAGTCAGTCCAGGGTGTCGTCCATGCAGGCTATGATTGTCACTCTAGAGGAGCAAGTCCGCATCCAGGTGTTCAAGATAGAGGAGGCCAAGGAAGATGCATCAGCAAGCAAGGCTCAAGCTTCCAAGCTCAGGTTAGATGCAGTCTCTTGTTGTTTAGTCTGCTTGATTGTCCAATGCATTTTTCACAATCAGTCACAGATACCTGGGCCCCATTTCACAAAACTTGTCATCAGTGACAAATGACTGTATTTGTTATAAGATGGTGAAATTCTTGATTCTGATTGGTTATCAGCAGATTTGTCACAGATTTTGTCATTTGTCATTGAAAAAAGGCTTTGTTAAACAGGTCCCTGGTATGTTGGTAGCTACCTTTTTGTACAAATGTTTAGAAATAATCCAGTCGGTTCCGCAAGTTCCTACCCATAGAGATTAGTCTCTAAATCACTTTTACATAAACTTGCATTTAATTAGATATTGAATTCAGTTATATTTGAATTGCTTTAATGGTTGTCAAGTTCCTGTAGTAACCAAGGAAGCATGCACAGGCAGACAAGTAATCTGAAGACATGCTTCCAGCAACAAAGTAAAAGATTCCAGGAAGAAAGTAGCCGAAGCACAAGGTGCAGCAGAAATAATGTTTGAAGATTCTTGTTTTCGGGGTATCTTCAGCATATTCCATCTGACAGAGAAGCTTTATCGAATGAAGTGGGAAATTAAGCCAAGGATGTCTGCACATAGCAGGGAGCAAGCTAAATCTCTGCCAAATTTTATGACAACCGGTTGACTACTAAATGTTCTCATTTCCATAGGATTAATACAGAAATGGGTTAAAACCCCCTGGTTTCAGTAGATATTAAATAAGAATCCATCTTTCAATTCAAGAACTAACTTCTTTTTTCAATGTTCATTTTTAAAAGCATCATTTTGAATATTCATAACATTGTAATGTTGTCACTGGTTTAATCGCAGATTGATCACAGATCAAACAGAACATTCGGTAGAGGAATACCAGCGGAGGCTTCACATAAATTCAAACAATTTACAGAGTGCGGAGGAGAGGATTGTGAGACTAGAGGAGCGAATAAGTAAGTACAGTAGGAACACTTGGTTTGGAAACTATGTTGTCTCTTTATTCCTAAACCACTATTTTATTGCTCATCTTAGAAATGAGTATAGCATGAGCAAGCCGTTGATTCCATTATAGCATCCATATGGTAAAGGCGCTGGTAGACTCTAGCAAGATCCTATGTTAAATTTTTACCACAAAAACAAAACAAAAATTATGCAGGCTATACATGTACAGCTACTTTAGATCGAACACTTGAATGGGAAACCTACATGGTCTCCTAATTTCTCAACAGCCTTTTTATTAGAAGTCTTTGCAGTTGCTTGTATTAGTAAGAACAGGATGCAGAAATCATTGCTGCCAGTTTAGTGTCAATATGTTACAGGATCTGTTACACCCTTGCAAGACCCTAATATACATTTTTTTTTTTTTTGAAGGGTTATGCAGTTTATGCAGCAAATACACCTTGATCATTATATTGGAATCTTGTTTAGCGCTCATATCTGCCAGACTTGACACTCAAAGCGCTCCCGATTATTAATCTGGCTTTAGCATGGTTGCCGTTACGACGCTCTAGCATTTCAAGGAATTAATTTCTGCCAGTTACCCATTTACATCACCTGGGTTGAGTGTGGCCAATGTAGATCAATGTCTTGCCAAAGGACATTAGTGCCGCGGCGAACTCGAACCGCAAACCTTGTGATCGACAGTCCGGCCACGTAACCACTCGACCAAGACACCTCTACGTGAAGTAAATATATTTCTATTACGTCTCGCACGAAACAGCTGACATGAATGCCAACAACGCTCTCCTGCGGGAGGAAATCAACGAGCTTCGAGGGACAGTATCCGCCATCGACAGGGAGAAGGATGGCATACAGATGGCAGTGGACGAGAAGACAGAGAGGACCTTGGACCTTGAGAGGGAACTCATGGACCGAGGTCGGACCATCGCTGACCTCAGGGCAACGGTCAGCGACCTTGAGGCAAGATTAGAGTAAGTTAGACATGTGACCTTTTTAGTTCTAGACTGTAACAATTTATACTTCTTTTGTTAAGATAAGCATATTGTGTGTCTAGAGCCAGAAGGGAGGACACAGCCTGGCGCCAAGAGGAGGGTAAGTTCTTCTCTCCAAAACCACCACCACCACCACCACCACCACAAAACAAGACAGAGAGATTTATGGAGTGATAAGGAGAACAGAATTTGTTCCCCTTCCTCAGTCTGAAATAGTAACTTACTTATGTTATGTAATCAGTGTATTTTTAGTAGCTAAAATAATTTGTGGAAGATCCCAAAATAGCACCATCATTGAATAGCACCACCATAAGAAAAAGAGAAAAATACCAAAAACAGGCTCGCAACAACCCTGGTCCAACTTATTTCGGCAGTAGTGTTTTGATGTTCAAAGTGTAGCATACTGCGAAGTGTGAACATTTCTCATAGTTAGAATATTTATTAAAGTATAGATTAACTAGGGAATTTTTATTTTCCACAATTCGGTAGGCAAGCAATTAACGATCTCGGCAGCAAAGATCGTGAGATCCGCAGCCTGCGGCGTCAGCTGGACTCGACGAGAGACGAGCTGACCGATGCCTCCAGAGGGCGGGATGTCACCATACGGGAGAATCGCAGACTGCAGGAAGATCTAGCAACCATGACCAGAGAAAACCAGGTCAGTGTCATGATACAGTCAAGTCATTCTTAGCAGCCACCTCCCTATAAAGGCCACCTGTCTATTGTGGCCATGTATTTTGTCACCCTTGAGAACCAATGCGTGTTGTAAAACCTGTCTACAGTGGCCACTTTGTCTGTTTCCCTTGGGTGGTCTTAATAGACAGGTTTCACTGTATTGGTAAAGTAGCAATGTGTACTGTTGAAGGTATCTTCTTCCACTATACCACTGTGTAATGATATTTATGGTATTTTTAATGAAAATTAATTAATATTTGTTTTTCTGTTTTCAAACACAAGTGTGTCATTACAATTCATATTTACAACATTTCTACAAAGAAGAATTTCACACGATTGATTTAGATTTTGTAGAAAGATCCCTAAATGATGCTGTAATCATCCAGTAAGAAAATTAGGGAGGAAAGATAAAATGTCAATAACCTTCAACCATTTGAATTTCTCTGTCTCAAGAACACCCATCTCTGTGATGCGATCTTGTCTATTTGCTAAGGTCTAACTTTGAATAACATTGTCTCACACATGGAATTATGGTTTCTGAAAATTGTTAATTCCAGTGTAGAAGAACATCATTATGTAGCAATATGACTGTTCTGGAAATGCTCTTGTATTTCTGTCATTTCTAGAATTACTTTATTTGTTAGACCAACTGATGTCTATTTGTGCAATCCCATACATGTATGTCCATAGGTTGAAAATAAAAGACATTGTAAATGACTTCCCTATTGTTTGTTTGGACACAGACTGTAAACCAGGAGTTGGAAAGTATATTGGAAGAGAAGGTAACACTCAAGACTCAAGTTCAGGACTACATCGCAGAAGTAGCTCGTATTGAAGACATGCTTGCAGGAAAGGTACACTATATTTAGAAGAAAATTATTTTTGTTTTCCTCGTGAAGGCTATGATATTTGCTTTATTGATTAAATTATGAATAGGAAGATTAATTGACCATCTCTTGGGTAGTTGCTCTTAAAGTGACTCGGTGACATTGTCTCAGATTCTGAAACAATATCCTGACTTTAACTCATGCTCCAATCATAATTATAAACCTTTAGGTCAGTCAGGAATCCCATGACTTTTACAAGTCTGTATCGCCTATCTGATTATCAAGATATTTATGATTGGAAATCGAAATTTCAAAAACTGTTTTCCCAACGGTTTTTATAAAACTACAGTCTATTGGCAAAAATGAGTATGGTAAAACCGGTCACTCTATTTTTTTCTACTTTTTTGGGACACTTCTTGGTCATTTTGAAGCACAATTTTTTAAGGGCTTCAAAATGACACCATATCACAGACACTGATAACACGTAGGGCCATGCATCTCAGATTTAACATTGTTAAACGATGCCTTGAAGAGGCAGAGAATGAGAACAATTTAGATGTAAATTGGTTTAACGTTATACAACAATTGTTCATGGTTTGCGTCAGGATTGATGTCGTTAAGATGTTTTCAGCCAACTTCTGTAGCTGGGACCAACAATATGTAAGCTGGATTAATAGTTTATGGTTCACGGTATGTGTGCAGATGGAGAGAGTAACATTTTGTATTGAACCTATGGTGTATTTAACATTGCTACCATCAAACAGGAAAATAAAATAAAATTAAAGGCCAGGACTGAGAACAGAATCACCACTACCAATAAAAAGGTTCAAAATCAAGGGTTAACAAACAATTAGTTTTAAAGATTTGATTTGTAATTAAAGTCAAACGAGGTTTGAGATGGAGGAGCAAACATGATATGTTGAACCTATGAACCTATTGAACAGATGCTCTGACTTTTTCCAGGACAACACTTGCTCTGGGCTTTATTTTATCATAGATATAGGGCTAGGTTAGAGTTACAAGAATAGGTTGGTTCGGTTTAGGATTAGGTGTAGGGATGGATTCAAGGTTGAAGTCCAAAATGTGAACGATATTGACCGCAGAGCAATCGTTGCGGAATATGCGTCTTGCAATTGTCAAACATCGGTTCCCATTGCTCCATTTCTGTTGTAGGATCGAGAGAACCGGGGTCTACTTGACAACTATCGAACCGCATCCGCTGAGGCACAGCGCTGGGAGACGGAGGCTACGGAGAGGACCAGCGAAAGTTCCAACATGAGGCTTGAACTGATGGCCAAGGAGACGGAGATGAAGAGACTACGAGAGAGGATGGACGAGACGGAGAGAGATGTCCATGAGGTAAGCCTCAAATTCGTGGATGAGCAATGTTTGGCGGCTTAAAGATTGTTTATCACTTTTGCAGACCTAAAAACCTGAAGTTCCATGAATCCAGTGGTATATTGAAAAAATTTAATATTAGGAATCTCCCGCAAATGTAAGAAACGGAAGCTGGCTTTCACCAAATATCTTTTGAATGTTTAATAACAAAGATTTATTATCTAAACTCGAAAAAGAGTTGTACGCAATGCAAAATTAATTAGACTGTTATATCTGTTGATTTGAGAATCGCTCCCTCTGCGGCAACTTCAAAACAGCGTTAGATTTTTATTTCTTATAAAGAAGTTTCAGAACTAATGACCGTAAAATTTTGCATGTGATATCTGAATGTTATATTTTAAACACTCACCAGGTTACCTGAACATTGTGTTCAGGTAAGCCTGAATCCAATGACCGGGTATATCTGTAAAGCGCTTTGAGAGGCCCTTCGGTCCTGAAAAGCGCTGTATAAGAACTAGCTATTATTATTACATAAAGCAGTAGTATAAATACATGTCATTGAGGAATAAATGGGCAGTGAAATATTATTCCAACCCATGCCATCCACTGTTAACCCTATTTTGTCATGGCATTTCTGAGTTACCAATGAAAAAGATAACCACATGACTTTTAGAAGAAGGAAGTGTCCATAAATATTATTGATTTTCAAATCATATGTCTGTTTTTTTCTTCATTCTTTTGGTATTCTACTGTGGAAACCTTCAGTTTTTACGCTAATCAAACATCCTAGTCACACACATAACATTTTCTGCCTTGGCAGCTGTCCACCAGACAGACCTAAGAGATGCAGGGTTAACCCATTAGCAACTAGAGATTTTGTAAAAATTGCCTATTACTCACTGGAAGAACTTGCAATATTTCTCTCTTTTTGACATTTTTCTGAAGAATATGAAACGTGCGCTATTTTTCTATGCTGATTCCTACTGTAGACATCGTAAGGATTACGCACGTATAACATTATAACGGTAGACCCTAGAACGGATACTATAGCGCGTTGAAAACCGACGAAAACGGACGGGCGATTTCGGGCGGTTCAGTGAGTAAAAGGAAGGGCGGTTTCGGGCGGTTTAGTTGCCATTGTGTTAAGCACGATAATCCACTTTGCATGATGAAGCAGTAGTGCACCTTCAATTTTGCCACCTAATCAGACATCCTATTCACACACATTACATTTACTGTCTTTATTCTATCTCTACTTTTCTGCCACCAGCACCTGTCCACCCAGCAGACGTACGAGATGCAGATCTCCAACCTGACCCGCTCCCTCTCCAACATGGAGGGCAACGTGCGCCAGCTCCAGGACGAGAAGGACTCCGTGGTGCAGGATCTAGCCGCCGTGAGGGAGCTGTGCGTCAAGCTTGACTCCACCAAAGAGTCACTCTCCAGGCAGCTGACTACCAAGAATATCGACTATGAACAGGTAGGCATCCAACAAAACACAGAATGGGTTGTATTCTCGAAAGCTAACTAACTTTAGTCCATGGTTTAATACACCGACTAAGTATGGAATGCCAAGTGTCCATACAAATACATTTTTGAATAATTTGATTTTAATGATATTTCCCTAAATTATCTTGATAAAATAATTATATCATAGTTGTATTGTTGTTTATTAATTATTTGATTACATTTCATTCTAATTTAGTGACCGATAAAATTATTCAAAAACATATTCTTGGCACTTGGCATTCCATACTTAGTCTGTGGATTTAAACCATGGAATACAGTTAGTCCGCTTTTGAGAATACAACCCAATGATTTTCTTTTCAAACTTAGATATAGTCAAAAATGTCTAATAAGACCACCCGAGGAAAACAGAAAAAGTCGCCACTGTAGAGAGGTGGCCTTTGTAGACAGGTTCTCCACACACATTTGTTTCTCGAGTGAGACAAAATACATGGCAACTATAGACAGGTGGCCGCTAAGACAGGTTTGATCATATGTTAAAGATATGGATGCTATTTAAATGTCTTTGAAAGTACGATTGTAATGATAAATAATAGTGATTCTATTGAAAATGTTCACCAAGGAATCATTTTACAGACAACAAACAACCTCAATGAATTTTGAGTTAAAACATTCGTACTAGGTTTTAAATAGCCCACACATTTAGTTAAAAAATATAACTACCTGTATATAAATACTGATCAATCTATCTTTATGCTGCTGCTTTTTATTGGAACATTGGTTTTGGGATAATTAATACATTTACTACCGATTAAGATTTCATTGTTGAATTGTACCATGCCTTAGATAGTGAAAGGTTCACTTTTTCATTGATTTAACAACCCATAACACACCATTCCAGCAATTCATGACACTCCTTGTAGTTACTTGCCTCACCCACCATCCCAGTATAGCTTTCTGAGTGAGCTGCCAAAGGGATTACCCAACTTAGTACCAAGTACATGTACCTCTGTAAGATTTGTTATGGCATTCAAAGTTGTGTTTGATGATAGATGCACAGCATAGATATTAGGAGTAAAAACATATCATTCTTAAGAGGTCTTATCTTTCTATTTATTTATTTCCTACCATTCCTCAAAGGCCGAAGCGAGAACCGAAGACCTGAAGAGAGAAGTGGAGATGCTGCGAAGCCAGGTGGGCACCGAACGCACGACCGTCAGGAACCTGGAGATGCTGATTGCAGGCAACAGGGAGAAGGAGTTCCAGGTGCAACTGGACAATCAGGAACAGAGGTCCGAGCTCCAGCTGATCAAAGACCGCTTAGCTCTAGCAGATAGCAAGATGTGAGTGCTTTGGAGTTTGGCGTTATGGCTTTTGATCATGTGAATGATTGCAAGCATAAATTTACCTGCATGTTTTACTCACTTTTTTCTATGATAATGATGGCCATGTAATGTTTATAAATTGTTTGTTGTTTATTTCATTAATTTGTTGCTTTCTGTGAATCTAGGAACATGTAAATATAAAGATGCACATCATTTTAAATTTGTTCATTCTTTTTATGCCTCCGTTACGAAGTATCCGGAGGCATTATGTTTCCGGGTTGTCCGTCCGTCCTTACGTCTGTGATCGCATTATTTCAAGAACCGATTGATGGATTACAGCCAAACTCAGGTCATGTATGTATCTTGCAGAGCCCATAAGCTGATTAGATTTTGGGGACACGAGGTTGAAGGTCAAAGGTCACAGGGCTCATTATAGATGCAAAAATAGCTTGTGATCACATTATCTCAAGAACTCTGCTTTGCTTCTGCATGGTCAAGCTCATCTTTAGAACTTGGCTTTGCTTCTGCATGGTCAAGCTCATCTCCAGAACTCTGCTTTGCTTCTGCATGGTCAAGCTGGTCTCCAGAACTCTGCTTTGCTTCTGCATGGTCAAGCTCATCTCCAGAACTTGGCTTTGCTTCTGCATGGTCAGACCCATCTCCAGAACTTGGCTTTGCTTCTGCATGGTCAAGCTCATTTCTAGAACTTGGCTTTGCTTCAGCATGGTCAAGCTGGTCTCCAGAACTCTGCTTTGCTTCTGCATGGTCAAGCTCATCTCCAGAACTCTGCTTTGCTTCTGCATGGTCAAGCTCATCTCCAGAACTTGGCTTTGCTTCTGCATGGTCAATCTGGTCTCCAGAACTCTGCTTTGCTTCTGCATGGTCAAGCTCATCTCTAGAACTTTGCTTTGCTTCTGCATGGTCAGGCTCATCTCCAGAACTTGGCTTTGCTTTTGGGTGGTCAGACCCATGTCCAGAACTCTGCTTTGCTTCTGCATGGTCAGGCCCATCTCCAGAACTCTGCTTTACTTCTGCGTGGTCTGGCTCATCTCCAGAACTTGGCTTTGCTTCTGCATGGTCAAGCAGGTCTTCAGAACTCTGCTTTGCTTCTGCATGGTCAAGCTCATCTCTAGAACTTTGCTTTGCTTCTGCATGGTCAAGCTCATCTCCAGAACTTGGCTTTGCTTCTGCATGGTCAGACCCATCTCCAGAACTTGGCCTTGCTTCTACATGGTCAGGCCCATCTCCAGAACTTGGCTTTGCTTCAACATAGTCAAGCTCATCTCCAGAACTTGGCCTTGCTTCAACATAGTCAAGCTCATCTCCAGAACTTTGCTTTGCTTGTGCATGGTCAAGCTCATCTCTAGAAATTGGCCTTTCTTCTATCTCACATCCCTTCTTAACTATGAAAAAGCCCACGTCTAATCACCTGACTGTGTTAACCAAATGTTCCTAATGTGTTTCACAGAGGAATACGAAAATTTATGATTAAGAATTAAGATCATTCAGTTGCTAAGCTACAGCCTCTCCTAGCAACCAATGCACTGTCTGTAAAAAAAAATGTTTTAATTTGAGCATTAGGCTAAAGTCAATGAGAGAAGTGACTGTATCTGTTCTCTATTAAAGAACTGTTTGATGTCGGAAGAAAGATAATTATTTTTAGGCACGTAATTTTGTATGAAAAGCTTCTGCCTGCCTACTACTCCTTCGATTTTAACAAGCATATTTATTTCATAAATTCATTTCATTTCATTTCATTTCAAAACGATTTATCAAACATACTTTGTCTTTCATTGTGGCAAAGATGAATTAAGAAGTTTACAAGACATTTCAAAAACACAATGACAATAGATTAAAAAATTATATAATAAATCAGCAGTATAAACACATTAAATATAGCTCATATTAACATAACATAAAAAAGACATATCAGAATCATAACAAATTAAAAACTGATAACATATTTCTTTTTCTATAATTGTGACAATTGAAACTGTACACAATCACCATGGAACTGAACTTAAATACTGTGGATAATTTTACCAATTAAATGACACTATCACAACAACTGTAACTAAAGTGACATGTTCCTAACAAGCAAACAAACCGTCAATCGTATTGATAGACAAAGAAAAAAACAATTCTACGTCAAGAAGCTGACCAATCACATTTGGTGGAAGTAAAAGGACAAATCAGACCAAAGAACATTGAAAAATATCATTTGCATCTCTAATGCTGAGCAATGAGAGATCATTGAATAAATGAATACATCTGTATTAAATTAGTAAAGTATGTGTCTACTTGATTTTGAAAGATTGGTTCTGTTTTGGTTTGTGAAATCGCTCTATGGCGGAGGCATCATTTTCGACTAGTTTATTTCTTTCTCTCTCTCTCTCTCTCTCTCTCCCTCTTCCTATATATTGGAGTGAATTAAAGAAATTTGTAAAATTTGGTTGTGTTGTAAATTAGCCTTTTTTAACACTAAATCTTTACACATAGCATTTCAAGTAATGTTTATATTTCCTGATTCTTCTTGACACTTCTTATATCCATTGTCAGTATCAGTTATATCAGTTATGAATTATGAAAATTGTCCAAGTGTGAAATGAGTTGTCTCATATCAACAGGCTCATTATAAAGACAGTGCAAATATATCAGACTAATAACAATCACTGCTTTGCAGTTCAAATTCAGTCAACCAGTTTAACTGGCGTGTTTACTGTGGCTTTTACATGATTTTGATTTCCCTGTCACCATACTCAGACAAACTCAATCTCGAGAGATCCAGACGCTAAGATCAAGGTCATCCCAACAAGAGTCTGAACTAGAGAGGGCCCGCAGACAGTTGACAAGTGAAAGATTTGAAAAGTAAGTTACTAGCGACCAAGAGTCGGTTCCGTATGACCGTAGCTTTAGGACTGGCATTCCCCACTCCCTTCCATATCCTCACCATCATGATCTCCTCCTCTCCTTCAAAGTGCATTTCATATTGTGGCATTTAAAAAAAAAGATTCCAGTATGATGGTATGTGCACCAACTGATAGAGTATCTGTTATGCTTTATGGTAAATCAGTGATAGTTTTCTTATTTGTGTGTTGGGGCTTCAAATGCACATGAAATCGTGTAGATACTAATTTTTTCAGCTAGATTATTCAAACTGAAATGTATCATGTATTTTGGTTAAGAAAGTGATTCTGTTGGAAATCAGCGACATTCTGTTTTTGTGTTGGGGCCTTAAATGGGCATGATAGATGTACAGATACTTGTCCTTCCCTGCTAGATAAATTTGAATGGAATGTATTGTGTATTTTGGTTAAGAAAGCGATTCTGTTGGAAATGTGTGACTTTCTTTTTACTGGTGCTTTTGTTGGGAAAAAAGCTTTCCTAAATATTGAGGGCTCTTTAATTGAAACAGCAGATATTCCCCACATGATGCTAAACTCTTATGCCTTTGGCAAAATATTTACCTTACAGAGAGCGGCTCGGGCAGGAGATTCGTCGCAGCACATCCCACTCCATGTCTACCTCCAACGCCAGCGCGGCCAACGTGAGCTTCGAGAACCAGAGATCATCCACCCTCAGGACCACCACCCTAAGCTCCTCCACCTCCAGACGCACCTCCAGCAGCCCCCAGCAGCACGGCGGGGGGCGCTCCACCACCCCCATTAGCCAGATCATCTCCCCCGAGCGCTCCCAGAGGAAGTCGCCGGAAAGGTCCATCCTGAAGGGTTCGTCGTATCGGTCCCGGTCACCAGAGAGAAGTATGTCCAGGCTGCGTTTCAGTAGTAGTAGTTACAGTAACAGTGATGTAGTTGATAACGATTGGTTGTCTGATACTAGTTTAACAGGTAGGCATGCGGACGATAATGGACGGGACATCTTTAGGCCTCTCAGGGCTTCGTCTAGATTGGTGAGTTGTAGGAATGCATTTCTTTCCAGAAGCATCTCTGCAGATAAAAGTTCCTGTTCACCCAAAGCAGTCAAAATTTCAGTCTGCTGCCAAAGCCTGTTTACATCAAGTCACAGCAGTTACTCATTATCTAGTGCACCATGGGCAATATGAAAATTGTATTGTGCTGGATTCATGAAGAAAATACTCTGTGTTACCATGATGCTTATTGTTTTGTGTTCCATTGAAACGAGTCGAAATGTAACTTGTCTTCATCCTATTTACGTGGTTTTCATGCGTTTCCTCTGCATATTTTGAATTTGAAAAGATAAGAAGTTCCATCAGGCAATAAATTGTTAATCAGTCATTATTTTTGTTGTGTCATTAAGATATAATTGCCTCATCTAGATTTTCAAGAAATAAAGGAAAAGTAACAATAATGACTGCTTTATTACACCTAACTTATGTAGACAGTCTAGAATGTGCAGGTAGAAGAGCACTATATAAACATAAATGCAATGGTTTCTCTTTTTTCTGAAATAGTCCATGACCTCTTGTGATTAAAATCAATGTCTAGACTCTAGACATAACTCACTGATTGAATTCATATTTGTTCCATGGGAATACATGTATCGTTCATCAAACAAATTAAAACAAAATATTCATTAAATATTGCTCCAGAGGGGTGTTTCATAAAGCTGTTTGTAAAGTTACGCCTGACTTTACGAACGACTTGTATATGAAAAGCCAAATGGGACGCTCAATCATTAACTGCATCAACTAAAGTTGAATTGCGCAGATGTAGATTTTAACATTCTTATTATAACAGTATAAAAGTATATTTTTTGCCATAATTTAATTGAGCTTATTGGAAATATCAGAAAAATTGGGGGGCATCCTATCTGGCACTTCATATACAAGTCGTTCGTAAAGCCATGCATAACTTTACGAATAGCTTTATGAAACACCCCCCTGGTGCAATTTCGGCATGCTATTACCTACATGTTTCTTCAGTGCGCTTAACCAGAATCTTCCTCTAAGTCATGTTTCAAGATATTTTTCTTCCCACTTACTGTTTTATTTTATTCAATTATTAATGTGTTATAATTTTTTTCCTGGGGGAGGGGGGGGGGGGGGGAATAGTGAAGTATACAATCTTTGCTCTTTGTTAAAAGCTAATGCTCTACATCGTCACTGTCATCACATCTGTAAACATGTCCATACTATGTATGTGGTACTTTGTTAATGTTAAGTCATGTTAGTATAAAAAATGTATCATTTACTATCAGATATCATGTACAAACAGAGGAATAGGACAATGTTTGCAAAGAATCATTTGCATCATTGTTTGAAATTGCAAACACTTAATTTCACAAGAGGAAGGGAAGGCATTATGCAAAATTGTCATGAAGTTTATATCATAGTTTATGTCCATTGCTGCAGGGAAATAAAGGAAAACAAAAAGAAGAGAAAAAAGAAAAGAAAACACAGATGCAAAAAGCTGTAGTGTTTACCTGCTGACATACAAAACAAAAACAAGAAACAAAAATAAAACATAGAAAAGAAGAAGAAGAAAAAAATGGCTTGTGTTGTGACTGTATGTCATGATTAAACAATGAGTAAGGCCAGGCAAACACAGTGTACCACGCCTAGCTCATTAAAGGGGAAGTCCACCCTGATATTAAGTTGATTTTGATAAAAGCAGAAAAATGAGAAGTTTGTGTTTCACTGATGACAATTTCCAAAATTCATTACTTTCCTATTTTTAATCGGATATTGTTCAAACTTTCACTCATTTGTTTCTCTAATTTTTTTTTATTTTTTATTAAAACCAACTTAATATCAGGGTGGATTCAATGTATTCCCCTGTGATGCATTAATTACTATATTCTAATACCATTGCCGGTATTGAGTTCATATCTGGTATTTGCCAGCATCCTTTTATTTTCTCCTATGTTTCTTGTCCTACAGGATGACAGAAGATGACAGAATGAAGAGGCTTCTTCCGGATATGGTGAGTAATAGATGGGCGGGCTTCTCTTCATTGTTTATATTTGGTCAACATTCAGTTAAAGAGAGATGGTAGTCTTTTGACTGGTGTACAAGTCCCACACATACAGCAAACCCATGGTCCCATCAAGAAATACCCTTTTAGTCTCTCATAGAGTCTTCAGGTGAGGGAAATGTATGATGATGAATGGTTTGGGAGAGAGCCATAAAAAGGTTTTCATGTAATATCTCCATCACTTTGACATCTACAATGCTTAAAGTCAGACTACTCCATGTTTAAACTATTTGCGGATATCTTGAGGGTTATTTCTACATGCGCTGTCTCTGAACTGGTCTATTGTGGCCATAATCAATATTGGTCGACCAAACGGGTAAGAAATTGAGAATTAAAAAAAAGCATAAAGAATTCAATTCAAATTTTCAATTCAAAGTTTATTCAACACTCTTCATAAAAACATTTAAAACATACAAATACAAAACAGAGTTATAAAAAAAACAAGAAAGTGATAACAAATAAAATGGCAATTTATAAGAGCTTACGCTTTTTAGCTACACTGTACATGCATAAGCAATCATCATAATGCTTTAGACTTTCAATTTTTATAAGCAATCATTGTCATTTTCACTTTTTAAATGTCCACTACTCTATTCGTTGAAGCCTGTGACATATTAAATTCAAACACTTTATTCTTTTTTATTTGCCTAACAGGAGTATACGCCAGAAGATCGTCACCTTTGCTGCTTTAGAAGTTGGGCCACTTTTTACCAGTACACCATCTTGCCATTCATACCTTGATGTCGTTCAAATTTCAAATCGTTTCCATTCCGTATCAGGTTGAATTTCATGTGCTCTTGGCACAATTCTTATTATTTTAATATTTGGTAAATGTAAATTCTATTTAATTTATTGATTCTTAAAGGAGCTATTGTTGTGGTGTATTGTTTTGACTATCGGTTCCAGGATGCCAAATAAGAATTGATTTGAAAAGGCTCAGTATGACATCATGAATTGAATGTCCAGTGTATTTGTATTTATTTTGGTTAAAGTTCATGGATGAATATTTACTTTTTTTTTTATAGATTTGTCACAGTGAACTGAATACAATGCACAATGTATAGTCATCCTTGTAGAATTGTTCAACACATTTTGGTGATAAAAATGTTTCAGATGATGTCTCAACATAATAATAAAAAATCAAAAAATGATAATAAGGATAACAAAAACGGTGCTTATAAAGCGCTCACCACCAAAGTCTCTAATGTGAGCACAATCTTGTCTCCTAGAATTTACCCCCCCCCCCCGACATTCTACCACCAACTTTCAGCAAGGGCAAATAATGTGGTGCTTACTTATGGTATTTGGGGGAGATGAAAAGTTCTAGTCTTTTTTCTTTTTCTTTCTCTCTCTTTATTAAAAAAAAAATCCTCTTGGGATAACAAGTTCCTTAAAAAAATGAAACGGGTATATTCTGAAGGGTTTATACTCCACCTGCGATGTTGAAAAGTGATATACATTTTAAGAGCACATATCACTTTTTCAGTCATCTCGACACATTCGTAGTTTCTCCAGTAGGGGGACAGTAGGAGAGATACATGAGGAGATAAACATGTATTTGTATACTTGACATGTACCATTACCTTGTACATTGAAACCTGTCTATAAAGACCAGCCAAGGGAGACAAGAAAAGTGGTCTTGATAGGCAGGTGGTCTTTATGTACAGGTTTCTCTAGTACATGTTTCAATGAGAAACCATTTCCAAGGGAAACAACAGATGTGGTCTTTTGTAGACAAGTGGTCATTCTATACAGGTGGTCATTGAAGCAGGTTTGACTGAACAATGCTATGGTTTCAAGGATGGAATATAAACCCTCTGCCAAGGAAACCTGGGGGTGTTTCACAAAACTTGTCATCAGTGAAAAATGACGTTTTTTTTTTTACAAGCTACCGAAATCCTTGCTTCTGATTGGTTATTAGCAGATTTGTCACTGTTTTTTGTCATTTGTCATTGCAAAAAAGGCTTTATGAATCTGGTCCCAGGTTACTCTGCTATCAAACTTGAGATTCCTGAAACGATCAGTGTGTGAATACTGTACCTCTTGTGTGTGTGTTACTTTCAAACATGAAGTGCATTTTCTTGTTTGTTAACCCAAAAAACAAGCATGAAACAGAGAATCTACCAGTGGTGTTTCATTGTGGTGTGAATATAAATTATCAATATTCTGGCATGAATCATATTTCCAACTGTGATTTTGGAAAATATTGTTTGGACTGTCAATTCTGCATTATTTACATTTCCTAACAGTTTTCTCTCTGTTATGCTTAGTAAGAGGCTAAAATAATAAAAATGTATGTGCTCCCCGTCCAGTATTACACACAAGACCCATTTGCATTGGGTAAATTCCATGCATTAGGGAATGGCAATTTTAGACAATTTTTGTGTTTGACAAAAAAATATACAAATTGATGATATCATATATCAATTTATATGAGATGCTTTCACAACAATTGAGTTTCCTACCAAAGAGTTTCAAATAGCTTCGTTTACGGAATAACCAAAAAGTGACCTGTGTCGTTCTGTAATAAACGTTTATAAACTTCAATATTTCATCAACTTGGTGAATCGTTGATAGCCAACCCAAATTGTTTTGGAAGTACCTTATATCAGGTAATACAGTCAAACCTGTCTATAGTGAGTTAGCAACTGCCCAAGGGAAACACAAGAGTGGTCTTTGTAGACAGGTGCTCACTAAAGCAGGTTTGACTGTACATCATTTAATTATATTCTTTATTCAAAATAGAAAGATTTCCTGGGACTGTAATTCCAGAACACTTTGAATTGACCATAATTGTCAATTCAGTTTTCCAATTAGACTACATGTATCGCTTGTGAAGAATGTACATGTATATGTATTTGATTGTTTTTTGCTGTTATAAAAGTCTATCATGTCTCATCAGTATTTAATGTTGCTACTTGCCCTCAAGAAAAGTATTTCTCAAGCATTGGGAAGCAATACAACAGACCAGTAGCCTTTTTTGGACTAGTAAGTTGTACATGTAATAGAGAATAGTATTTTAGGATATGGAGACTTTAACACAGGGTATACAGTACTATTGACCAAACAGTCTTTGTTCTATTTCTGTGCCTTGTAGCGTATTTCTTGTGTGTGTGTTACTCTGGAAATGATTTTGGTGATAGGAATATCAGAGTTAGGCTAGGGAGCGAGTTTGTGTTGATTTAATTGAATTGGATAATTTGAGAAGTAATTGGTGGAATACTATTAACTGGTAATGTACAAAGTAAATCGGTTATACAATCTTTGTTTCCAGCTTTCCAAGAATACAGGACAACTATCGCCCCCAATTCCCATTCAGACACCCCCCCCCCCCCCTTGTCATCTACCCCAGGTAGAAAGATAACCCCTGTACAAATACTTGAGAAGGTGACTTTGGGGTTAAATTTGTCAAGTTCACATACCAAGTATGTTCAAATTTATCACAATCGAACCATATCTACTCGTCTACAAACAAATTAATAGAAATGCAATTCTGTATTCATTGGAGGTCATGTGCTAGGCAGTGTCCAGATATCCACACCTTCCATATTTCTATTCTGAAGATTTAGGTGCAGGCATTAATGATCAATATACTTTATCAAGGAATAGATATTTTAAAAGAAAATTCTGGAGTTAAATGTATTTCAATGGAATTGTCACTGTGTGATAAAATATAGAATGCTTTGATTAAGTCCTTTTGGAAAAGTGTTTTAGAATGTTGAATAGATAGTGAGTGCCCAACAATAAATACTTGGATGTGTTTATTAACCTTTGTATATACTGAACATGTCAGCCTTTTTCATATGTATTATTTTCTTTTTATAATTCTAGTCTGTAAATATCAGATTCATACAATGCCAACAAAATTGTACAAAGATGTATTTATGTTTATTTGTATAAAAGTTGTTTGTCATGCCAATATACATGTATATTGTAATGTAAGTTGATCAATAAATTGCAGTGAATTTTATTACTACACTAAATTTGATAGCATTGTCATTTTGCATATTGTTCCTTCAATTATTTCCATCTCCTGCCAATAACTGATAAATACATGTAATGATAAATTGAAAGAAAAACAATTACAAAGGAAAGAAATAAATGTACTTAAGCAGTTAGTTATGAAGATTTCACTGGACATGTAATTACAGAAAGAGGACAAAACATCACACCACCCTCTTTCTCTCCGATTCCCTCTCTACCTCTCTTTCTGTCATATTCCTTCCACCTCGCCCTCTCTTGTTCTGTCTGTCTGTCTCTTTCTATCTCTCTCTCTTTCTTTTTCTACCATTCCTTTCTTACAATGAAAGTAGCCTAACTACTCAACTCGTGTATTTTCACTACCAGTACATGGAAATCTTAAAGAGTTGACAAGAATGCAGAAATGGCCTTCATTACAATATTATTACAAATTGCTACAGAACAAAAGAACTTGTATATTTGCAGAATTTTTAATTATATATCTAATACAGAGAAAATACCATTTAATGCTCTATATTGGAAAACAAACTAATTCCTTCAAATCGTTGACATTGGCATTATCTGACTGGCATCACTTCCTAGTATGGGTCAAATTAAAAGGCGCCCAAGGCATTCAGAAATACATGTATCAGAGTTAAGAGATTTCAATTTCTATTAAAAATATTAAAAAGTTATCATAGAATATCATAGAATATCGGTTGTTTCACTTCCTCAGATACACAACAATACAATACATGTATTCTAAAATCCCCCAAAATCTCTGACATTTTGAAACCAAATACACGTAAATGTCACATACATGTATAGAAACCATTTCCTAGATGGATCATGGGGGTAAAAACTAAAGAAATGCATGGACACAGCTTTATGATTAAAGGATGATTAGACATTTTGTTTCCCCAATTCACCTGCATAAGACTTGTTTTTAAACAAACTTGATCAAATCTAATGCAATCAAATCAAATTACAAGGGAATAATAGGACTATTCTTCCTGAAATAACTAAATGTCTAAAACTCTAAATCCATGAATGCATCTAAACCTTGAAATATCCTCATCTTTTTTGTTCATGTGAGAGGGGAGGGAGGAGGGAGGGGGGGGGGGGACGGGGGAGGGGCAGTTTACTAAAACTTCTATTCTCTACAAAATATCACTGGCTGTACTAGAAACTTGTCCAATGTAAAGATCCGTCATCAATTCTAGAGTTCACATCGAGTTCCAATAACAGATTATACAAAGTCCAATGTCTTCAAGTCTCTATAATGATGATGTCCATGATTATTATTGCTGTCCACACAAGTACTGGCAGCACTGCAAACATCAAGACCAACTGCATGATTCATCTTCTCCAGTTTGAAAACATCTTTTGCAGTTATGATTCCAACTAGTCCTCTTCCTCCAAAATGTGAGTACCTGTGGTAAATATGAATGACAAAGGAATACACTGAAATGCATCAATATCACAGACAGTCTTAGGCCTTCCCTGCCTAGCTAGCTCAGTTGTGCTAACAAAAGTCCTAGCTATTCTAGATTTGAATGAAATTTCATGTTGACGTTGAGAATTTAAAAAAGAAAATTGAACTGTTGAATAATATTGTAGGATACCTACAAGTCCCCCACCCCTCTCCCTCGTTAATGCTGCCATAGGCATGGTTTTGTAATACTTAAAGTTGAATTTATAGAAGAAACCCAAGTCCCGAAGTCCCGAGTCAAAGTCTTGAACCGGCTGATTTTCCGGTATTAAATCTACAAACAAAATACGCAATAGGTGGGGCAACGTTTTAATCAACCTCTGAAGAGCTTAGAGGCTAGACACTTACCGGCCCCAGCAAAGTTGATTAATGGCCTCCTTGTCTTTGATGCATAGTCTGGAAACGATTGGCGATGTTTAATGTGGTATCTATGAACCTCTCCACACAATTTACAAGACAAGTTTCAGTTCTGCTGTCCAATTTTGAACCAGGTTTATCGACGCATTTGTCCCAGCATTGGTCTGTGAAATTGTGAACTTGCTGTTGAAACTTCGCCTTTTGTGTCTCCATCGCTATAAATTGTTTCAGTTCAGCATCCACTCCTTCTCCTCCAGAAGGCATAGGGGGTCCTCCGTCACTGAAATTCATCGTGCAAAAGTAATCAAAGATTAAAATTAACAGGCAGAATGAGATTAGAGTCAGACACTAAACAGACTTGTACTTCAAGTTAATGATTCATTCACGTACACATGTGTATATGTTGGAGTCTGGGACATCTCGTCCTAACAAAAGCATGTCATACTTAGCGCTTCGACCCAATCCCCTCAAGAGAAATAGAGACATAAAAAGTTCTATACGATTGGAAAGCTGATAGATAAAATACAAAAATACTTCGAAAAATAAATAGTCATGTACATGTTGTATCCCAGCCCCAAAAAATATTAAAACATCAATAAACTTGATGTATCGGTTTCGAATTTGGGGGGGGGGGGCGAAAATATAGCATTTTGAATTTTGTACATGTCGGGTTGCCCAGGTTCTCGAGATCTTGGTTTTACATCATTCAGTGTCATCATGTCATCAGTATTTTCTTAGCGAAGGGGTGGGGGCAGTGCGCGGAGCGTGGGCGACACGCCCCTCTAGTATTAATGATTTGTTGTTGTTGTTGTTTTAGTTTTAAGGGCGTGTGTCATTCAATTATGAATATTTACGCCGATGACATATAGAAAGTTATAGCCGTTGTCAATAAAAGGTAATACAAAGTTTTGGGAAATTTTAAAAATTGGCTGCATAGTGATTCTTGACAATTTTGATATTTTTGTTTTGGATGACCCTGTGGATGTTTTATAAGCACTAGAAAATTTAGCCCCGAAAACTCTTCTGCTTTCGAGAAAACTTGTATATAAAAATTTACCGGTGCTCCCGCGGTAAATTTTGGCAAAATTCAAATAGCGCTGACGGCCATACAATAGTCGCTGCGACCATGAAAATCTCAGAATATGTAGTTGTGATATATAATTTCTAAACAGGAATAGCCAATTGGTCGATTTTAGTCAAAAACATTGTTTTATGGCATAATCAATATTTTGACCTTGAGAGGGAGCTATACAACATAACGAGTTACAATTTCATAACTTTAGACTTGATTTCAACCGCGCCAACGATCACCGAATATTGTAGGATCACATTTGCTTCCAATATTTTCATTTGAACCAAATTCATGATCCCATACCAAAACGTTGTGTTATCTTTAACCATTGGCCTATGGGCTATTATGGGCAGCAGGGTCCCAGCCGAATAGCCAGTCAAAAAAAAAAAGGAGGGAGGGGAAGAAAAAGAGAGAAATACAGCGGGATGGGAAACGGGATGAAAAAAAACTTCTTGCAGATATTCATATTTTTCTCTTTTTTCCGTTTAATTCCTCTGAGAAAATGGTGCTTATTGCAATCGATTTTGTTTATTCTGTTCGTCGTATATCTTTCTGAGAAAAAAATAAATAACATATGGGTAGGCGTAAATAAACTCGTACACTATGACCCTATAGCTGTAGGCCATATGTGCTACAGTTTCAGTGGGTGTTGTGAATTGCAACATAAGACTTATCGTAGCTTATTGGTGATTTTTAAAGAAAAATGAAAGAGAAAATATAATTCTAAAAATGATTCACTGACATATGACTTTTGGCTACCAAAAATGTTAAATTAAAAAATGAAGAAAAAAAGAAAGGGGGGGGGGAAGCGTTCTTTGAGTTATTGTCCATTTTGATACTATTTTATATCTCCTTTTACTCGTCTACAAGGTATTCATAACGTTATGCATGGAAGACTCGAACGAAAAACCCAGGGGATGTTTGATCAATTTAGTAACTTGATTTTAGTTGGTGAAACACTCGTACTCCAGCAGTGAACATTAATCATGCGCTCATCCAGGCCAGAAATAGAGCTGCGCACTTATACGCGCAAGTCCATTGTTACGTAATGCGTAACGACAAAGTCTATGTTTTTGTTTCCCAAACATGAATCAATGATGCATCAGATATAGAAGCTAAGCTAGACGCATAATTCATACAGGGCATATCTCTCAAATAATATAGGATACTGCCATCATTGGAGAAAAAATATTCTGGCTCACATCTTTGCAACACCGTAAACTTCTTGGAATGCTCGTAACCAGATCCCTAAACTTACAATTCAGAGGTCAGCATTAATTTGGTCATTCAGGCTTATAAAAGAAAAGAAAAAAGTTTTCCCAGTGACAATTAAATATTTTAGAAGGAAAGGAAGCCACGTAGTCAACATGTACGGCGACACATTCCAGGACGAGGAGCTTGAAGACCTCAACACCGAGGACATGATGATGATCATGAATCCCGATATGAGGAGGAGGAGGGGTGGTGCGACGACGCAGACGCTGGAAGAAGCGAGTGCTCTCATCCAGGCTCTAGTCGAAAGGTCACCCCCTGAAGGGCTAGGGATTGAGAAAGTCTCTGACGCTGATGACAAGGACGCAGAGAATAATCAAGTAAAACTTTTCTTCTTTTTTAAAATTCAGTTTTCTTGGGGGGGGGGGGGGCGGGGAGGGGGTGACGTAATTTGTTTTACTGTATGTTAAAATGATTTATAATCAATTTAATGTAGTCAGGTCCTAAGCGAGAAAAGTGAAGTGTATTGGATCATGGCAGAAATGACCGGAAAATGATATTCTTTAAATCAATTGCTATGGCACGTATACGATACGAGCAATGGCAGGTATACGATACGAGCAATAACAAAAATTTAATAAATGAATACATAACATTTCATGTTTTATCTAGTTTTAATTGCCCGAAATAATATTTTTTTTCTGTTCTGTTTTGGTTGCGTCGGTAATATACTCAGGAATAACTGTACGTCACCAACGTTAGAATGAGATGATAATTATATTCATACACTTCTCCATTTTTTACTCTTATACTTTTTCTCCAAACATTACTTTTTAATAATTCATATAAAGTAAAAGATCCCCACTTTCTGTCCCTCGACTTTCTTTTCTTCTTTTTCCCCTATCTCTAGTTTATTCTCTCTCCTACTTTATCATTCCTTTTTTTTTAAACATCACTTTATGTCTTCCTTCCTCCTTTTTCTTTCTTACTACCTTTTTTTCTTAATATGTTCTTTTTTTCTTACTTTCTTTCTTTCATGTTTCTTATGCCTCTCGCTTTCTTACCTCAATGAATTCATTTCCCCCCCCCCCCCATTTCATCTTCTCATTTCACGCTTTTCTACATCCCAATCTGTGCATTATTTTAACATAATGTGCAGACATATCCCATAAACTTAACATCATACTTCTGTCTTTCGAAAGCCGGAAAAACATCGGACGCCCCTGCAGAAGTTCCGGGCCATCGCCAACAAGGTCAAGCACAACCTCAGGTGGTCCAAGCTCCTGCCCACCGAAGAAGACTCGAAATCGTTCACGGTCCGTCAGGCCGACGGCGCGGAGGAGAACGTCCTCACCTTCGACGTCAGTGCCTTCAAATCGAACGTCCAGTCGGTGAGCACGCTGCCCCCACGGGCCAAGAAGATCATGAGGAAGGAAACGTGGGAGAGGACCAAAGAAGAGCTCCACTATCTCTACGGTTTTGTTGATAGGGTAATTTCAAAATGCTCAGTTTGGCTTTTGAAAATAATTATCGAAGTCTTCCCTCTGCGTCCTCTCTCTCTCTCTCTCTCTCTCTCTCTCTCTCTCTCTCTCTTTTCTGATCATTTATTCTTTATGATTAATACCACATCTTTTAATAATAATAATAATAGCCTAATAGTCCACTCCAAATTTTATTAAACCGAAACGGAAATTCTTTTTGCCCAATTGATCGTGAGCCCGGCAGCCACTGAGCAGCGCCAGATCGACGTTGCTCTATCCCTTATTGTTGAACGCCAAACAAGGTAGCAACAACTCCCATCTTTTAACGTCTTTTGGTATGACGCGGCCGGGGTTCGAACCCACGACCTCCCGGTTGTGAGGCGGACGCTGTACTGACTGAGCTAACACTCCGGTATAATATTTGGCCATACTCTATATGTAAATTGTCTTCGTATGATATTTCATATTCAGTAGTCGGTACTCACGTTCTGTATATCAAGATGTTGATGTATAATTAATGTCAATGAACTTAATTTGGTATATAGATCCATAATGACCTTACAAGTCATGTCTTCATGAACGATCACACTTACACTATTTGATTGCATGAAGTTGTATTTTTTTCTTAATATTTCCTCTTACCTCCTTTTGCATTCATCCTAGACAACATTTAATAAAAGTTCAATCCCTATCTTTTTCGAGAAATCGTTCATGTGTCAACTCAAATTACTGTATAAAATAAAACTTGATAGTCATATTATTTTATGTACCAACAAATTCTGCTATCAAAGATTCTTGAATTTTCATATTCAGATATGAATTTCAATGTCTCTTTGCTCGTTTCAGCTAAAAAGTTTCAACCGCTACTCGAAGACCATCCGACATGAACTGGCGGGCGTTTTATACTTCGATTCCTTCGAGGCCGGGCGGTTGATCGTCAAGCAGGGCCACCCCGGGCTCGCTTTCTATTTCATCCTCTCAGGCTCGGTCGTCTTTGAAGTCAACGAGACGGATACACGGACAGGTAAGGTATTCAGTTGTGGTGATGGTAGGGGGGGGGGGTAGTATTTTGGGTGTATACAGTGTTTCCGCAGCTACTTCATTACGTATTTTCATTATTTGTATTTTCACCCTTTCCCGAGCAAAACAAAAAATATATATAAAATATAGTTCGATATTTTGATGAACAGAAACACCCTCTTCCAAAAGTGAAGCTTAAAGTTCAAGGAATACCGCTGGAAAGATACGACTTAGGTTTTTTTTAAGTTTCTTTTTCTTCTTTCCTTTTTATGATAGACTGTACTTTTAAAAGTTTCGGTGGAATCAATTATTTGTTTGTGTGAAAATATAATTATTGACACCCGATATGTGCTTGTTTTCAGTCCGGCAAGCATAAATCAGTGTTTATTATCATAACAAAACCGTCTCATAGCTAGATGTAAAATCTTTAAAACCTAAAATGCTTAGAATTATATATTCATGCAGGCTCATAGGCCTTCCAGAGTACTAAATAATAATAATAATAATAATGGGTTCTTGTATAGCGCACATATCAGTCAGATTTGACCCTCCTGGCGCTCCCGATTATTACCCTGGCTTTAGCACGGCTGCCATACGGCGCTCTAGCATTTCAAGGAATAAATTCCTACTCTATTAATGTAAAGGGGCTAATTTCCGCTCGTCAAGGAGTGTGATTAGGGACCACTCCTTTTGGAGTGAAATTTGGACGGAATTCACCCTCAAAAGATGTAAAGTTAGCTCTTAAAGGCCCACTGCACTACTTGTAGCTACTTGCGCCCTCTATATAACAAACCATGCCTAATCGGTGACCATTGGTCCCCCATGATCCTCTTTTTCTTATGTTAACTGAGAGCTGAGTTGATGAGATAACCACCTGTCCAGTGACCTTGCAGGGCAGTCTTATCCCTCCTGTAAACTATGGCAGATACGCTTTAAAAGACGATAAATTCAGTCTTTTAGAAAAAAATCTGTCTTTTTGGAGTGAACTTTACATCTTTTGAGGGTGAATTCCGTCCAAATTTCACTCCAAAAGGAGTGGTCCCTAATCACACTCCTCGACGAGCGGAAATTAGCTCCTTTACATTAACAGAGTACCAGGTACCCATTTACTTCACCTGGGTGGAGTGTGGCAAATGTAGATCAATGACTTGCCAAAGGACTTTTTTAGTGCGGCGGCGGGACTCGAACCGCAATGTAATAATGATAAAATGTTAATCCTATTTTTCTTATGATTCTGATTGAAATTAAATTGCTCTTCTTAAGTATAGGCCTTATGTTATGATTCATTTACATTTACCGAAATGTTCGCCATTGGCGGTGTTTTAAAAGAGATTACAGAATGATTCCATCTTATCGCAATGATTTTTAATATCATTTTTACAGGAGAATCAAACATAAGACAGATGGGAGAAACTTATGCAGGGGCGAGTTTTGGGGAACTTGCCCTTCTACACGGCACAAAGCGTGCGGCTTCCATTAGGTGTAAAGGTAAAAATCGACATCTTATTTTAGCTGGCACGCACTGACAGAAACCATGGAAATTGGAATCATCAACGACACAACATAATAAAAGAGAGGAAAAAATGGACACTATTTCTAATTATAGTTTCAAATAAATGTTCACTACAGACTTATTTTTTTCGCAGATTAAATAAATTAAGCCTCTTTGAGATGTTTAGATACTCTTTAGAGTATACCGAGGCGTGACGTCATACTGACCAAGCTGTCGAGGTTGCTGGTTCCAAACAATTTTGAGCTTAACAATGGTACGGTGATGATCACACCGACCCGAAACATTGGATTTTTCCCTGCACTAGCACGTTGCTTGAATGATTTCGCGGTGAACCTCATGCACATGCTCTGTTGTTTAGAACCAGTAACCTGGTAGACGAGAAAATATGACGTGAGCACTTCGGTAAATATATTTAGTCTTCAAAATAGTCTTATTATAACTATGAAAGTTAACTACAACAAATGATTAAAAAAATCCTCGAACATTATGGAGTCGTTAATATCCAAGCATTGTGGCGTACGTGCGCCTGTAATTCAGCTAAAAGTGGAAGCTACAAACTGATACAGCCGAGGACGCAGGTTCGAAACTGAGTCACGTCTTTCGGATGGTGACGTTTAAAGGTCGGTCCCCAGACGTAAATAATTATATCTGATTAACACACGTCTGTAAAAACCCAATACACACACACACCAAAGACCATGGCAGGCAATGGTAGACACAAATTTGAGACGATACAAAAAGTCATGTATTATGTTAATAAATATAACATATTGATTTATATTTTTATTGCAGTTGATTCTGAATTCCTTCGTGTGGACAAACCTGATTTTGACATGGTCCTGCGTCGCAGTTACCAACAGGAATGGGATAACCGATTCCAGACACTCAGTTCACTATCAACGTTTAGTGAATGGATAACTGATGAGGTGGTAGCAACCACTGACAGAGCGAAGATCATTGAATATCCGCCTAACACCGTAAGTTATTCATTTATTCCTTTTATTTAAATTTCTTGTTTATTGATCTGTTTATATTTCGAAGGGGGCGATTGGGGCCCTCTATATATTCAACAGGGAAACAATATAAAGAGTAAGAGAGAGAGAGAGAGAGAGAGAGAGAGAGAGAAAGAGAGATGGCGGAGGGGGGGGGGAAGTGGGATGGAGAGGGGGAACTAAGAGAGGAAAGATAAAGGGTAAAGAAGCGTATAGGCTTACTACAACAAGACGTGTTCCAATGTTTCGATTTTATGAATATTTCTCTCCAGAACATCCGGTTACTTTTTATTCACCTGCTATGCCTGCTATAGGTATTATTATTGTTGTTCACAAATGTACTTTCATAAATACTGATACAAATTATTTCGACGTATAATATAATCGAGTGAGGGAAGTATGTACCTGTAGGACGAAATTCCTCGAATGCTTCAACACCCTTCAGAGGCAGTTCTCTCTCGGCCAATTGCTGAATTTGTGATAATTATGCTCTTCAAGAACGAAATGCTATCATTGTCATTACTAAATCACTTCTATAAGGGAGTTTACAGATAGCACATGGTACAAATGACCCCAAATATCCACAGATCTTTTACACATGGAGGAGTTCCACTTTGAGCATATTAGAATAATAACTGCCAAGTCCTAGATGTGCTTCATGAATACCTTTTGTTTTCCCTCTTGAAAAGAATACTTCCACCTGCGTATCAAGTACCGTTGGTGCATAAATGAATAATGTTACATAACTTTCATGAGCGCATATCCAGTATTCATCTCTGTGGGTTTTACCTTTTTGGTACAAATGACCTTTATCTGCCCATGCGCAGATTGTATCTATGAACTGGCTTATTGTTTTTTCATACAGGTCATTCTGAGTGACATCCATGGCGCACCCGACGATGTCTACTTCATCATGTCTGGCGACGTCAAGATCGTTCGCGAAGTCGTTCTCCTTCAGAATCGCCTGCCCTTCGGGAGGATCAAGCTCACCCCGCCACCGATGCGTGACGACCACGGGGTGTCGCCCGACTTCAAACCCGAGAAATACCAGAAGCTGGTTAGCAAACTCCTAAATATTGCGACCATCGGGAAGGGGGACTTCTTCGGAGTTGGTACGTGATTTTTCTTTTAAATTGAGGTTTAATTTTTTATCGGCAGGATTAGTCTAATACAATTTTGTATCAATATGAATTTTTTATGACAAATATCAAAACCTTGCTATGCACTCGGTACAGGGTTCGAGGGGATGGAGAAAACAAATTATCATGTAAATCAGTGGCTTATCCAGCCCCGGTTGACACCCCCTCCCACTGATTGAAGGGAATATAAAACGTGACGGAATCGTTGTCACGTGGGGCTGCCCCGAAATATTTCGCTCACCTTCCTCATGAATGAAAGGCGATGTGACATCTGCTCCCAAGAAAAAAATACTCTGTCGAATAAATTAAACTTTGGTTAGCATGTGGGAAAATTGCAGGAAATGATCTATTGAGGGGGGTTCAGGGTTACTTGGGAACATCGACGATCTGTTGGAAAATTCGAAAATACAGTTTCTGACGAAATTATTCCCGCTTGTTGGAAAATGTGAAAGAAAATAACACTCTATAGAAGAAACAAAACACACAAAAAAGGGCAAATTTTGGCTTGATACTTTCTACGCCCGACTCGAAGTGGTCTAGCGAAGCTCATGATATGGCCTAAAAAAAAAAGATGTTGTGTAGCCCTTTAGGTGCCAAAGCAATGGGTCGGTCGGTCGGAAATCTTTTTTTTTGTTTTGATTTTTTTCTTCTTGTTTCTTTCTCTTTGGGCTGACATTTCTCAGTTTACATATTTTGTTATTCATTAAACATTACATTTATTCTTCTAAAAAACAGTAAAAACAAAAACTTTTTTAAAAAGCCGACCGTAGATTTTGGGGGTCGGCAATACAACATCTTTTTGTGTTACCCCTAAAACAGTGGATCGTCTTGTTCAAAGCTTTAGAAAAGTTTTATATAACGAGTTTTAATATTATTTTGTGATCCTTCTTCCTGCCCGTTTCTCTAACTTTGACAGGTGAAGATCTACGCAAGACGCACTTGATCTCGATCCACAAGGTCGAGTGCATGCTCGTCTCACGGGTGGCCTTCCAGCGCCACGACCGCGGCAAGTGCTTGGTGCCCATGAAGGAAGCGGTCGAGGAAAACTATCCGACCTACGACGAGACCTTCGCTGGCTACCTCGTCGACAAGAGATGGCGCGCGTACAAGCACAATTTGGTAAAGGAGGTGGCTAGCAAACGACATTATCCACATCAAACGACCATCGACGATGTGCCCCTTATTCTTCGGCGGGAAAACTCACTGTCAACGAAATAAGGGATCACTCGGTGTAATGAGTAGTTATGAATTTAAGTGTTTCAAAGAGCTCGCTTGAGGGGATGGAACAAATCTAGTGTTGTTTTTGTCCTTCTATCCGTTGCCGTTGTTAACCAAAGTGTCATCACAGTCATGAATGGCCATGATTTAGGATTTACAAACTGCAATATAATGAATGGATTTTATGTGGAGATGTAACATAAAGAAGGAGAAGGGGGTAAGACTTAAGGAAAATGTCTTAAAGATGCAGATGGTATTCTAAACAAAACAATTTAAGCTAAATTATTGCAATATTGAAAAACAACAGTCTTATTCTTTATTTCAAATGTCTTGGCGATTCTCTTTCAAACAATCATTGGTTATATACATGTAATTCTCACTTTCCGGTTTCATACAAACTTTGATATATTTACTTTCCTATTGCGTAATTAGCTTCATTTTGACCATCTGCAAATGTAATCATTATTTATTGCATGTAAGTTTATATGTGATTACTATTAGTCAGAAAGATGAAATATTTTGAATGTAAGCATCACGAGTCTCGCCTCTCTCGATTTATTATTTTGTCATCAATACTGTTCCAACTAAAATAATATCAAACAGTGATTACAAAGAGAAATTTCTTCAAAATTATAATGCTGTTCCTTTTGGTATTTTATAACACTGTAGTCTGTACTAACATTGCTATGCGAAGTGGATATTTTACAACAACAATGGCATGTTTGTGTTTTAATTGCTATTTTTTTGTCACACTGACCAAAAATGCTATCATCTAACTGCATGAATAATTATTTGATTCAAAAGTAGTTGTCATCCTCATTCTCAAGTTAAATCTTCGTTGGATATTTGCATCCCACTCGGCATAGTCAACAAAGTCGGTTCGAGTGAATTTCAATTCAATGCTCGTAAGGAATAAACCGATTTACTAACATATTCATATTCTAAGCATACATATTTTTTTGTTTAAGGTTGTTCTTGACAACCTAAAAGCTCGCCCGAGGATTTTCCGACATAGCGATAGGTAATGCATGTAGACTGGATTCCAAGTAGGTCTATTGTAGTTTATTTATTAAGAACAGGTTGATGGAACCACTCGTCTCTAGGTCCCCAGGAAAGAAACATCCATATATTCGTATAACCGGTCAAAAACACCACGAAAAAGTAAACGTAAGAGTATTGAGTGGCGGGTGAAGTGTGACGTCATCATAAATCTATTTTTGGAAGTTCTCAATTTTTTCTTCATTTTCCGAAAGAGCACCAAAAATAATCGCCAAATGTCGAAAATCAATTGAATATGTTAAGTATTGGCTGAGATATGACCATCTGACTAAATAGATTTCCTATAGGAACTCAGTGTTATATTGCTCTGGCTCGTAATGTTATTTTTGATGCTCTTTCGGAAAATGAAGACAAAATTGAGAGATTCCAAAAATAGATTTTTATAATGTCATAGCTTCGGTACTAGTTCACTTGTTGTTGTTTTTTCTTTGTATTTTCCTAATTTCGACATGTATCAAGTCATCTTTAACAAATAGTCAAACTGTGTCTTTGTATGTTTTTTAAATGTTGACTACACTAGAGATGGTCTATGTCGGCATTAGCTAAATCAGTACACACGTGATAGTATTGCTTTTTTAAATAGAAAACTATGAAAATAATGCCTCTGTATGCCTCTAAAATGAAAGTTTATGCTAACTACAGGTAACATAAATTAAAATCCAACATTTTTTTCTTCAATACCATTTAACCCGGCCATTATTGTTTATACATCAGTATTTTTATAGACGACTGGCGACTATGTTTGGCACACGTCAAATATTACATGCTATTTACACGCTCTTCAAATTATATACGATATACAATTGGGAAGGTATCTAACATAGGGTAAAAATTTAAATATCTGAAATATATGTACTATTATGTAGAACATAAGCCTAATCGCAAGTATCGACAGCTTATTGAAATAACAAATTATTTCAAAGACTAATGCAAAAATCATGAATTTCAGAGACATATGAAATAATCGCAAGAGAAAAAATCGTTCTTTTAATATGAATTTAGCGGTGTTGCGGGACACTGGTATAACAATATTCTTTATAAGATGATGACGCAGATCCTAATCAAATGATTAGTTGAGACGGTCGTTACTAAATAATAATGACCGGTTATTAGTAAAACATCATTTTAACAAATAATACCCCTCATTTTTTCGAGCATTACCCACACTCGGTAGCTTCGAAACAGTCCAAACACCTTCGGCTATCGCCTCAGGTTTGTGAGACTGTTCCAAAGGTACCTTGTGTGGGTAATTCTTACTAATGCCCTCACTCCTGTGTATTATTTGTACAATAATCATGATGAATTATAAGTTATGAGAGTGAACTTTTGAAGTATAATGTTAAAATAACAATTTGGTAAAGCTGCCACAAAGGTTTGACCTAATGTCCAGTCGCAAATTCAAATACATAGAATTTATCCACCTCTCTTTAATCATTATTAATCTAAATTATATCCTGTATAAATATTTTAATAATCAAGTATGAAAATACACCAATATAGAACATTCATGAGAAAAAAACCTAGCGGGAAACCAATTCTAGCCAACTCATCAATTTTACTGACGCTGTTGAACGGTTTCTGGTCTTTGCTTCGCCGGAGCCTACTCTCCCTGTACTCGGCATTTCCCGTGATGCAGTTGAGTATATCCGAACACAGGCTGTTGTTGTGATCCGAAAATCTCCGCTCTTCGTCCGAAGGCGTCCGAGATACAGACTTTCCTTGGTACCTCGTGAATCCCCGGATGAGGGAAAAGCGTTTCTTCTTTCTTCGCATCAACGAGGCTTCGACCTTCTCCACCTATTGGGTGGAAAACGGGAACAATCATTTGTTTAAAAAAAGTATGGCACAAGTGAATTTTTCATTAAAAAGAAGTAAATTAGCTTGTTAGTCTAGTGCTATATCAAGTCCGGGCACTGCATAGTGTATGTACATGCAGCCTAATTATTTACAGAAATGTATACATGCCACCTCTTTTTTCAATCTCAATCTATGGTTGGGATTCACATCCTGTCCAGTACTTACGTTATTATGTCTTTAGACAAGGCATTCTATATACTAGTTTGCCTATCTTGTCCCAGATGTAGTAAAATGTAATGTTTAACTGGTGGGAATGACCGTACATCGACTTGAGGTTCCCCATCCAGAATCTCAAAGTCTTTCTTGATATGGGTGTCGTACAAAAAATAATTTGTCCTATCATTTAAAATTAGTATAGGCTGACATAACAAATAACCAGAAACCCTCTTCGTGTTCATCAACATTTCAGATTGTGCTACATAATGTGACACCACACATTTAGTCGACGAAGCTATTCTAAGAACTTTATGATAAGAAGCACTGAATGAAAGACAATATGGGAAAACAGCGTCATCGTTTACCTCGGCCTGGGCGATGTCGTCCTCCTCGTCATCGGCCATCCCAGGTAGCATGCCCGTCCTCCGCTTCGTGAAATAATTCACCGTGGCGAACTCGATGACGGCGCCGAGGACGAAGGCGAAGCAGAGCATGATGAACCAGTCGATGGCCTTCGGGTAGCCCACCTTGGGAAGCACTGCTCTAGCACTCCACCCTAGGGTGGTGATTGTGAGGGTCGTCATCGTCCCTGTGAGTTAAAGATAGGAAGAGGGAATGGAATGAGTTAATTTTATATTAATGTGCACTATTGGCCATTGTTTTGTTGTTTCAGCAAAACTATCATCCCGGAAAATATTTTGGCGCCAAAACAGTGCCGATATTAGACCCAAAGGCAGGTATCGTCTGCATCTTTCTAACTGCGTGACGTATCGATTCATTGAAAGCCCAACATTAATTATACCAGTCCACCGAAAATGCATTTCGCCATGATGCGTTTGAATAGGTCTTCGTTTTGTCGTTGTGAAATTTCATATTTCTTTACCGGAAAATCGGGGGTTTGTGGAAGGGGGGGGGGGAATATTTTTTTTAAATTGTGTTATTTTTTATCTCTGCGGTATTGGAAACTATAAACGTGATACAGCTTCCTCTCCTAAAATCACCGAGGCGCCTAACTTTCCCGAGGAGAAAACAAATATCCATACACCCGACCCCACCCCCCCCCCCCTGCTCCAGTCGAGTGATACATAAAGTACGCTATTTATCCTATTCTACTCGAGTAACTCGACTCACTTTAGTAATCTTATTTCGTTTTGGAAGAGGCGTTAATCCGTATTACTGGGAAATATTCTAAGAATGGTCGACCAAGTGAGAGAAAACGTATATACACAAGAAATGATTGCACAAAAGATCTGTATTGCCATATATAATATATAAGTTATGAAGTCGTAGCCCCTTCCCCCCCCCCCCCTCCATTAGAAAATCACTTTTCAAAAGAATTGGCGTAGATGAATACATATTTCAATCAATCCCATACGTGACGATAAATACAAGGCTCATATATTTTTGAAGGAGTTAAGTAAACACATGCAAGTAATCGTGAAAGAAATATGGACTCCTGCATATAAAATAGCTACTAGGCTTTATAATCTATAACAGGAAAGAATATTTACATAAATTTAATCCATCTGCCATCGGAGGCAGTGTGTGGGCAGGTTTTGGGCGCGTAGGGTCGATTCCCCCAAAGTGGCAAGATATTAGGAATAATTTTTATGATCATCAATTCGGATTAAAAACATCATCCGTAAATGATTTCTTAGACATGTTAAATGCATCAAAGCTAATCAATTCTTCACTGTGACTGCTGGCTAAGTAATGGACACCGTTTTCCACGTTCTATTTTTCGTATAAATTATATGTTTTCTATCTTCATAAGATGACATTTTTCTAGATGGGTAATATCAGTCTTGGAATTCTTAAGGACACACAATTTTCTATACCCAAACCATTTTGTTTACACAAAAGAGAGCACTAAAACTGTTGATTTCATTGGGAAAAATATAGCCCGGTATATCTTCATGTACTGAAGACGAACGATACAACAACATAAAAAAGTTTAAAGTTCAACGCGAAGAAAAAGAAAGAATCTGTAAAAAGAGTATTTCAAATTTTATCATCTGCCTTTTCTACTTTGAGATTCATTTTTTTGTTTTTTTGTTAATCATTTGATTCCAATTTAATAAAAGTTTTGGTTTGTGGTTTGCTTCGTGCCCCTCCTCTCTCATCTTCTGGCCTCCAAACATTACTTTTCAATTAAGCTGTACATTAGAAGCTAAATTAAAAATACTAACCAAAAAAAACAAACAGTAGGACACCTGAAATACCATTCTCTCTTTCAGTGGCGTACCTGGGGTACTCCGTCAGGGGGGGGGGGGGGGCAAGCGACCGAAACAAACAAAAAAGGCGATGCTAATTTTCACTTCTGGCGAGCGAGCGAGCAAAAAAAAATCTTTAAGTAACGTTTGGTATATAAACTGGTATTGTTGCAAGTTGGGGGTGGAAACATTCACTTGTTAGCGACGTTAATATCATTTTTTTGCAAACGAGTGTAGCGAGCAAGAAAAAAATCACTTCTTTTTTAATAATTGCCACTTAAACTTGGTTCAATTGTCCCATGCAGGGCGCGGGAACAATATTGTGTTTAGGGTGATTTTATACCCATTTTAGCTAGCGAGCGAAAATACATCTTTCTCTCAATGAATTGCTATATAAAATTTGTTTCATTGTTGCAGGTAGGGGGCGGGCACAATCGTGTTTAAGGCAATGTCAATCCCATTTTGGCGGGCAGGCAACCCCCTACATTTCTCTTTTTAATGATATTGTAGCAGGTTAGTGGTGGGCACATAATTCCACGAGCTAGCGAGCGTAGCGAGCGAAAAAAAAATCACTTCTCTTTTATAGGGAAAATATGGTACATAAAACTTGGGTTCATTGTTTCATGTCAGGGATGCAAAAGAAGCGGTGTTATTTCTATTTTGACGAGCGAGCAAAATAAATCACTTCTCTTTTATAGGGAAAGTATGGTATATAAACTTGGGTTCATTGTTCCATGTCAGGGACGTGATTATTAAAAGCGGTGTTATTTCTATTTTGACGAGCGAGCGTAGCGAGCGAGCAAAATTTTTGTAATGATGATTGGTTCATAAATTTCAGATTTTTTTGTTGCAGGGCAGGGCTTACACAATCATGTCTAAGGTGATGTTAATTCCGTTTTGGCTAGCACGAGCACACCAAAACTTCTTTGAATAACGTTTGGTACATAATTATTAACTGGTTGTTGCAGGTTGGGGCGGGCACGTTAGCGGTGTCAATTCCATTTTGGCGAGCGAGCATAGCGAGCAAGCAAAAAAAATAAATTCTCTTTTAATAGAAATTAATAAATAAACTTGTTTTTATTGGTGCAGGTCAGGATGGACGCAATCGCGTTTAACGCGATTCAATTCCTCTTTGGCGAGAGGGCGAAAAAACTCTTCCATTTTTAATGATATTGTTGCAGGTCAAGGGTGGGCACAATTGTTTCCAAAGCAATGTCTATTCATTTTATTCGCGAGCGAGTAAAATGAATTAGTCTCTTTTAGTAATATTTGGTACATATATTGTGTGTTATTGTTGCCATGGTTGCAGGTCGGGGCCCGTCGGGGCAGGCACAATTGTATTCTAGGCAATACTAATCCTTTTCTTTTTTCAGGGGGACGAGCAAGTGAAAACATTTAATACAAAATAGGCTAGCAAGCAGTTCGCGCCAGCGAAGACTTTCGAATTTGTTATAGACCCTATCACTTATATTTTCCTATTTTCATTTGTTTTAATTTTTCAGGGCCGTATGCGGAATATTTTTCTGGTGGGGGAGGGGGAAAGATGCGTTAAAAGTTTTCGAAGAATCTCAAAAGCAAAAGGAGTGAAGGGAGTTCGAGCGACCGAACTGGTCATGAGGGTACTTTTAAATATCTGGGGTCAACTGCCCCCCCCCCCCCTGGTGCGTACGGCCATGGTCTTTTTTTTATAATTTCCCCATTTTTATTCCTTTCCTTTTTTTTTCCCTTTTTCTTCCTTTTCTCTTCTTCTTCCTTTTTTCTTTCCTTTTTTCCTTTTTTCTCTTTCTTTCCTTTTTTCTTCCCTTTTCCTTTTTTCTTTTTCTTTCCTTTCCTTTCTTTTCTTTTCTTTCCCCTTTTTCTTTTTTTCCCCTGGAGCCCGTCAGGGGGGCACTCTGCCCCCTGCCCCCCCATAGGTACGCCAGTGCTCTCTTTGAAAAATATGTGTTTAGAAAAAAACGATAGGTTAAATAAACTATAAAAGGTAATAATAATTTAAAGCTTTTCTTTCTTTATCTTTCTCGGAGAGTGTCGCATCTTTCTTTTGCTACAAAAAAAAAATCAATTCTAATCAAGACATTTTTTTCTTCTTTGCGTTCCCCGAAACCGCCCCTCCAGGAAACCCCATCGACTCTCGACGACAAGAGGAAAATCTATAACTGCGCTTCTAGAATCAATTCTTATTAACTTTGCCGCGAACCATTTGATTCGCCGCGTATCACTTATTTGCGATCCACTTGGAACAAGTAGCGACACCAGAAGTCAAAACAGTTGTGGCAAGGCTTGCCGAAGGGAAGATCATTGATTAAACTTCCGATTACACCGTCAGAGAAGCGCTTGAAAAAACAGATTCTTTTTACGGTTTACGGGGGTTGCAGGAAAGATGACTTCTTTATCCAGACCATAGTCTGTGGCTGGGAGGTGTATGTAATTCCATTAAAAACTTACAAAAGGAAAAGTTGCATGGTACGAGGCTAAAATGGCGACGAATCAGTGGTAGGTGATTTTTGAAACTGTCAATAAAAAGAGCTTGGGGAGTTTGGAAACAATCTAATGACATTCATACAGAAGGAACAAAACAGATTTTAAACTGGTTTCTTCAAGATAATCGACAAGTCTGATAACAAGCGTGGTGCCCCTTCTCAGATTGATTATTCAACATGACCGCCCTACATCTTCTGTAGATCTAAGTAAACCAAAGAAACTGAATTATACTTGTAGAGTCTGAAAATATTACATATTGCTATGATTCTGATGATAATAATAACCGAGGCAAATTAGTGAAACATATATCGTTTCAATATCTCGAAAACTAAATTGTATTTTGTTGTAAAAAACGGAAATGATAATGTATTAAGTTTTTATGATTTCGTAATAAAAATAAATAATTAAAGAGGCCGCAAATTCCAAAAAGAAAATAATAAGCACCCCAAAAAAGAATTTTCACTTTTGTTGGTACTAAATTTCTCCAAAAATATGAACTTGGGTCTTCGGCAGCCCCTCCCCTCTCAGTAACTACGCCTCAAATTCTGATGGCAATTTGGGTTTAAAGGGATTGGGTATCTTTGTCTCAGATTCTAAAACAAAATCCTGGATCTAGCTCATGCTGCAATGATAATTATAAACCTTAAGGTCAGTCAGGAACCCCGTTACTTTTACAAGCCGATCGCCCGTGTGATTATCAAGATATTTATGGAAATCGAAATTTTTAAATTCGTTTTCCTAACGGTTTTTATAACACTACAGCCTATCAGTGAAAATGGGTATGGTAAAACATTTTTAAATTTGACATTTTGCTCCGTTTGGGGGGGGGGGGGGGGGTAAGGTCATCTTTTTAGGTCAGCCATTGGCATATTTTTTTTTTGTTTAATAATTTTGTTATTAAATTTATTTTTGCCGGGGGGGGGCACGCCCTTGTTTTTCAGTACAATTTGGGCGAATTTAGGGCTGGTTTTAACATATTTTTGGGGGCCGGGGAGGGGGGGGGGGGACGTGCCCCCTGTGCCCCCTGGATCCGCCACTGGGCTATGCATCTTGAATTTAATATTGTTAAACGATGCCTTTAAACATCTACACCTGTACCTACCGAGGGCTACTCTTGCGGGCGTGGCCTCTCGGTTGAGCCAGAAGGAGACCCAAGACAGGGCCACGATCATGACGCACGGGAAGTACGTCTGGATGAGGAAAAATCCAATATGGCGCTCCAAGCTGAACTCCACGGTCAGCACGGTCCGGTTACCTGGAGAGAGGAAATTGATAGTATTTCATTTCACAACCAGATAAATAACATCAGAGAATTATAGAGCACTTCAAAGAGAGAAGGCGATGAGGAACCTGGATACATATAGCTCCGTTTAGTCTCATTTGACAACGCCCCCTATCGTCAGAGTCAGCAGCCTAACATGTTAGCCTATGGAATTTTACCCCCAAAATCGTTAAAAATGCATTTTTTGTTTAAACGAAAAGCACATCCACCCCGACGTACGTTATCACTAGCTCTTTCATTGGAACCCTCATGTCCCATTGACTTTTGAAAGTTCACCCACCGTAATTTGATAAAAATAGGTTGCAAGCTCGCCATTGCTTACATAACACATGTGAAACAAGTCGAACTTAGGACTCATTTTGCCAAGTGGTTGTAAGGTTTTAGGTCAAGCACACGAAGGATAAGAAACATGAATCATAATAGATCAGTTCTGATCGGTTCATTATGTCCATTTCATCCAACCCCCCCCCCCCCCCATCGTAATTTTTCCATTGAAGATAAGCAAACATTTTGCCGAGGTAAGCAAAAACATGAATATTCATGATCACCATGGACTATTCGATTATTTACAGAGGGGTGCAGTTGTGCACCACACCATGCACCACATCAAACTCCCCTACTTTAAGTCAAGTATTTCATTGTATTATGTAGTTTGGTAGGTTTATTATAATAACTGTTTAATTATCAGATATCAATGATAATTTAAAGATATGGAAAATGTTCTTGTATTTTATATTTAGCAAAGCAATCTCACATACAAATTCACTACCAAGTGTCGTCTAATCCTAATGAAAATGGGTATGGTAAAACATTTTTAAATTTGACATTTTGCTCCGTTTGGGGGGGGGGGGGGGTAAGGTCATCTTTTTAGGTCAGCCATTGGCATATTTTTTTTTTAAAATAATTTTGTTATTAAATATATTTTTGCCGGGGGGGGGGGCACGCCCTTGTTTTTCAGTACATTTTGGGCGAATTTAGGGCTGGTTTTAACATCGTCTAATCCGCCGATTGTCGTTTGCTATAAACGTCCAGCGAGCAAAAATGAGACAACCGGAGCAATATGCGTCCAGTGGGGTAGCCATATGGGGGCTGTGGATCATGCCACCCCGCCATTGTATGGGGGAAAGGAATAAGAGTCTGAATCAGATATGGAGAGGTTAGTGAAAGTTCAGAAGAACATAACACGCCCCCTTCGACACCCTCCCTCTCGCGATATTTATTTTTGCATTTCAGCCTTGAAATTGCCCCCCCCCCCTTCCGACAGCAGTCACTTGAGCCCCTCAAAATTTGATCTCACACTATGCCGCGAGACGCGTCGTTCTGTGATCAACTTCTCTTATATAGGCTTCATGAAGCAGGTATAAAGGAAATCCCATAAAATGAGGCACCACAATATCCGTGAAGGGGTTGGATTACTAGTAGCCATTATAACTGTATCTTCTAATAATTCGCCACAAACTATGAAGGTTCATTGGGCTGTTTATGTGTTTCCAAAGAGGGCGGGATCATGGTTAGGATAGAAGGACAGAGACAGGATCAATGCACATTAATTATATAGGCACTAAATCAGTTTCAGTTTCAGCAGTTCCGTTCAGTTATTTCACATTTCACATCATTTACCCACGTCAAACATTGTCCTTTTGTTTGGCGCCGTACAGAAAGAAAACAAAAAACAAAAACATTTCTTACCAATTCTATTGGATACTTTGACGTGACTCCTTCCCTCCCAGCCTAAGAGATTGAACTGGTTCAACATAAGATCATCTGCAGCGTCAATGGCCGACGATTCATTGGGGAAGGGGTATTTCCACGCGTAGATCACATCCTCCTCCGAGTAGCTATCTGAAAGAGAGACAGAGAGGCAGAGAGAGAGAGAAGGGAGAGAGGGGGAGAAGAAGGGATGGAGAGAAAGAGAGAGAGAGAGAAAGAGAGAGAGAGAGAGGGGAGAGAGAGGGAGGGGGAGACAAAGAGAAACAGACAGAAAAGAAAGATAAGGAGCAAGTTTATTTAAAAGTCGTGGTTAATTACAGATTAAATCCTTTGGATATGACTTAATGCCATACATGCAGATGTATACATGTTGCTTTATAGATCATTATGCCCCTCAGAATAGCTATAAATTATTGTAAGGAAGAGAAAGACAAACATTAATTAGATATAATGTCAATTCACCCTGTCCCTCGGATAGGACTTACTATTTACTGAGTACTACATAGGTCATCCCTTCCCAAGAATATCTTTCTCTAAGAGAGAGAGAAAAGATTTTCGTTACGTTTAAACCTAATGTTCATTTACCAAGTCCCTCCCATAGAACATATAACCTTGCATGTAGGAATAACGATTGAAATGACACTGATTTCTGAAAAGTGAGGTAAAACAAAATCAAAACAAATATGTTCAGGCCAATTTATTTATGAAAAAGCCTTTTCTAAAGATGTATAAAGGGATTCATTAATGAAATTTTATTGTGGCTTGCAATTTTTTCTAAATTAAATTGTAAAAAGGACAATAATAAAAAGGGACGTTATTTCAACGATTCACTCTTTGATATAAAAGAAAAGAAATCAGATATGTTTCAAGAGGAAATTATTGAGTAAATAAAGAGACGTTTTGAGTCTTGCTCTTTCTCTCTCTCTCTCTCGGGAGGTGAACATACAAAATAAGAGAGGATATTGATTGTATGAACGTATATCTGAGGGTTGGAACGAGGAGGGGTGTAATAGTATATACCGTCTATCGCAATGAAATAAACTCGACGATACCCAATGGCATTGTGAATAACATGCTTCTCGGACTCGGTGACAGTGTGTATATACCCTGGAGCTTTATAGAGAATCACGAAAACAAACAAAAATGGGAGGAAATGAAATCGAAAAATTATCAAGCTGCTCCCTGCAGGCTAGGGGGGAACATCAAGAAAACAATCAGCGGGATTTTTCCCGTCTTTTGATGCACCCTTGTTGATAGAAAAGGGAGAGGCTTTTATCGGAAATCAATCGAAATGACATGTTGATTGATTTTTAAGGAACGTTGAAGAGGGAGAATAGAAAGAGGGGATGATATGGGATGAGAAGAGAATGATGCCCCCCCCTTCCCCAGACTCCAGAGTCTTGGCCTTACAGAGCGCCTTGGGTTTCACTTAATTTGTACGATAATGCATTTGCACTTCACCTCTTTCAGCAGAGGCAGAGCACGTGACAGACGATTTTGAGCGTTTTATTTGAACATGTGTACTTTCTTGTTGTCATTTGCTTTCAACAGTTACACGCTTCTTACTCCTACTCTTTGATAAGCATTTCTTACGTCTTTAAAAGTGATGCGATATAACATTTAAACGATGTTGAAGTAGTAATCGAAAAACGTGTAATATATTATGCTGACTAATTCACACAATGATTACTTAGATGACTAAATCACGTTTTGAAGTATTTCTTAGGTACATGTATAAATGATTGCAAAGGTGTCATGTACATGGCATCTTATTTTTTGTTTAAAGACATCAATAAAAAGATCAGAATATTACCACGTCTCGGAAAGATACATATTTTTTAATCTATATTATAAAAAGAGAAGACATAGAAAAAGGGGATGAATGGATGATGTAATGTTTATATATTTTTTAAAGCTTATCTGCCATAGTTTACAGGAGGGATTAGACCGCCCTACAAGGTCACTGGACAGGTGGTTATCTCATCAATTCAGCTCTCAGTTAACATAAGAAAAAGAGGATCATGGGGGACCAATGGTCACCGATTAGGCATTGTTTGTTATATAGAGTGCGCAAGTAGCTACAAGTAGTGCAGTGGGCCTTTAAATAAAAGGAGAAAGGCAACAACATAGGAAGAATAGAAGAAGGGAGGAAAAAAGAAAAACACTCACCAGACATAGACATAGACATGGACGTGATGGGAATCATTGCATTGTCGGTGGAGTGCGATAGCCTTGTCAAATAAATAAGACTTTTGTGGGGTAAACCTTTTAGAAGTCATTTGCACTTTCTGTATCTTTGTATATTATTTGTCGGTACGTTGTACGTTGTCTGTCTTTACCTTTGCCGACCCCGCCCCACCCTCTTCTCTCTACCTCCTCCTCCTCTCTCCCTCTCTCCCTCTCCTCTTTCTCTCTTTCTCTCTCCCTCTTTTTCATTGTTTGTCTTCCCCTCTCTGTTTTCCTAACTAAACGTGCCCTCTCACAATCTTTCTCTCACACCTGTTCACCCCCTCCCCTCTCTCTGTCTCCCTCGTCTCTCTCTCTCTCTCTCTCTCTCTCTCTCTCTCTCTCTCTCTCTCCGTCTCTCTATCTCTTCGTCTCTGCCCCTCTCTCCCCCTCCCTCCCCATTTCCCTCCATCCTCATTTCCCCTCTCCATGATAGCTGCAATATACTCTTACCTTATTGTATCCGTTCGATAGAGCCACCATCTATACATCACAATCCTTTTTCATCAGTTGCCATCATCTTCAATAATAAACTTACCTTTCTAGGAGCCAGCGTAATCCATATTATATACTTCTTGTTTCTACTCAGAAGAGTATTCAATCTTTAATCATTTTTTCTCTCTCTCCCTCTCTCTATTCGTCTCTCTATTCGTCTCTCTATTTGTCTCTATCTTTGTCTCTTTCTTTCTCTCTCTCTCATCTCCCTCCCTCCCTTCGTCTACCTCTCTCTCTCTCTCTTTCACCCTCTCTCTCTCTCTCTCTCTCTCTTTTTCTTTCTGCCATCCGTCCTAAAGCTCTAAAGCTTTTTTTCCCCATTTTCAACAATCCACTCTTAATGTTCAATGAAACTATTAAATCTATAACACTCTAATGCCCAATGCTAGAGCAACTCTATTTTTATTATCATTATTTTAACGTAATATTAGAATGAAAATAAGCTATTTAAGATAAAGATATCAATATTGTTTCTACAATGGATCTGGTTCGTTATAAATGGGTTTTCATTCTATGGGTACAATTTGTCCGTGATTAAATTCGTGGTATTGGTAGGCCTATTGAAACCAGGCTGCCTCGATAAATTTCAAAACAAATATTAAACATGATGAATAATTGATACTTCAAGAATGATCACTTTTGACAAAGGGAGGAAAATGGGTTAAAACACGCCCCTCTCTCCCTTCTTTTTTCTTTCAATCCCAACCCTCATCATACTCACTGCTTCCGAAAGAGAGCGGGCAAACTTGGGTGTCCATCGGGTATTTCCGTAGGTCCATCATGCATGCCGCCACCACCGTCAGCCTGTGAGCGACGAAAACATGATGGAATCATTTTTAATTCGTCACAGGATCTGAAATGTGACGTCACAATATAAATATCCAAGTGTGACGTAAACATGCAATGCAACAGCCGTCAACCAGCCGTCGCTCGGCTCTGTCGGCTCTATGCCTATTCGTTGTGTCGTTATTTGGAGCTCAGATTGTTCCATTGATTGTTACTTCTCTATATTTTATTCATTCACGACCACCGCGAATACTATTATTATCTTCTTTTTTTTAAATAAGATGTATAATTTATTTCCTCCTTGCCCATAACTTCCGCACACTAGATCTGTGATATTCATTAACATGTTAGTTAAACGTGTTTGCTACCATTGACGTCACGTTGCAGTGGTAGGGCTTCGGGGGGGGGGGGGGGGGGTAGATAATAGGGACTTTTAGATTGAGTGGACGAGAACACGACGAACGCCGACTGATCATGCGTGTCAACGTACTTAACTGCCCATGTGGACTACAGTTAGAAATCTATTAGATTGCACATGCAGGAAGTATTACTATGAACATCACGGACAAAGAAAGAGGACAAAATATACAGTTCCTCATTCTACCCTCAACAAAAGAACATCCCTTCACTGCCATTATGTAAAAATGTGTAGAACAGGTGAGTTTGCATGTGACACCTGTTCTACACATTTTTACATATCAGGGATGGGATGTTCCTTTGTCTACCTGAGGAAATGTATATTTTATGCGCACGCGGCATACTAGTACCTTGAGCATGTAAAGGCGCTATATAAATTTCAATATGTATGTAATTTTGTACTAGATTTAGGAAAATCAAGGTTGACGCATTCTCAATCGCCGACTGAGACGACGTAACGCATGCGCAGTGCCTTAAAATGACGTCACACGTTGCAGTCAGTCAAAGCTGTCGACGTGCAAATCTAAAAGTCCCTACTATTGAATAAAAGGAAGCGGAGCTGCTCGACCCAGGAAGGGGAAATCCGGAAAGAAGTAGCCCCCCCCCCACTCCCCTCGATTGTCAATGGTTATCGGATTATCTTCAATTCATTTTATAATGTTCACCCCTCCATTTATTTCAAATCTTTCTTTCTTCATTCTGTAATGTTCATTGATAGGGGGGGGGGGGTGAGTGGCAAGTGTCCATAACCATAATCCCATCGTAGTCACGTAAATGTATATATTATACCAACAATACAGGGTCCAGCTCCGAAATCATTTTTACATAATTATTTTTTCATTCTCCACTTAGCCCCTGTATCCATTATGTCCTACTCTTAAAGGCATTGTTTAACAATGCCAAATCTGAGATGCATGGCCCTGCGTGTTATCAGCGTCTGTGATATGGTGTAATATTGAAACTCCTAAAAAGATAAATAAGCAGTTACATAATCTCACCTAGATGTGTATAATATATTTCCCTCAGGTGATATTCTGAACATCCTATTGGGCGTGGTTACACTGTGTTTGATGGCCTCTTTGCCGTTATAGAAGTACGTGTCGGGATACCAGATCGTCTCCAGCATGACCGTGTTCAGACGCAGCTCGTCGAAGGTCGTGACATTGAACTTTAACCTGGGGTCATTCCACCTCTGACGGAAGAACATATCGACCTGAAACTCCTGGAACGAGAGAGATAAATAGATGGAGAGAGAGAGAGAGAGAGAGAGAGAATTAGATAATAACAAACAAAAAATGACAACTGATTCGAAGATTGACTTATCATCGGTTCATTTTCCACCTCTGACAGAAGAACATGTCGATTTGGAATTCCTGGAATAATGAGAAAGGTTGGATATGGTCATGTCAATAGTTTGGAATCAAAATGACTACTGATTCAAACATACATGTAAATACATGACAAAGACATAGCGCCATTTCAAAAGAGTCATTATACCCATTGCAGACGGGGTATATCATGTCGATTGCGTCATTACATGCGCTATTAAATCAAGTCTGTGAAGGCAATTAGCGCTTGCGCCAATGTTTCAACGCAATGATCACAATGTTCATCTTGCATTCCGATTCAATCGATGTACTTGATCTCACTCAAAGACAGCAATTGTCAATGACGCTTTCATCCGTCAGCTAATAAAATGACGCCTTATGTTAATAATAATAATAATAATTATTATTTTTTCGCAATGGGCATTAGTATGATTCGATAAGCCTTTAAGAATGTATCAAGTACCAGAAACGGCGAAATGAAAGGGGCCCCACTGGTATAAGTTTAAACACCTTCAATGGTTCTCATTATGTGCTTGTAACCCAGTACTAGCAACCATGTCCTTGTTAGTTCCATGTGCAAGGCAGGGGCGGATCTAGGATTTCCCCAAAATCGCGCCGTTTTACTTTTGTCTTCTTCTTTTTTTCTTCTCCCCCCCCCTTTTCCTTCCCCTTTTTTCTTCTCCTTTCCCTCCTTTTTCTCTTCACTTGGCCGCCCAAGGGGGGGGGGGGGTGGGGTTAAATCGCCGAAACCCCCCTAGATCCGCCCCTGCAAGAAGTATAACACGTTCGATATACTGCAGGATGTATTCATCTATATTGAAGGTGACATTGTACAGAGGTTTATGTATCATTCAATTTTCGATTAACGTAGAGAACAGAAAATAAATATATTGCAAGTTTACCAAAAATCTGTAGTGCAATGAACCAATATTTCTTTTAGGATATTCATTAAAACCGTTGAATTCGGGGAACCTTCGTAAAACCATGCTATTAATATTGATTAAATTTTAAGTATTAAACCTGAAAATGTTTGTTTCTATCTGCAGACTCAATGATTTATGTTCTCTTAGCAAGGTAGCCGATGTTAGTATGATCATTGACCTTTAAGAAAGGAAAGTATGGTTACTCTATACGATCGTTTTTCTAAATCTAAGCTTATACAAACGTGACATGTAATCACATCGTATATGTCCACAATAAAATCTAAAACTTCTAAATGTTTTCTGCTATAATTAAGTAGTACAAGACATGCTTTCTTATGGAGCTCATAGAGTCACAGTAACTAGTAGACCCTTTGCACACCGCTGCGCCTATCTCCCCCATCTCACCAGGAATGTTTTTCTATACTTACTTCTAACTCTATCTCCAACCTTTTTCGTTAACATAATCCTATATCCTTACCCTAATCCTAATGTACTAAGATTTCGCCATAGACTGGACACAACATCAATGTATCCTGTCTTCTATAGGAAGGAGGTGGGCGAAGGGGAGGGGGGGGGGGGGTAGGGAAATATGACTGTTTGGAGGGGCAGGGGAAGTATGGCCTATTTAAACCCGCCTCTCTGTCTGCGCTCACGACAGAAAGAGAGCAAGTTTATCTGATCTCTCTGAATGAAACATGACAAGGAAAATTTATATCATTTTATATCCCCAGAATATAGGTCATAGGCTAGTCTCAATTAAATTCGAGACAATTGCCGACGTATAAATAACGAACGATAGCGTCTTAACGCAAGGGGAAATTAAGCATAACACTTAACAAAATTGGATATGCGTTTGCTCTTTTTAGGGTATGTAACCCAGCCCAGCTACAGAATTTTCGAAACGATCAGAGACAACGTAACACCATTATTATGTGTTTCTCAAACTCCATCAAGCATAGCAAAAAGTGAGTTTTGGAATACATTTCACTCGCCATATCGCCAACTATCAGATGCAATTTCTGATAGCAAAATTACTGTTTGATTCCGTAGATTGTCACTTTAATATTTAAGTTTGCTTTGGAAAAGGGCGCTTAATTACGTTTATAAAAACAAAAAATCAGCGGATTTTATGTTCGTAATGTTTGTCGTTGTTTCAGAGAAAAAGGAGGGAGAATATCGCGTATGATATCTAGACAAGAACAAATAAGTGTTGCGCCTCGGACAAGGCTGCAATGCGGGCGCTGAGTGGAAGTCGGTCATGTTCTATTTGTTCCTGATAGAAAAATCCAATCTAAATGCTTATTTGATTGTTTGGCAAAAAGGTTTGCGATAGGATGAGCTTTGTCGTAGAAAGAGCCTGCAACATCGGAAGAATTTCATATACAAATAAACATGACAGAATAATGTAGATAAGAAAAAAAAATACTCGTTCGAAAATGGGATTATTTGTTATGATTTTCTTGTTATAATATTTGTATCACTTTGATATTTCTTGAAATGACTATTGCCGCTTTGTTTCACAGTGCTTAAAAGGATCACGTTTTCATGTTTAATTCACTTGGTATGCATAAGACTGCGATCATTAATTTTCACAAGGTGACTGTAACATTTCGAATGAAAAAGTCTGAATACTTAAGTCGATCTCTAAAAGCTTGTATCGAAACAAAAATAATGCTGTGGAGGGGGGGGGGGGGGGGGGGTAATGGTCAGATTTCTTAACATGAGTTATACATTTTTTTATTTTAGAGAAAAATTATTTAACATTTCGTCGCTGTTTTCACGAAGTGACGGTAGTGAAAAAAAATTGCATTCACTTTGCGTTACGATTTTCCTCACTACCGTCACTTCGTGAAAACAAGGACGATTTCTGGAGCTCCTTCAGTGTTTTCATCCCACTTACAATCTCTATGGCATATGACCTCTGAAAAAGCGTCACTTCCGGTAGCGTAACTAGGTGTTTCCTCCTAGCTATTGTTTGTTACATTACACTTACCATGTTAATTTCAATCACAGGTCCGATACTCAGCACAAAGATATCAGATCTCACGATGACGGGTGGACCTGCATGAAAATATAATTTAAGAACAAAATCTTCAAAGAAATTACGTTTTCAGCAAGTAACAACACAATCGCAAGACGATCGGGAAATCGAAAGGGCAATTTTAATGCCCTCATCTAGATCCCAGAAGCATGCTCAAAATCATGTTCAAATTACGTAACACGTCAAGGATATATTTGGCTACTTCAGAAGGTGACCCAAAATGCTGTTGAAATCACCCTAGGTTTGACCAACTAAACATATTAATAGAGAAGCATAAGAGAAAAAGAGAGAGAATGGAATTTAGCAGGTGCTTGATATAGTTTTCTATATCCTCCTCTCTCCGGCTCCCCCTCCCTTCCTCCCTCCCTCTCTCTCCCCCTCCCTTCGAAAGAGAGAGAGAGAGAGAGAGAGAGAGAGAGAAAGAGAGGGGAGAGGGGAGGGGAAGAGACATTTGGAGAGACAGGGGAAATTTACAGACAGATAGAAAGAGGGTGGGAGGAGGCAGGGAGGAGGAGAGAAAGAAGTAGGGAGAAAGGGAGGGGGAGAGAGAGGGAGAATATATAAAACTATACCAAGCACCTGCTAAATTCTATTTTTAAACTCTCCTCTCCCAGGCATCAAGGCATAAACAGGTCGTTGCTTGAAAAGCACTTGAATGGTATACTTTTGTCAGCTATGTTCGCTTTACATTCGTTAAATCATGTGAATCTAAGCAGAAAACGATCGGAAAGATTTTTTAAAGGCATCTTATGGCAAGTCAATGGGCGTGTTTGTCACCCTTCCAAATGTGAGAACAATTACATTGAAATTGTCATGTTATAACGCAACCCCGAACATTATTTCTATTTTAAAAAACACGCCCAAAAATTGCTCTTGTTCTTTTTTGTGTAGATCGTCTTAATGGTGTTGCAGAAACAATGATCCCCAGTTTTCGATAATCATAATAAGTTAGCAACGCACCTATTACCAGTTCAAGAGACGTAAAGAACAACCTTAAAGAACTCTGGCAGTTTGTTTATTGTGTAAAGGGCAAAGGCACGGAGGTTGTCTTTTGCCAGACCATTCCATGTTGTACTCAGAGACGATTGAAAAGACTTTCAAATGTAACCTAACATGCCTAAGGCAATTTTAATACTATGATACGTCACAATCACTTTTTGAAATTTGTGAAAACTACCATGACATATTGCGCAAATCGAATATAATCTCTATACACAACACACTGTATATTCGTGGAGGGGGGGGGGGGGGTGATCATCTTAGAGTCAATTATCTTTAGGGTTATGGGAGTTGATGAACTTCGCTTCAGGGATGCGAGCCTGAGGGGTACTGGGCAACGTCTGTTGAATTGGTAATATGCACGTTAATATGAAGGAGATGAGATGAAGAGAAGGAGGAGGGGGAGAGAAAGAGAGAGTGTGGGGAGGGGAGGCGGTGGGGGGGGGGGAGTTACCATGTTTACGTTATCCAGACTTTTATCTCCACAAACACGCAAATTCGTCGAAAACGTGATTACAGGATAGCCAATTTTATTGTATTCATCCTTCTCTATCTCCTGTCGGACTCCGTTTCTAATTATCTGCATTTACGCTATGTTATATCGATTGAATTCGGTTCTCTACAGATATACATGATATAAATAAACTGTCACTGTGCGGTTGGTAGACTGCCATGCTGATCTGACCGAACCTGTCTTCCTTGATAAACTAGTTCGATCCGTCCCTCCCTCTCCCCCTCCTCCTCCTCCTCCTCCTCCTCCTCCTCATCATCATCTAGACCATTTGAGGGCACAGGGTCTCGCCGTTCAATAACACCAGGTCAATCAAAACTACATGGGAGCTTGAAGAGCGGAGTCAGGGAGCGTTTGCCCATCCATTGACAACAAACGAGGCATGAAAATGAGATATAATGTGACGAGATGGCCTGCAGGCAACACCGATATTCGATGCACAGAACGCACTCGACTGGGTCAAGCACCTATCCAATTCTGGGGAGTGAAGATCAAAATGTGGGGTAGATTGCTTCGTTAATGAAAGTTCCCCCCGTTGGAACCTTGGAGGTCGGAAAGTGGCTCTACGATACCCGCTCCGGCGACTATTGCTCCGCGCCCATGCAGTTTCTTGAACATTTCAAACACTCCTTCTCTAATCCCAGCCCTAAAACCAAATCCAACCCATCCTCAAGCCCATTTGCAACCATAAACATGCTTACAATTTCCCTTACTCTAACCTTAACCCTAACCATACTATTTTTTGTCTTTGCTGGAATAAAGCCTGTATTAAAATGTCGCCGGAACATGTAGCGGATGTGGGTGTTTTCAAACTTATGCTGAACAAAATTTGAACCCTAAACCCGTAAGACGTCCTTATAGCAGGACATTAAGAGTACATATGCCCCCCCCCCCAACACTTTAGTACTGACGTTCGTAGTCCAGTATGTGTGTTTAATAATTATGTATGATGGAAAATAGTTCTCAAGAAAAATCACTTGCGTATTATTATCTATAAGAGAGTAACATTGTTGTTATTAAACCTCTAAAATGCTTCTTGGTCATTGCAAGGGTTCATAATGAGCATAATTTGACATCTTGGTCAATATTCCCCTTCTTTGATGCTTGTTTTCTACTATCAAAGTGTAGACAGATAATTAAGTTGTATACGGCACTACCGTAATGACAGGAAGGAGGAAAAGGAGGGGGAGTGGAGGTTAACTTCACATCTTCATAAGATTACAACAGGAAACAATGAATGCGTAACGGTTTGACCCCCCCCCTCCCAAAAGAGAATAAGGAAACAAAATTGTCACTGAAAGATGCACCAAACTGCAGAATTTTAGAATGTTTACTGCCCCATACCCCATATCAATTTTATTTTTAATACGAATTTGCAATGGACCCCCTTTTGCGATTAACGGCAAAGTCTACAAAATCGACCCCATTTTCCTCGAAACAACGAGTTTCATGCTCAAGGATTGTTTTAAACGAGACACGCTTCTTTTATTCATGATGTGGCCAGTCCATATATTCACTATTCACTGTCAAAACCAGGCATGTCATGGGTGTTAACCTCCCAGATGAATAATTCAAAATTAACCTTTAAAAGAGGCTATAATTTACACCATTTGTCTTCTTAGCGGAATATAATTGCCCGGTCTGGTGTCCCTCTTTCTCTTCTCACAGTCGTTTTTTTTTCTCTCTCTCTCTCTCTGTCTTTCTCTCTCCCTCTTTCACTCTCGCTCTCTCTCTCTATCTCTCTCTCTCTGTCTCTTTGTCTGTCTGTCTCTCTCTCTCCACCTATCTATAGCTATCTTTTCAACAACAAAAATCTGCCTCTCTCTCGCTTTCTCTCTCTCTCTTTTTCCCCCTCTCTCTCTCCCCCGTCCCCTCTCTGTAATTATTTGTTTTTGTATCTTCCCTCGATCTATATATTATCTATCTGTTTTTCCATCAATCCATCCAGCCATCTACCTATCAATCTAAAATAGACTAAAAACACTAAAAATAAATGTCTCCGTTGACACGTGTACAGGGGAAACAATTATCTTCTATGATCCATCTATTTAAATCTATCTATCTATTCATCTATCTATTTTTAATATATATCTTTATAACATGTCTTTCTAGCTATCTATCCATCCATCTACCTAATGTATATATCTCCTTCTTATACTCATCTTTTGATATCTCTCATCCTCTTGCCGTTCTTAAAATTCTTCCTAGTGTAGTTATATTTAAAACTGTCTTGTCTACGTGTACAGCCCCCTCCCGGTGACAGAGGCTACCCTTCAATAGTGTCTGGATGACGTCATAAAGGAAATAATGTCCTTCAGAGCTTCGTACATTTACATTTTTACCCCGCGGCCAATGGTTGCAGAAATATTCAAGGAATGATTACATAATTATTCCCTCATTACCGAACGCGTGTTACCATAAATGTACATGGCCTTTAAGCTGTATCCTGATTTTCTTGGATCTCTTTGATTGAATTTTTGTTAACGTTCATCTAGCAGATGCATGCTTGGTATCAAAACAAGAATGACCGACATTATCTTCCAGTTTTATTATTTAGAGGAGAATTTGACTGGTTAATTTCGCGTTAATATTTCTTCTGTCTGAAGCAGATCTTGCAGCTGTTGATAGGTTGATACTGTTCGGCTTGCAATGTATATGGTTTTTCTTTCATTTGACGGCAACTCACATCCATTTAGTAAGACATTTATTACAGTTTCCAATACCATTTTGAAATGAGCCTGTTTATAAAGCGGTCTGCAATCGTCACTGAATGCAAAGGTTATTGCTTTCTCAACATTGTGTATCAAAATAAACTAATTGGAGATCTGATTCATTATTGCTGGCGGTTAAGCTTATATTTTGGCGGCCATCTTTTTTTCTTCTTATCCGGTCGTAGTTGACACTGCCTTTAAGCCTGAAGTCAAGGACCGAGCTCTGTTAACACCGGGAGGGCTGCATTGCCTACCACCGTCCCCTCCTCTCCTTCTCATTTTATTTTGTTATACCCTCTCGGTTTTCCTTTTCCCTTTCTCTGTAGTTTCAAACAAATAGATGTGACTGTGGAATGATCTAGTTGGGCAGGTGCTTCGTGAGCTCATGTTTTTCATTCATTTCCGATATTATCCCGACCGCCTATCCTGTATTATGCTTTCGTTCTTTTTTTTAAGGGGATGGGGGAGGGGGTTGGGGCGGCAGTGGCGTATGACATGAGGAAAGGCAACAAGGCCGATCTCGTAGCCCGTCTTATTTTTCAGCGATACAAATTGAGAAAGTGGAAGAAAGAGAGGGGAAGAGAGAGAGAGAGAGAGAGAGAGAGAGGATAGAGAGAGAGAGAGAGAGAAAGAGGGAGAGGGGTAAGGAGGGGAAAGACAAATACTTAGAAACAATCAAGAATAAAGAGGAATAACAAAAGCAAAGAAGAAGGAAAAAAAGAAAAAGAAGAAAAGAAGAAGAAACGAAGAAAAAGAAGAAGAAAAAGAAGGAGGAGAAGAAGAAGAAGAAGAAGAAGAA